TTTTCATTCGATTATAATCCTAACACTCAAAAGTCGTCATGCATTTCACACGAATCAATCTCTAGCGTATTCGTTAATGTGAAAATCACGAATTAACCAGCTAAAGAAGCATGCTTAGCAAATACTACCAAAGTAAAACATTTCTTACTACCTGGTATTTTCGGTTTTAGCGGTTAAATACGCGGCTACACGGCCTTACGAAATATGATTAAATATCTTGCTAAAGGACAAGAATAGGGCATGACTGAGAGCCTGGGTAGGCATCTGGATCGGCAGACTGCACCAAAAGCTTTATCTAGTTAACTGAGTTGTCCTTAATCTTTCGTGAAGGGGTCAGCTTCTGATGATCGGTCGCTTGTTTGGAGCGAAACAAAAACATGACAGCTCTACTTACTTCATGTACAGTGACAGCATCCGAGAAAAGTAAAGAAGTTCTGCCTGCAGACGCGCTTCAAAAATCAGCAAGTTTATGTGTACCTGAAAAAGTAGTGGGGAAATAGTTTTAAGAACCACATAAAAAACAGGATACAACCAAAAAGACAAAGCCACCCCACAGCTGCTGCCAAAAAGTTTTATTTATCATCATGGATAATTAAATTTAAGCCCCTCCAATTAAATTAAAAAAGCAAGGATAAATTGACCCTATTTTCAACATTGCTACTCAGATGTTGAAAAACTCAGTATACATACTAGATTTGAAAGCATTCATACTGACAGGAGGATTTAGTTATTTTAATTAAATGACATAAGGCCTCTGTTCAGTTGCATTGCAGGAACTTTACAAAAATAATACAACTTATAAATATGGACAATTGGGCAGGACCAGAGCCTGCGTGAGGCCTGCGTGAAGCCTGCGTGAAGCGTCTAATTTTGGTCGTGAAGATTCAAATCGTGAAGATTAAAAGGGCAATCAGCTTAATGCATTAAAGCAGTTCTAGCTATGTTCGGCATTTTCAATATTGAGACCGTCTGTCCATCTAACGATGAACCTGACATATACCAGATCAGATGCATAGATTTTTGAAATCATTTTAACCCGGCTATTTTATCTAGTAATCTTAAAAGTAAAAACTGAAAGCTTAACTTGCTTCATATTCACAATAATATTTGGAATTCAAAATCTAAATCTATCACAATATACCAACATAAAGAAATAAGTGTAAATATCTATTTCACCAAATTATTTAAATTTTATGATCCTGATCTAATTATCAAAAATCACACCTTTTCTGAATGTTTTAAATCCAAGAAATTGAGATAATCCAACTGTGAAATTTTTTCTGGGTAACAGCAAACCTACAAAACGAAACTGTTTCATTAAAGGAAGAAATAATGAGTCATAGTTAGAATAAAGCGAGGGAGAAATTATTTTGTAATGACTTGGGTTTCGAAAAGGAAACGAAGTCAAATGGGAAAGATGTCTAGGTATAATTGGTCAATAGAAAAGGAGTCTGAAAAGAAAAATACGGAATATATTTTTGAAGACTTTCAAGTATTTAAAAAAGGTTTTCCAAAGAAAGATAATTTCAATGGAAAAAACAAATCTACCTAGCATTATTGTATATCAAGAGTTTTGAAAGATAGATAGTGTATATATTTCATTATCAAAGTCTTTTTATGGTAGATTGCAAAGTCTCATGTTGTCAATAAGCAAAATGACAAACATAGCCAACAAATGTCAAGCGAAAACACCTTACAGGCACTGAGAACTTTTGTTAAGATATAGCGATTTCTTTGTACTATTACGTCACAATGACGACCCTTCCCCTAATAATAGATACTTTTCCCTTCTTGCTGATACCTCTCAAAATTCATTATACGCCTACCTCAAAAATTGACAGAGCCTGCACTAACAAACATTTTGCCCGACAAAATAATCTCTTCTCTTATAGTGAACATCTCTTAAAAACGGACAAATTGTCTATTTTCTTTCAAGTCTCTATTATATGGTCAAAATCTTCCGAAAAGTGCCGTAAATGCACTATTTCGCCATCCATTTCTATTAAAATGAATATTTCGTCATCCTGTAAACAAATTCATTTCACTAGCCCTCCCCTCTTAAATAAGCCCACCTGCCCGAGAAAGAAATTTCAAACTAACCCCCCCCCCCCCGTAGAAAAACAAAGGCAAGAATTTTATTATGAAAGTATCTATTCGAATTAAACGAGTCCAAATCGTTTATGAGCGAGGCGGGCAAATTTGAATTTAAAAAAAAAACTTACCATTTTAATGTATTCTTTGTACGGTCGATAGAGAAGTTGGTTGACCTAAGAAAGAAAGAAAATTATGTAGAAGGAATATCTTACCAGATAAATAGATGCTTAAGATTGTGACGTTCGGCATAAGATCATGACGTACTGATAAAGTGATAAACAACTTCCATTATATTTGCAAAAAAATCACAATTTCATCTCTCTCCTTTTTTTTTTTAAACACAAAATTGACAAAATGTTATTCTAATAAGGTCATTTAAGACATTTCTGAGGCATCGTAATAGCGTCTACCAAGGAGAGATTGAGTTACATTGATACTACATGAATAATTACTTAAGGAATAACATCACTACAACAAAATGAAAAAATCAGCAATAAAGGGAAAATGCTAAATCAAGTTTTCATCACACGAAATTTATCCATTACCAAAGGTTGGCTCAAGCGAATAATGCTGAAAAACGGAAGCAGACAATATTACTGTGCAAAAATAAATGTCAATTTCTTAAATGATTTGCCGGAAAGCAACTGTATCATAAACAATTACCTCGTCGTAACGATAATCATCGTGAAAAATTCCAAATATTAAATGAATGTAATTCCACGTTGCCAAGCGAAACGTTGTTGTATCAACATCGGTTGTATCGCCCATCCTGTTTAAAGAAAATATTTCAAGGATACAATTGATCCAATGTGTTCCATTAAAGATGGCATTGAAGATGCGGGACATTTTGCTGTTCTCTCACTGTACGATATCACGTCAACGCAATGCTGCTTTCAAATGGTTAATCAAGCCTTTCTAACGCTGAGCTAGTTATTTTGTAAGGAGATGGTTAACAGATGCTACGAATATTATCAATGTTACCTAGAATACAATCATACATCTGCTAATCTGCTTTTTTCTTACACTTTCGTGAATTATTATCAAGTTGTTTTCTAATTTTGAAATCTCTGTGTTTTATTTGCAACTGAAATATGTACCAAAGTTATAATCAAATGAAGCATAACAATCACAACAGAGAGCTCTCAATGCAGAACTACACGTCACAGTCATCAAATTGCATGATTTTAAAAGTAAGTTGTAGTTGACTGTTAATGGCTATAGGATTGTTATGCACTTCCATGCTTCCTCGTTTTCTAAATTGGACCTACTGTAAATTGTTATGCGCATAAATGAAAGAAAACAGGTAACCCTCAGTTCGTTTACAAGCAGATGGGAATATTGATTAAACAATTATTTCAATTGCTCCAAAGTAATAAACTCACAAGTACTGGTCTGTTTAGTACATTCCCTCTCGCCATATCCCCACTCACCCTATTCCCCTTAGATGTTAGGCGTTTTGCCTTAGTTATCTAGATTCGAGACGGCAAGAATTTGAGGTCGGGTGAGGTCAGGCAAATCCGGGAACAAGCTAAAACAATTTTCTTGAAGCTTTAAATCTAAAACAGCAAATAAATTTTAACTTTGCTTGTTTCGGATCCATGTATTACCACAAGAGTACCCTACTTTTCATGCATGGAACCGAAGTTATTAAGACTTACAAATAAGCACAGAAATGTGGCTAAATAGAAAACATTAAGAAGACTTACGTTTTATAAGTTAAATTGATGATCGCTTTGAACTTGGAGTCTAGGAGTGAACCTATTCCAGGGTAGAGACGATCGATTAAAGAGTAGCCATGTTTATGCCAGGAAAAGTCCTGCAAAAAGTGACAGACGTGATTTAGATGAGGCAATCACCACAGAAAAGCATCTACTAAACTTTAACACAATAATGAATCTAACAAAAGGTTGAAAACAAATAGTCTTTTAAATAGAACGGAGGAGGAGAATACATCACTACAGCACAGTTCCTAGAAGACGAAGCAAATTGTTTAGGCTTCAATAAGATTCACGATATTCCGAAGGGCGAGAGGATCCCACAACAACTGTTTCAAAGCATATTATAACTACAAAAATTTATACCAATTCCCCCCTCCTGAATCAATGCTCTACAAAGATAGAGTATCAAGCCCAGGGTTGCCAGATTGGCCTTTTTCGGACAAAATTTTTCAATTTTGGCCTTTTTAAGAATCAAATTGCGTAGAAAATTTGTTCTTAGCGTACTTCTTAAATTGACCATTTCTGGCCTTTTTAAGCAGACATTTTGAGGACATTCAATTGCTTTACATAAACTTTTACACCCTAGAGAACCAAAAAATTTTGAATAAAAAGGAGAATACCATATAGAGTGAACCCAAATTTCAATATTATAACCTAACCCAGGGGTGGGCAACCTACGGCCCGTGGGCCAGAATCCGGCTCGGGGAGAGACTTTTTGTGGCCCGCGAGAAGAAAAATATCCTATCATAATTCTATTTGGTTGGCAAGGACGACTTTCCGAGGGGTTGCAAATGTTGAATGAAACACATCGATTCAAATTAGATTATCTAATATCTTCTTAAACCTGAGAATCATGGAAAGATTTGTTCACTATCCGTTGTCACGAATTAATCCTGCTTAAAGATAAGACAGAAGAAACTTTGAGAGACTGGACGAACATTATCAAATGCAGCAAGAACGAATATTCATGAGCGCACTCATGGCAGTTGAGCAGGAATCACGGTTGTCCCTATTTTGTCATGTCTCAGTTGCTAGTGAGCTGGGGGAGAGGAGGGGGCTATTTTGGATAAATTGGTGTCTACGCATATTTAAGTGAATGGTCTGAGTTATACTAATTGGTGGACAATTCTGTATTTCCTTCTAAGGATGTTTTGAATGACATCCTTTTTAATTTTGATTGTAATTGAATTTAAATGAAATTTTTTCATTATTATTCCTATCATTTTACTACAACTATTGTGTTCATTTTTCTTATTACCTTTGGCCCGCTTAAAGAAGGTTTGAAGGATCTGGTCCAGTCTCCAAAAAGGTTGGCCACCCCCGAAACCTTATGACTAGCGAAGGATTTTTTGACTAGCCATATTAATTCGTTCCTTGAATCTGCCGACTGTCTCGGAATTACTTCGTACATTTATGGATCCCAAGTGTTTACACTGTCACAGTTTCAAACTGTTCTGTTTAGCGTTTCCATAAACACAGAACTGGTACAATTTACAGAAGAGGGTTAAAAAGGGTTGTTTTTGCAAGCTGATGCTTTTAACTTGCTGCCAAACATTATTGGCAATTTTAGAGGAAGAAAAATTGCGAAGAAAGCGATAAAAATTTTGTTTTGGCCATAAGATGGTTAGCTATGCATCACAGCGTTCTTTAAGGAAACAAAATCACCGCGTTTATGCATGCCTTGGATTGGGAAAAGACAAAAAATAATTCAAAGAGATTACTGAGGAGGAATATCCACCTGAAAAATGTTCACTCGTTTGTTAAATTGCGTCAGAATCACTGCCTCGCACCGACTGCATCAACCATTGGAGTTGACAGACGGAGAGGTGGGCACAGAAACAGATGGTCTTTTGGCATGTCAGAACAGAATGAAATGCAGATTGGCATTGAAATGCCGTACAAAGCAAATGAAAGGTCAGGTTTGAGGTCAAGAATACCAAACACTGAAGTGGATTCGGCGAAGATGCTACAGGGTACAAAATGGGGGAGATATGAAAAAAACCTTAATTGGGATCAGCAAATATAAAATGTTCGGAGCTAGAATTCATCCTCCATTATATCATATTTTCTAAGGAAACAGACATTTGTTTAGGACGGCAATCATATTTACTTGGAAGCGTGATTAAACTGTTGACAATGACATATGATTAAGAGCTTTTCACAGGTTTAAACGTTGCATGTCGAAACGCCGGATTCCTTGCAATAAAACGCTTTATATATAAGCGGTGTACCTGTGCTCTGAATGGGCTGATGTTTCCATTCTTTTCACGCTTTGCGAAATCTTCATAGCGGAATGCTCTGTCTTTTCTGTAACGGTCTAACGTTGGTGCTACATCAGGAACAGCAGTGATTTCTTTTGAGTCGTCCACTGCAAACAAACAAAAATATTGCTGCAAATAATACAAATTTTACGTGGCACTGGCAAGTGGGGGCTGGAAACGTCACCGTGATGCCAAAGGGCATTAATGTCCTAGTTGTCAAGGATGGCTATGGAAACAATGAAAAAGGACGAAAATGCTTTGCTTTCTGGGGTACACATGCATGGAATGTCCTAACAGTTAAGAATACCCATTTTGGGTGTCCTAACGGCCTAAGACTGTGGCGCAATTTAGGGAAATATATGACGTTGCAACACTGACGCGTACCCTTAAACCATGCAATTTTTCTGTAGCACTGCTATCTTCTAAAAATGTCACTGCATACATTTGTTGCACCTAAACCTTTAGATTTTGTTTAGAATTATCTGTTATACAAAACTAGATACCACTTATTAATGGAATGGCCAAAGATTTATACGATCCGATATCGAAAGACTGTTGCTTGGTATTAAGCGAATATTGACTTGTCTTTTGCAGCATCACTTGACAAAGTGACGTACTTTATCTGCCCTTCAAACAATCCTTCCTTCCTATAAAGTGATTTACACAGTTAGCTAAACTTTGCGGTTTAATGTGCATTCACCTACGGTATTGTTCTGGGGTGGGGAAAGAGATGAAAGTTTTCAAGAAAACTCGAGCTGTTGGGTTTTCGCAGGGGTTGCAGGAAATTTTAGTGACACATCTTTGAGACTAGGGCGACATGCCTGCATTGAAGAAATAACATATAGCTGGCAATTTTTCTGGATAAAACAGCCTGTGGCTTATGCGGCTAACTTGGCTATCATTTCATCTCATATACTATTTCTTCCACCAAGAATTTCATTTAATGATCGCTGCTACTGATCTCGGAATTAGTGGTTGCCTTGAAATAAAAATTGAATCACACAGCTGCCTGAAGAGGCCATCTGCCTAATGCTTTGAACTTATAGCTGATTCCGTATTAGAAATCTTGAAAAATATGTCATTATCCCTTTTCAAAACTACTTACGCGAGTTAAAAGGTATTGCAGTCGAAGCTATATAAGAACCTTGAACAAATAAGAACCTCAGACAATAGACATTTTTCAGCTTACTAAATGGACTGTCCTTTACTTTGAATATGAAGTCCTAGCGACCGCTATGAAAACCCTACATCGGACTTTTAGACACCGCGAAACAAATTGTGAAAAATAACAGCAGCTGGCAGAATCATGTGATGATTCTTCATAGACCCACCGTGGGAGCTATTAAAAAGGGTTTGATTACACGCTGATGGCTGTTGAAATGGTTTCTTTGCATGGAAATAACTCCCTTTTAAGCTGTTCAAACTTAATCAGTTATGAAATGAGGGTAATCCGTGGTATGCAGTGTTCCATATTAATATAAACCTTTCATATTTCTCAATCCAATACATTGACACTAATCTTCTTTCACTTCTTTATTAGTGAACAGACACGGCTCAAATAAAAAGTCTGGGTACCAAATCCATGATGTCTGATAAACTTGTCTGATTTATGTTAGCATAACAAAATCATTTTGTAAAATGACGTTGCGTTTAAGTCAAAGTGAAGAATTCCGAGAGGTGCTACATATTACTTTAAGGATACCAAGTTATGAAAAATGCAGACAAAAATATTAACCCCAGTCTGCAACGTTTTCATCCTGCCATCATAAACCAATTCAAAAGTTTTTATTAGCAAAAACAGCAAATACAATAAGTGAACATTGGGAAACGATTCTGCAGAGCTTAGCTGCAGAAACACATTATCTATGACGTTAAAAGAGAAAAATAAACTTATTTCTAATTCCGGTGTATAAAATGAAATAGAAGCAAAACCTACGCTCTTTGTTCTGTATGCTGTGAAACTGTCTTAGGACTTCTTCTTGTGACGTTTCTTCCTCTTGTTCATGATCTTTTTCAACTTTTTTCATTCTCTCCAGTAAGGTCTGTGTGCTGTTCTGCTCTCTGTGCACATCATTAAATGCGTTAACAACAGTACTGGTTGGTGTCGTAGGCTCAGCATTTGAACTGGAGTCTGACACTGTAGGGGTGACAAAGGTATGACCACCATCCAAGTCAACCTCGGGGTTGATGCCACAACCATATACGAATGCAGCCAGGCAATGATAGTGCACCATAATCGCAATCGCGTGAACTAACTCCGCCACTGACCACGTGTCTGCAGATGGTCCTTTTAGAAGGTCCTGAAAAAGGTTATGCTGTATTAAACAGATCTGCAGCAAACTCGTATATTTCTTACTTTTAGGAGGTCCTGAAACAGGTTATGTTGTATTAAACAGATCTGCAGCAAACTCGTATATTTTTTTACTTTTAGGAGGTCCTGAAAGTGGTTATGCTGTATTGAACAGATCTCTAGCAAACTCGTATATTTCTTACTTTTAGGAGGTCCTGAAAGAAAATATCTGCAGCAAACTAGTATACGTCTTACTTGATGTTGTTACAAATCACCAATAGTAAACCTGCAAGTACAAGACGCTAGCACCAAGAAAGTCCAAATTGGCATAATAATACAAAATCAACGCTCATATTTTTGTGAAATAATAAAATCAAGATTGCACAAAATTTGCAGATTATTCGTAAATGGATGAGTCTAAGATGCTTGAAATATTGTATCAAAATTTTTGTCGTTTTAGGAACCCTAGTACCGGCACGATAAGTTGATCGTTGTTGTGGTACGACTACATCTATCCATTGATCCTGGTTCACACTCGTGAAGTCGGTGACTCGACTACTTCTTTGAACGTGTTTCACAAGTTATCCCGATGCTGCCAGCTTCCCAGTCACATAGATATGAGTTTTATTTGAAAAAGCACGTCCCCGATGTCCCCGACTCCCACGCGAATAACGGCAAGTGTGGACTAAGCTTAACCAGTAGATGCAAAACAGCTCCATTCACCTCTAGCACGTAAAGGTCGCAATCAGACATGGCCATTAGAGGAGAGCCATAGCTCTTGCTCCCCTTAAGGCTCTCCTCAAATGCTGGAGGGAAGCTACAACTTGCTCTCGGTGAAATAGTTTTTCCTTTGTTTTCATTGTTGATTATTTACAAATACCTCGTCTGGAAATTACTTGGAGAGCTGTGTATTGCTCTCCTGCTAAAAGCCTTATGGCTAGGACTGTGCAATTATTTCCCAAAACCCTGAGTGACACATGCCTATAGCAGAATCCACAATACGCAAAACGTGTGACGACAAAATGTCAAATTCAATCAAAAATTTTGAAACTGGCTTTTTAGGACATTGTAGACATTATCTTGGTTTACATAGATAAAAAACTCCTTTCGCGTGTTAACTCTCATTTACTGAGAGGCCTCAGGGAATTGGCCTCAGAACAAAAAAAGTTGATTAACTTGGACGCAAATCAAAATATGTAGCTTTGCTTACCACTTGACATTTCAAGTTGATCCAAAATTATGCAGTTTGAAAAGATGATAGGTAGATACCCCCGTCAAGAATTACTCTTGGTAGATACCCTTGTGGAGAATAATGGTAGGGGTATGTTAACTGTTACCTGAAAAAATATAACCGCCCGGGCTAAATGATCCCTCGTTATGGGCTAAATGATCTCTCCATACAGTTGTTAGCGAATGACGAAACCCTGCTCAACTCAACTCAATTTAAAGGCCTTGTGATTCCGTAGATACATAGAACATGTGATCACTTCAACCTAAATAAACACTTTTGTATAAGCAGACGAGCCATAATTTTGTTCCTACTCAACAACCTTACACCCTGCCATGCTTTAAAAAAGTATTTAAACAATATGTACCTGTATGTGTTCCAGTGAAATTAACCAAGGCTTGTGTGCCAGGATCTTGTTGAGATCCATCAAATTTTGCAGCTTTTTGGGAGCGTGATCAATTCCGTTCAACCACATGGGATCACCATTCTTTAAAAGAAACTCGTTTTCACATATGTTGACCTGTGGGGAATCGAAAGTTAAAGTAAAAACGAGGACAAAGAGACGATACCCTCATTAGAATCATATAGCCTTGTGATATCGATCTTAAAAGCTGTGTATCTTGGGAGACATTACTTTAAATGTTGATGAAAAGGTTACTCTAGCGGTATTTTCTTTTTAAAGGTAAATTATATTTGCACTTAAAGATATAGCAGAATTTTCATTCCTTGACACCTTCAAATAACGAATACTTCTAGACAGCGGATACCTCTTTACAACAGTTGTCTTTACAACAGTTGCCTTTTGCCTTACTGGTATCCGTTCGAGAAATCTTTAATTAACTATAAATTGCATATATGTGTTTCTATATTAATGACGTACTGCTTTTCACAGAAGTAGAAAGCTTGAGTGAAACAACCAACGTACCAGATAGGAACTTTGATGCCTCGCAGCGGCCTAAAACAAAAAGGCATACTTCCAATAGAGCAAAAGAAACGTTAATTTTCATGACCAAATCTAAGGCTTATTTAAAATTACTATTAAGGTGGGGACCAGGCGAAATTATACAGATTATTTTCCACAGAGTTAAGAGTCTGTTTAATTTTTAAATATTTTTATTTGTGGCCGAAATTTATCTTGCGTAAAACATCGGTTCAAAACTTTCAAAGTTTAGAACTCTGAATCAATTCAAAGTGAACAGACAGTAATGCTTTAAAACAGACCAACTGATGTAAACATGACTGAATCGGCTTTTTTTCAAAGGAGAGATTTCGAAAGGTAGGGTTCATTTAGTTTCACTGTCATGTTTTTGTTGGGTTTAAAATACTTAAATTTTAATGACCCTAAACTGACCACAGTCAAAAAACAAATGCGGATCTATTTCATATCTTATTCTTAGTGAAAAGAAAGCGAAAAGAATTTCTAGATCAACGGGCAAATTCTGGATAACATTCGCGGAGAAAAATGAAAGAAAACGCACCAAAATGCCGATGTAATACCGCCAGTCAAAGGGCAATGGTCCTTCGCCATCCATAACAAACGATTCTGTATTCATAAAAGAATCCAGATACAGGGGATGAAAGCTCATCAAACGCTTCGCGTTTGTAACTCGTCCATTGCAAATAAAAGCATCGGCAAAATGCAAGTAAACTTCTTCATCATCAGTTTCTACCGGGATCAGCTAGAAAAATAAAAGTTTTCTTCAGAATATATGTTCTTAATAAAAGAGAATACTTTATTCGTTGAGAATGAATATTTTTAGCAATGTTATGAAACTGCGAAACTCAATAATTACAAAATCTGTAACCAAACTTCTCTGTTGTCATTAGTAGAAAATATGAAGTAAGAGGTTTGACAAGAAAATAGCATAAGACTACTTGCTCTCTGGTATTCTTCTAGAAGTTCTAATCTCAAGACTTTTTCCTCGAATGAAGCATTAACGTACACTGGATGAAAAGAGCACCAGTTCACAAATACAACTGGAGCTAGGCGAGGACTCTAGCCAGGCGAGGTGGCAAGGGAGGGATATTACTTCGTTGCCTACTCAACTCTCATGTTTCAGTTCAAATATAAAACTGTCTTTCAAGAACGTAGACACAAACCAACTTCCGTACTAAATACCGGTTGAAAATCATTTTTACCGTTTAAAAAAGCATGGGCACCCTTCAATAGGCACCCATGTGACGTTGATAAAAACTTATTGTTAAAGCCCCAGATATTTCTACTCTACCGATCAATGATTGAATCTCGCACAGATGCGTCAAATTTAACCCCCCTTGGTAGAGTTAACATTATTTGACTGCCTGCTACAGAAGCATAGCAACAGATGCTGTATCTGCCGATTACTTGTCTGTCCTGAACTTCATGTCAGTGACCATTTAATTTAAGTCTCTCTCAGTCCTTTTTAATCTGTTCGAAATATTGTTTTTAAACATCCAATTCTTCACAAAATACTGAAGCCTGACTACTGAGGAATTGAATGAGCATTTGACGAAATAGGATGATCGTTTAAGCAGAGCGGATTAGACTGTATCTTGTTCCAAAACAATATCATATATAAAAGTTCTCTAATCCGTATTCTTCTGAAGCGAAAAGGAGGCTTTATCGTAATGGACGTTAGTCAAATGATTAAAGAGAAGACGACTGCCGTTTAGCAATTTTGAAGCCCCCAAATACGATGTGTTCAAAATTTAGCTTTTCCTGTATATTGCACTCGAATCTTCCGTTGCAATAAGTCATTTAACTGCAGCAGCAAATTCCGGTCAACTCTTAAGAAGTGTCAGTATTCAAAACTCAAGGTTACGTTAAACGTTATTGACACGATATTTGGTTTTCTCTCCCTAAAAGCCAAACTATTAACGGAATCAGATTAAACTATACATTATTCGATGCACAAGAATGTGGCGATTTCAACCATATCAAAATAATTGGCAAATATTGTAAAATGATACTTTCCAGGCAAATTTGTTGCTTAATTGAGCGTACCACCTTCAAAAGCTATTTTTGACTTACTGTATATCAGCAGAAAGCGCAGATCCTTAGCGACCAAAGCGTGTCAGATTTTTCAAATTCCTCCTCCCCTTTAAACTATACCCTGTCAAAAATTGGCAAACAATTTTTCTTCCCTCTCGTAGCTGTATTTGGCTATAAAAGACGGACCAGAGCAAATACAAAAATTTTGAGCCACACTTTGCTTATCCGAGATCTGTCCTGGCCGTGTACATTGGATACATGGATGTGCCATGCAATATTATAAAAGAGACATGCGACCACAACCGCAAAGCAACGATAATCGGCTTAACAGGTCAAGAGATTTTCAGGCCTCAACCAAAAGTTCTGATAAAGAAATTATGGAAACCTTCGTTTACATAGGAATTTTTTCCATTTTCAAAATTTCTGTTAGTTTCAAATTCGGAGTCATTGTGTGCCTTGAAAGCTCGGCTACTTGAATAAAAAAATCGAAAAATTGATGTTTTCATCCAAAAAATGTTTTTTCAATACAGATTAATTTCAACTTGACGATATCAAGCCTGAATTCCATTTTAGAGCAAACTTTGAAAATAGAAAGTGGCAAAATGGATAATGGGAACCGCGAATCAAACTCAATTCAGTTGTATTTGTATATTTTTTTAGGCCGGCCGAATTTGGCAAACAAAAGTGAGACATTTGGTCGCCAACCATTCCGAACATTTGAAAAGCCTGAAGATAAAATAATAGTTGCTGACGTGGCAACCAATGGCCTACAAAATTACAATTTCTATTGGTGATCAGTAACTAAGCTTGCAATGAAAACTGGTACTTTTAAAGGAAAGGTTTCTATGACGACGAAGGACAAGTTGGCATGGAATCATCACTTTCTGTAACTTTCTGCTTTATAACAAACCATCACTTTCTGTTTGCGTCTAAAACTTTTTGCAAAGTTTTGACTGTTTTGAACTTGTCAATTGATTTCTATCATGCCGAAATTTAGAATCTTTCACCCTGACCTGCCATCAAATTAATTACTATTAACCTTACAAAGTTTGACTGTGTGTGTTACATCTGATTCTCTAGTTAATGAAGTACCTGTGAGCCAGTGGCTCAATTCAGGTTTATCAAGGTTTTGAACTATCTATTATGGCAAATACTATTAAGAAATGTTTACAAAAGAAACACATATTTGGCTTTAGTATACCAACGTAACAAAAAGAATGTGAGGGAGAAGTTAAATAACTAGGTATTTATACGTAGAAGTATGCTTCTAAAATTACAACAAATGTTTGCAATCTTTTCAAAGATTTTTCATTATCAAGGCCTAATTGATTCAATTGGAAAGGTTTAGCCAAGGTTATGTGTTTTGAGAATTTTTTATGAAATAAAAACAAAACTGTGGGTTTGTAAACAAGTCACACTTTTTTAAGCACTGATAATGGAAAACAAGACAACTGATGTTCTAAAGAAACTCAAGGATACTGATTTACCCTCTAAATTTTCTTTTGAAAAACAATTTAAATATCTTATCATTGAACAAAGTTCAAATTGTGGACTAATTTCACCATCATTTAATTTAAAATGGCAATGCATGGTCTGACTTTGGATGACCAGGTTCTGGTGGCCATCTGGGCCCACAGCTAGGGAGAGTAGAAAAAGTTAAAAAGATGCCTTACTGAAAAATATTATAGAACATAATTTTACAAGTTGGAATATCATAAATGCCAAAGTCCCAAATTGATTAAAGTTAGCATAAAATGTTACTAAATTTGCAATCAAATGTTACTAAATGAAACTGCATCTAAATTTCACAGCATTGCATTGAGCAAACACTGGCTGTAAATGACCAGATGGGAGTCAGTGAATGCTGCAATCATCCAGCTATAACATTACAAATACCTAATGTCTTACATCCCGTAGTCTGAAATAATTTGCAGGTATAAGCATTAAACTACAATTTGTTGCATACAAAGACATCCATTGAAAATAATTATTCGAATTATTCAGATTCTAATCTTCAATAAAAGAATGATTTGTTTTGAGAACCATATGTTAAAGGACTGGCTAAAGCTTCACACATAAAAATTTATAAATACAGACTCTTAATTGGACTCCGAACAAAAGATTCCTTTGTGTTCAGCTGCAAAAAAGTTTTAAGCCTAAGCCTTGAATTACAGGATTTTAAAAATTAATCTTACAATGATTGCACAGCCTTTTGACCAGGGGTAGGGAAGTTCCAAAATATTGAATTGAATGCCATTATACAAGTGCGACAATGTCCAAAAAAATGAATAACTTTGTACATTTTGTCTTACACTACTTGATGAGATATAAAACACTTTCCACCAAGAAATATAGAGAAATGTTTTGATAATAATTCTAAATTTAAAGTCTGTAACTTATAAATTAGTAATGGAGGGCAGATAATTCAACTGCATTTGCCATCTGATGGGACTTTTTTAACAAATGCCACTGAACTAACACAAAATGCCTCACCCTTCCCAGCACCCTTATCAATTATTGGGATACGATATTGACCACCCTTGCAAATACAAGCCTCCTTCAAAAATACAAGAGTACTTTGAGAAAAGTTGGCTCCCAGTACTTTTGATCATTCCTGAGTATTCCTGAGTAAAGGTCACGTTCTCAATGAAAAAAACATTATTGCTTCATTATTCACATTACATTGAATAGTTTGTTAAAAAATTGACAGTAATCAAGCATTTAGAAAACCAAAGGTTAGGCAATTATGGGCAGTTGAAACCCTTATACCCCCCCCCTCCTCAGGCCCTGAAGGACTTCTCCTTTAACACATATAGTCGCACCTAGCGATGGCTCTCAAAAATCATCCATGCAGGCAGTTTGTTATCCTTGTGAAAATGTCTTGATGAAACTGCTTGCCTTTTAACTTATGAGCTGGGAGGGAAAGGCTGTTTTGTTCTAATAACAAGCTTTTAAAAATATGACCTTTCGATTCCCTTCTAACCTGCACAGGGCAGATTAACTTTGGTATTTGTATTTTTTTTGTATTTGTTGCTACCTAGCATCTGAAGGTAGTTTTTAGGACACTGAGGAGCTATGCTTATCGAGCAGTGTCCTGATCCTTCCTCTCGATGTGACAACTCCTCATGATTCCTACGCCTGGAATTACAGAGAGCTGGCGGCTCTCCCCACTCTGGGTGAAAGTTTGGTCATGCCAGGGACTCGAACCACAAACCCTTGGGTCTGTAGTCAGGGCCTCTAACAACTGAGCCATCCTCGCACCTATGATTGTATGTGACACTTCATAAAGGCTCTTTAGTGTTCTGAATAATAGTTTGCAAGGCATTTTTCAAATGTTTGCCTGACTATTTTAAGATATTCTTCAAATACATCAAATCACATCAAAAATGATTATTACATACTGCTTCTAAATGGTAAAGATTTGTTGAAAACTATATTTCATTGCCAAAGAAAGGCTTATGGACATCCAGTCACATATAATCAACATGCCCATGCCCCAATACCCGATGAGAATTACTAAGTTATCCTTCTGTCCATCTAATCCACCACATATTCATCTTAAGTCATAACATAAACAAAAAAGTTTCTTATTCTTATGAACAATATGAAAATTGCATATTTTGACTTCACAAGAATAACCAGTGAACCTATCACTTTATTATCAAAATAATAAACGAGTCAAAAGACAAGTTTATTCTCTTTTTAAATATGAATCATATTCAAAGCAGGATACTAAGCTCTTCTGCAAGCTCTTCACCACAAGTCAGCTGTGGTAAAAGAATCCTCATAACTTCACCTGCCTTTGTAAACTCACTCACAAAAATAAATGACTTGACATTACATTCTATGTGCTGATTAAATATACTCACTTCTTTGGAGGAAATGAAACTTGATGGTCCAGCATAACGTCTACGGGGCACCTTTACACCTTTGTCCTTAACAAAAAAAAATTAATATCAAACAAACACAACGATTAGGAAATTGAAGGCAACAGAAAATTTATTTATACATTGCTTATGAGTGGACAAAAAAAAAACTGAAATTTAACAAAAGCAAAGGGTTCTGTGTTTACTCAAGGATCCTTGTAAATAATTCAATTGGACAGGGCTTAGATGTGCAAAACCCATTTCTATCATACATTTTATGGCAATGAAAATGCCAAAACCATGTTAAGTAACTGCAAGCTATCTCAACACTTTTCATTTGAAGATAAAAAGATGTTAGAATTTTAGATATGAAATCAGTTTGTGTTTTATCAGTTCAGTTTAGTTTTATTCTAAAACTCCACTTTGAACATCTTCCATGAAAAAAACCACAGTTAACTGATTTCCAATAAAGAACTACACAAGATAACAATTAAAGACAAATGACAATAGAACAGGTAGATAACTGAAACACTTAGGGATTGTAGACATTTCTGGAATTTGAATTCTTATCTAATTCACTTCAAGATTGAAAAATGTTATCTATTTATTCTGATTGCCTTTATTAATGAAAAGAAAAAAAATCTTCACCTTTGATCGATTGTTAATTAACATAAGCGGTTAGCTTATTTAAGTCCTATAAAGTTCTCCGTGGAACTGACTGGTATTAAGACCATGAGAATAAAATTAATAAATTTGCTACGACAAAAGCCCAACAAACATAAAAGGCATTATATGTTTAAAATACATTTAATTTCGCGTAAGGCTGTTCCCTCTCTTCCCACTTCACATACATGGGTAACTAAGAGACTGGTCATGTTTAGTTCCAGAATTCAAATTGTTTAGTTCCAGAAACCGGGTTACAGACGTTTTCTAAAATATGCTGTGGGAACGAACAACAGGCCGTGCCTATTATACGCGCATCAAATAAACAATAAGATTGAGAGAAATCAAAATTCAAGCTGAATTCGCCGCAAAGAATAAGATTTTATCACACAACAGTAGATAAAAAGAATAAAAATAATTTCAAATAAAAAAACATCTGAAGTTAAACCTCTGTTATGGCCTTTGACTCCGGGCGTATCCTGGTTGTACAAAGCAAAATATTATTAACTGTGGGCCTAAAGCGCGGCAGCAATACATACCTCCAGCTCCTGGATAATTCTGGCACAAGTCTCTCTTACATCGGGGAACGGCACGTCGTAAGATAATCTAAGAATGACCGGTAAATGCTTTCTCAGTGTTGTAGCAGGATTTTCCTCAAAATCTTTGGCTTTCTTGCCATCTGCTAAGTCTTTTAGAGTCTGGTCTAGCTGTTCAAGAAATTGAGATCTTTGAATGTCATCGCGTGTCTGCAGTTCCGAGTAAACATTATATATTTCTACATCGCGAAAACTGCATCCATTTTCTATCATATTACCGTCTTCCTGAATCATATGGACAGCAAACAGATTCGTGTAGTCTCCTGTCCGGCATAAAAATTGATAATTGCAATATAAACAGACAACTGACTTCACGTTACAGACCTGCTCTCCGACACATATTGCTATGCTTCACTGTGAATTGCCCTATTTAACATCCTTGAAGTCGACAGACAATCCAATCGGTCATAAGGGTCAATACTGCCTCTTATTAGCGCCAGGGCGCTTATATAAATTCTCATTTCATATGGGCTCCAATTAGAAAATGTGCAAATAGTAAGGGACACTTATTTTCAATTTTGAAAAATTTCTAAGAAGGCGAAAGGGTTTTGAGTATTTCTTATTAAACATAACCTTTCCAAACTTTTCCAAAGTGTATGAAGTAGTATTCATCCTGAAGTATGAAATAGCTAAAAATCATCGTAATGTCTCTAACTTTTCGCTCTAAAGCGATGTCTTCATCTTTATGCAGCTTTTAACTAGACATTTTCTCTTCCTGCTCAAGTTTTTCTACGATATCACGATTCTATACTCAGTTGAATATTGCAAAGTTGCCTAATTCGATCTTTAAAAAGTTAGGCCCTGAATAGAGGAAACTATACCTTAAACTTAATCAGGATTTTCAACGATTGTGACATTTTAATTCACTGAATGATGACAAACTAACAAAGTGCGGTAAACCTGAAAACCTCGTATCACCAATTTTATATCTGATACCACCAGCGCCAATTAATCAGTTAAAATAACCAATTCAGGAAATAATGTGGTTCCGTCCCGGTTCCATACTTATTCAAGCAAAATTATCTTTTTGGATAGGCCTTGTATCTTCTTTCACAAGTCGCATTACAAATGAAAAATAGCTGTTATCTTGTATTTCAGTGTGTTAAAAAAGCTTCTGGTTTGCATAATCACCAGTTTTTACAATAGCATGTACAAAAGAAACACCATAATGGAATTATGAGCAACGATGCAGGTACCGGGCAGATAATGAGCTTGTGGCCTAAAACTCACCATCCAATAACTTCTGCACGAAATTCACAAAGGGGGCTGCCCTTTCAGTTGCTTCCTTTTTGTTACTTTTTTATGAAGGAAATAGAACGCTATCTGGCAACTACTGGGGGGGGGGATTTTATCAGAGTAAATACTTTTCATACATTTTCAATAAGAGTAAGCATGAAATTCTGTTACTTCCCATTAAGTACTTTGCTAGAAAAAACATGGTATTTTGGAAATTATTGCTGGCTGCAGTCCCCCTCACTTCAAACGGACCTGCTACCAAATGTTCTCAAAATATGCCAAAAAGCAACTTTCATTTTTTTTTCTTATGTGACTTGTTGGCAAGCAAGCCAGGCTTGAAAGCTCCCTTCCCAGATGGCAATCCCTCTTCAAACGTACCGTAAGTCACTGAACAAGCCCCTACCTTCAAATAAGCCCCCTCGAAATAAGTCCCTTCCTCAAAAAATTTTTTGCAAAATAAGCTCACAGGGGCCTACAGTGCCCTTGACCTAGTATTTGTCTTAAAGGGCTATGGCAACACCATCTTGCCCTATATCCTTGGATATTTCTACAAGGAGTACGAGATTATCTCTCGATATTTCTACAGAGTTTTCTCATAAATATCGCAGTGCTTCCATCTATTCCTATTGTATTTCCATGCAGCCCCTTGGATTCGATAAGTCTTCAAAATTAGCAGCAATTGGGACAACAAGGTCGATGATGTGCGAGCAATGTCTTCGATAATCAAAAGGCTACCCTTATTATACCCTGGGTACCAGACGCACTCTATATAAAATAGGAAAGTGAATCTTATTCTATATAGAGTGAGTCTGGTACCAGGCCAGGAGTACCCTTATTATCAATTGCTAGGACACTTCTTTTTCTTATGTATATGCTTTTTAACATTCAATGACGTAATCTGGCCTATCTAAAATAAACTAGATGCAATATTAACCAGTACAATTTGTCTTTTATGCAATATTTTTTATTATAAACAACGCACGAGTGTCTAGCAAACAAGCCATTGATATTTATTACCATAACCTGACTTGAAGATCCTAACTTTCAAAAATTTGGCTTTAAAGATAGATTAGAGCTTTGGCAATATCTTACCCGAAGTACATCAAAATAACTAAAACAAGAAATGAAAAGCACAGAATTATGAATTCTTGATTAACAATGAGAAACTAAGGTCTACCCTTCTAGATAGATATACCCCCCATTTCTTCTCTGCTCCTCAGCAAACAACTACTGCTTTGCAGTTATCATTGACCTTGCGTGAAGCATTTGTACTCTTTTTCAATATTATTGAATATAAGTGTTAAAAATGAATTTTTTTGGGACATCAAAATAACTCTATAACATGATAAAAACAAAATGGTCTGAATCTTATAATCGATATGATGATATTTGTGTCTAGAATATCGGATCAACTACCAAACATTTTAATGTGTCACGCCATTTAGCCTTATATCTTAACATATGCAAAAGTGTTATTGGTAACGAAAAAATATCAAATAGAATAAATAAACTGCAAGGCAGTAAATAGACAAAACGATTTTATAAAAAAGACTTGCTGTCATAGTCAGTTTTAATGGCCAATTCTAAATATTTTTGTGAAATTCGTGACAAATCCAAATCAATTACGATAAAAAAAGAAAATACGGGAATTATGTTTTGTTGATAATGGAGAGCTACCTCAATTGAAATTTGTTTGATAAAGTTGCAGAATCGAAATGTCAAACTGTGTATGCGTACAATGAAAGGTAAAATATTATTTAAACTTGTTGCAATGAATGATAAAGCTTAGTAAAGAGTAGCCGTCAATCTGGTAAACAAGGAGTTTTTAATACTGGGTAGCAACCTTGTAAAAACATTTCCTCCTGTCAGCCATTACCTCTCGGAGTAGCAACCTAGAATTTAGAACCGTTCTGTTCTATACCCCAACGTAGCGCGTGAATAAATCTATGTAGTTTGGTTTACATGCCCTTCAATTCAACTTCTCAAAAGTGAAAACTTTAGAAACACACCCTGAAGTGATGTGATACAAAAAACTAAAAGCAATGACGCAATAACTGAAAAAACTAAAGATACTAATGTAAAAAAATGATTTTAAAAGCTGAACACCTTACAATGGCCTAAAATTTTTAGGCCAGTGTAATTTTTAAATTCAGAACAATTAAAATTCTTGTTAAAAATTGGCATTGTCTCTAAACATGATAACAAGATAAATGTTTTATCTTGATGATAAGGACCTTCAATTTTCCGGTTCTACATATCGAAACCTGTTTTATGTCCTATCAAGGCAGTTTCGAACTGACATAATTAAGAAACTGTTTGGATAAGGGTTATTAAGATGATTCAAAAATTTTCCAACTAAACTGAAAATTGGAATTACTTTTTTGGAAATGAACAACTAATTCTCACTATTCGAAAGTGTAACTGTCTGGTTAACCATACATTCAAACAAAAATTTTGCCCCGATGTTTGTAGAGGTTTTTACAATATTATTTGGCTGACGTTTCTGTCTGATTTATTTGTTTCTGAAATATTCAGATTTGGAACAAAAATCGTAAATTTTCACCATACACTGTCTACGTAAATCAAGCTAGCAGCATACGAATTAACGCCTGCGGCCTTAATACACGTCGCTCGCCTGGTCGACATCAAGGATGAAGTTTATTAATGTAGAATTTCAAACACCCCTGGTGCAACTCCGTGTAGCCAATGGCGATTGAGCAATAGGAGACAACACCTCCAGTGAAACCAAATATGGATAGTTGACCGCAATAACACTGGTAATATTACTGGCTTGCTGATGAAACCTTGATATCCGGTTGGGTGACATCAGTGAACCCTGGGAAAACAAATGTTGCCAAGGTACACTTATGATCATAAGAAACTCGCCATAAGGAACGAATTCTGGACTATCAGAATAAAAACGTCATCACTCAAAGTTTAAAATTTCAAAACAGTGCAATTTTCTGATAAGCCCAGAACTTCGAAGTTCAACAATGTTCTAGAGAAATTCAATTAATTTTTTATAAGAACCAGTAAAATTAAACTCAGGATGACTTTTCTCCATTTGTTCTTAAATTAATAGGGTGTAAGCAGCGCGATTGCTAGTGTTTTCGCTCTAGGGAGGTGTTCAGGCCTCATTTGTCAACAAAGTGAGTAAAACAACCTTCATTTGGCGACAAGTTTGAATATTCACTGAAAAAGCACCTACACATGGCGAAAATCCTCGTTTTTGAGCTAAAAAGGCTATTCAAAATTGCATTTTACAGTAGCTCAGCCTCAGCTTTAGAACAGGCTCAGAACAAATTTAGAACGTTCTAAATTTGTTCTTAACTTTTGGCTAATTTTGAGGCTCGTTTTAAATTGTTATAAATAAATAAAGAGTGTAAAGTGATTGGCTGGTTGGCATTGATAATTTGAGCATATATATTCCTCCAATTTAAATACAGCATTAGAACAGAAACGAATCTTTAACGGAAATGCAACGGGTTTCAAAACAAAAAACATTGGCAAGGCTCATCATTTGCGGTCGTGACGATTCTCACCAAAAAAAAATTTCTACCACGAAAATCAAATATAGAACCCCAAACGCTGAAATTAACAAAATCTTAATTAAGAACTCTTAAGAATAATAAGAATTGAAATTTCTCAAAAAAACTGGTGCACTCAAAATTGACCTTTTTGAAAAAATGAGGGTGGGTGTGCAGGAAGAGTAATCCGTATTTCATTATTATAAGACCAAGGTGGATTGCGTATGAGATCCAATTGGCATGATGAGGTAGCAAATTCCTCTACTTGCATTAACAGTGACGTCACAGGGTGACCATCTACTGTTGAGTGAGCAGGGTGCAAACTTCAGTGTGATCAAATCAACCAAAATCGTAAAGTGGCCCCTCAATGTGTTCCTTAACCCCTGAGATGGTATTTTTCATTTGTGTGAACCCCGGGACCTTGGTGTAATAAAAGTTGAAGGCTAAACCTGCAGATAGCCACTTTGGAGACCCGGGACCTTGCAAAGTAGTACTCGAGGCATTTTTCGGTTTGGTTTTGCATTTTGTCATTTTAGCATGTGAAACATCCATTTTCTACAAATTTTGATCTTGGTACCACAGTTTAGTGTCACATTACCAGAATACCCGCGTTTTGGGACTGACGTTTTCATTGAAAAGTACTTTGGCGATTTTAAATTAGAGTCTGTATTCTACTATCATTAACCACCAGTATTAATTCTTATCCTGTTATCACAACTGACCTAGATTCACGGTTTAAAAAACCTTGTCAGGGCATTTTCAGCTAAGGTCTGCATCTTATAAGTTTTATCGCTCAAAATTTCTCAAGTAACCCAGGATTCATTCTAGATTCCGATTTTGCACAACATTTTTTAAGAAGGTGGGTCATGTGATATCAGCCCTAAGAAAAATATCCCAAACCAAGAAAGATTCGATTCTATAACATGGGCGGCGCCAGAGGGGGCTTCAGCTTTTTTGCAAAAATAATGCTTTTAAGAGAAATGAAAGAATGAATGAAACAAAAGAATAGTACAATAAATCCGTTTATTGCTTAGTTTCAAAGAGATCAGCCGAGGTCTATAGGGCCATATAAAGTAACGAATTCGATTTTTCAACAGGAATTAATGAAACGTAACAAAGCATGCTTTAAAAAGTGTAGAATGTTTGAAACAATTGCAAGAAAACGACAATAGTCTGAAATGTGTTTTAAGCTAATCTAAAGGTCGTGTTGTCAAAGATTTTATGCTCGCTTCGCTCACAGGGGAACCCTCTTCTTTCAGATTACTTAGGACCTCCGACAACCTCCCACCGGCCCATCAAATGTATCGCTAGCATAACAAGTGCCCCCATACAATCAAAGGCATAAAATATCGGGAAAAGTCTTAGTGCATTTTTCAAAAGTTGGCTTTTTAGACAAATAATGCCATTAACCCGACCCCCCCCCCCTCGTATAATAGGAATATTCTCCTTTTCAGTATTGACCTCGTTATCGTGTTACTTATGACGCACTTAACTTAAGGATATATATTTCAGCACGTAGTTAGTTATAGGACTTTTGATTTCGACGATGAAGCAGAAAACATGAACAAAGTTATTTTCTCTTCGCCTCACTTCTTCGATAAAGATCCCGCTACAATCGCACACTTTGAGTTTCTTAGCGCCACCACTGTACAAGATGTAATTTTTAATAACGGAAATAAATGAATTGTGTACAAATTGTGGAAGCAATTCTGTAATGGAATGAAAGAAGGAGTTAAGCTATACATTCCACATAAAACAGCCATAAGAGAAAATGGTCAACCATGGACAACAGCAAATTGAAAAAAGTTAATGAACTGACCTAAGGCTACAAAAGAAGAACTCCAAAAATGGACAGAAATGCTTCTCGTTTAGAGGTGCTAGGTCTTGGAATGGCCTTTCAGCTGAGTGTAAGCAGGCATCTTCCTTGACCAACTTCAAAAAAAACTTGCGAAATTGTAAATAGGCGTAATTGTAAATTGTATATTGGAAACTACCATTTCGCCTTTCGTTATAGATATTTGTAGTAAAATTAAACTCAAGTTAAAATAGAATTTATTTGAGATTGTAAATATTTGTTTTTTATAATAATTTCTGTAAGTATTTTAAATGGAGGGCCCCTTGAAAATCAGCATAGCTGAAGGGCTACCCTCCTTAAACATTTGAAATGAAATGAAATGAATGAATGACTGAAGAGGAGGGACCAACTATAAAATGGATGCAAAAATGGCCGTAAAGATATGCAAAAGAAATAAAGAAAATTAAAGCATGAAATCCAGAGAGTAGCCAGACGAGGTTATTGGTCACATATTGAGGGCATCATACCACCTGAAGAAAATTCTGATAAGTATGGGGGCATCAAGTGCTTTTGGAGTTACATCAATCACCGAAAAGCTGATAGCTGAGGTGTTGTACCACTTAAAGAAGATTGAAGATATGGTACAACAGCTATTGTAAAGCAACAGCAATAAATGCCCATTTTTAGTAAGTTTTCTCAAATAAAAAGCCTCTTACATTAAGAGCCGTCGAGAGATTTTGGAGGCCCTGGGCAGAGGCGGTCTGGCATCACAACTACAAGGTGGCTAGCAAACCTGTAACAGGGGTTAGACTTTCTCTAAAACCCTTGTCACTTCGAGTAGTCAACGAATTGAGAGTGAAGACAAAAAGCGAGCGACTCGTGTTGAGGTTAATCACTGACTGAATTACTAAACAATCGGCTAAGTGTTATATACAAACGAAAGCGAGGTTAGCATAATAATTATGTATGTTAATTAATGGCATATGATCCTACTACAAACCCGGGGGGGGGTACTTGGATACCAAAACGACAGGGGTGTGCACTCCTAAGATTGTTTTGGTGAACCGGCTTTAGAAAAAAAGCTAAAAATGACACCTGGCTTGGGAATTTCTGGAAAAAAGAACAAAGGAAAACAAAAGCTTTGGTGCCAGTTGCCATGGTTGCCAGAACACTACAAAAACAATGGGCGGGCAGCGAAAATCAGGCAACCGGCTTAAGATTATATCCTTTGAACAGATACCCGGCCTTACAATAAATTGCTGAAAATGATACCCGGAAAGACGTACACATCCCGTCAGCAAAATATACTAAGTACCTCCCCCCCCCCTCCGGGCTAACAAACCAAGAGAGCCCAGTTCAGGGTGTGGAATATAAACTTTTTGAGCCATACCCACTAATTAGAGCATAGCCTAAAATACGCTCAGTCGAAATCAATTATTAATGGGTGCTGTACCCTGTTTTTGAAGTTTGAACAGTCAAAAAGAGAGTGGAACAGTCAAGGAGGCTGTCATAGAAGTTTTGATGAAAGATGAAAATTGCAATGTTCTTTTGAGACTTTTATGGCACAAAGGAGTTACCCCTTGCCGGGATCCTTTCAAACAGGTTAATCCATTGAGCAGAGCGTGATGTACATCGCGTCACCGCCAACATTTTATGGAAGGGGGAGCACGTATCTCTTTCTACTCGTTAAATCCAAATTTTCATCTTCCAGCAACGTTGATTTTGACTCAAAAAACAAGATCATATTTTACACTACTTACCTGCATTTACTCTTACTCAAAGTATAGCTTAGTTTAGGCTCAGTTTCCGGCAAAAGACTTCCAAAGATCAATTATGCCACCAAACTGATCACCCGGTTTGCTGTTTGTATACAATTCAATTCAACTGCTCCAGCACATCAAAACAAACTCGTCTGCAAACTGGTAATCCAAAGCAGAAATTTTTGTTGCATGCAAAGGTAAGTCTCCTAGTTGCAGGAGTTCCTGAATATAGTAACTAAAATTGTTTAAAGATACTGCATATTCAAATCTTCATAGGTATTGCTCTCGCACATCAACGACGGTCCAAATTGATCGATCCAAATTGATCGACCTTGATGCAGAATTGAGCATCCCAACCTAGCCTTTCCTTGTTTGGTTACTGGTTGAAAATAAGTCAACTTGCATCTTGCTGACTAATTTTTTGGATTTTTTTCTCTGTTAAGGAGATCTCTGTATCCTCGTCCTCAAGTAACCATCCATGGAGCTCTGTCCCACTTACCATTATTGTCATAGATAATTAGCATTACCATTTGCTTACCATCGACCTTTTAAACTACCCTACACTACATTCATTAACGTTATAAGTTATAGGGTTTAGAATTGCTTCCAATGTCTCCAACATATACGAAATACGTGATAGTAATCTGAACCCTCTGAAAGCTGGACTTAGGACCAAAATGTCCAGAACACGGTGTTGGGTGTTCCCCAGCCAGATTTCTAACATAGTCTCTTAATGGTAGTAAACAAGCGATATACAACGCTGTTTGGCTTGAGACTTTCTAGGGATCATAGATTACATTGAAGCAAAACTTTGGGTTAACCCGGTTTTTATAACCATTGTTTACAATAAAAATCATATTGAAAAATTCTTCAGCCATTGCATCAAGTTTTTCAGATAAGAGATAGCTTTCATTACATTTTTACTTGTTAACAGTAGTGAAGAGCCAAAAAATGTAGAAGGGGGGCCATCAGGCATAACACAGCCATTGGGCTAGCAGGGGCTATAGCCCCCCCCCACTTTTTTGCAGTAATAGGCTACAAATTTTTTGGAAGGTTTACTCTAACGCATCTTTGCATAGTTTACTCCTATGTAGTAGCAGTTTATCTTGACTGGGAACCTTTTTTTGTTCATTTTCTAGGTGTTTTATCTTGTTTAATGACATGCTGCATTTTCTAGCTTGGCTAGCTTGGTATTTTGTTACTCTCAAGCTAATTTTATCTATTTTTATAGTTATTGATAACTTCTCTGAAACATACTGTTTATAAAAATTGTGTAGAAATGAAAAATTATTTTTTAACGGGGGCATTTTCAGGCGTTCTGGAGGGCATGGCCTCAAAAATTTTGGTCACATCCATTTCAGCCCCTCCACTTTTAGACTGGTACACAGCCCTGGGGGCCATAGAGCTTTCGATACACAAAATGAATAGTACTTCAGTTGTTTTCGTGTGCATGGCTCCTCAATATCAACTTCTTTACCTTCTCATTTTTTTCCTAGGGTCAAATCATTTTCTAATAATACTAATAATACCTGTTACTTGAGTTGCAAAATTTTAAAAATAAAGAACGCAAAGTGGTTTAATTTTTTGTCAATATTTATTTAGATTTCAGTTATCAAGAGGGCTATTGAGGTCTCGCATGAATCCAAATGTCAAAAAGTAATATCAGTTCAATCAAATATTTGATCCTGGCAGAAATTAGCCATGACATTTTAGAGTTAACCAGAGAAAAAGGAGAGGGCTCAGCCCCCCTTCAAAAAGTAGAAGGGGACAGAGCCCTCCTGAGCCCCCTATTTTATAGCCCTGCTTGTTAAACATTCCACTAATTGTGCAGAATTTAACACTATCGTCTTGATATTTTGTCATCTAGAATGTGAAACATCATCAATTGTTTTCTTGAACAAATGTTTATCTCAGCCCTAATGTGATGTATCCAAGGGATTAGAGGACATAGGGGATTTTGGAGGGGCAACTGCCCCTATTTGAAGCAAGTCCAGTGCCCCTTTTTTGGAAATTTTGCACCCCTTTTAAAGAATGAGAATCAGTTGAAAAAGTTTCTGAGACTTCTAGATTAATTTACTTCAAGGATTTCCTCAAAGTATAAAACAATTGAATTTTAAAAATTTCTATAGAAAATGAATACAGCGTACACTCATCATCAATATCTGAAAAATTTTCAGCGCCCCCACTACCAACTGCCTCTCCTTCAAATTTGCTCTGGATCCGCCCCTGTCAGAGGCTAAAATTGAATTTTTAAAGTAAAAAAGGAGGAACGAATCATGACTTAATTTCTTGTATCACTTTTCAGTACCTCTTTTGGGTCTCCACCACACATGTAAAAATTTTAATGCCAGGAGGTACCTTTTTCATGAAAATGTAGACAAAATCCAATTTAAGGAACCAAATGTAAAATGATAACTAGTTTGAAGCAGTTATCCATCTTTTCTTGTGCACATACTTCATGTCTTTTCATTTTCATTTCATATGTATTATTTTCTTGTGCACATACTTCATGTCTTTTCATTTTCATTTCATATGTATTATGAGCATTGTTTAATCAAATAATAGATTTGAGAAATGCCAGGTATTACTAATGCAAAAGAAATTATTACTTTGCTCAATACAATTCTTAGAACAGAAACATAAAATAGAGAATTATTATTAAAGAGGACGTATGAGAAGAATATCAAAGTCTCAGAGTCTCATATTCAAATATTTAACAAAGGCAATTACATGTAATCTTAGTAACTTTAATAGTTTAAAGAGTATTGTTGTTGTGTTACAAAGCAGAAACATGTATTTATGAAATATTAATAAAGATACACCTACATTTAAATCATAGGCTATATAACTATGATGTCATACAAGGTGAAAGACAGTTATGGAAAAAATTGCTTTATCCTTGTTAATATTTACAATATGTTTTCTTTCAGGAACCTCCTCTTCCAAGCTGATGTCAGTAGCTTTAGACTTATAATGGAGAAAGAAAAAAAGATAGCTGTCATTGGGAGGTGATTATTCATTTGCTGCTCTTTTTCCTACTTGGAAATTTATAAAAGCTGTCATCTTCACCACTACTTGGTGCTGTAAATTTGATATCAAGAAAAGTATAACTTTTGTCTGAACTGTAGTGTGCCATGGTGTGAGGGCAGGGGGGCAATGTGTTGCCATGACCCAATCAACATTTGTGTGTTGTATGTATGTGGCTTCATGTTTAGCATGCTAACTAACAAAGATTTTACGTGTGCAAAAATTTTTTTCTATTATTTTGCACTCAGAATGCCAAAAAATCCTGAGTGTACGCCAAAGATCTTCAGGCCTAATTGCATGGAATGCACCCTGGCAATCCATACAACAGCTACTTGTTATTTACATCGATGTGCACTCTGAACCAAAGGTCACCCTTTTTTCTTTCCCCAACGCATGAATCCTCCCCTCCCAAATTTTTTATAAAAATCAATAATCAATGTTTTTTTGAGCATCATCAAATTGTCTTTTCTGAGCGGTATGCTAATTTGTAAAATTTTAGTCTGAGAGATGCATTTTTAGCCATTCTAGAAGGCTTGATTTGAATCAGTGTAACATCAGTGTAAATGAATAGAAAGTTTTTTGATTAGTATTTTATGTTTTGGCTAATGTATTTCCTCAAGAATAGGCTGACCCTCAAAAATAAGCCAATTCGAAATTGCTGGATATTTCACCAAACCACAATCGAGAAAGTCAAATGTTTGGATTACATAATTTTTTCCATATATACTCTCATTTTTAATCAAAACGTATTCATGAAATTTTGAATTGTTACAAGAATTGATTTCCCTTCTAGAAACACGTGCTTTTATACAACCACGATATATAGATAGGGCGCAAAAATCGACTTTGCCACCTGAGGGAAAACATAGCCACCCTGCCACTGAAAGTGTGCAAATAGACAAAAGTATTTTTTGAAGGGTAACCTCAATTGGATAACTCTTGATGAATATTGACCGTTTTTCTAAATCTTGCATGACACCCTGTGAACTTTGAACCCCTCACTGAGCTGTTAAAAAAGACCAGATTATTCTGTTTATGGCTCTAAGTACGTTTTGGAGAATATTGAGAAAGGGCTAAGCTACCCCTGCTTCTGCAGTTCTCTCTCCTACCTGAAGCTTTTTTGTTGAATTGATGCAATTTTGGACAGATAGTATTAGAGAAAGGTATCCTAGCCTATTTAAGTAATTTTTGGAGAGTGAAGCTGGCATATTTTGGTATTTTCTGTTTACTGGTCTGCAATAGAGTGTTTGATGCCTTGTAGACAAAGCATAACATGCATTGGCCTAATATTACATACATAAAAAGTTTAGAAAATCATCTTCTAGCAGAATGGTTCTATCATTCTGTTCCATACAGCAAAGTGTGCAACAGTTTCGTGAGTTTCTGTGCACATATTTACACCCAAAGAGGATTTTCTGTATTTGAAGTGTAAACCAACTCAGAACTAGCTCCAGTTAAGCTTATAGCCAGGCACAAGGCACCATTAATTTTTAGTGGTCCAAACATTGCATGATATACTCATAATTTTCATACTCATAACTGTCTGTTTGTTTAAGACAATTTACAAAAACTTTAACCAAGAATGTTGTTTGGTACTGTTTAAATTGTATCTTGCTGTTCAGTTTGTAAGCATATAAGGATATATTTGTAAGAATCAACTATATGTTGCCAAAACACATTAATATTACTGATTACTGTTATGTAGGAAGACATTGTTAAATGTAGGAAACAAAGAAAGAAAACACTTTTAAAGTTTCAGGTTTAAAAATGATTCGTTTAAACTTTATATCCTTCTGGACTTGATAAACAGTTTACGTCTCTTTAATAACAACCCCCCTCCTTTTTCTTTGTTTTTTCTTCTTCGTGTTTGTATGCATACATATACATAAACATAAACTCTGTATTTGTGTATATGTATGTATATATAGATAATTTTTAGCTCTTTCTATATATTTCTTTTCCATGCTCTTATATCCGTTATTCTATTCCATTTGTCGAATTCTATATTTCTTTAACTATACTTTTTAGTTTTATCATCGCTTGTTATTTACTTGATAACGAGCAATGCTCGAAACGTCGTTATTTATTTTGAAAAAATTTCCTGGTACAATTTACTTACATATCATCGTTATTATAGCGTTATATTGTACCGCATGCAATCTAGTATATTTATCTCGTGATCTGGGTACCCCCTCAAGCACAACAGCTGGCAACGACCCTGAATCCACTTGATAACAGATATTTTGTTTACAACCAATGGCGGCGCCAGCCACTAAGCTCTGGGGGGGACAAACCAAACAAATTTAAGCCACGCCCTTTTAACCACCAGAAAACGCCCTTTTACCAACAAGGAACGCCAATTATATCTGAAGGGAACGCCTATTACAAACTTTTGTTTGAAAATTTGCAGTTTTAAAATCATAGGATTACATCACAAAAAGTACGGTGTGAAAATATTACCCCTCCCCCAACATTTTCTCATCGAATTTAGACGAAATACAAAATCGATTCAGCTGGGAACTGGGGGGGACGTGTCCCCAGTCCCCCCGTGGCGCCGCTACTGTTGACAACCATTAGTATTTGTCAAAAAGACAAATACTTCAAGAGCTCAAAGCATCCACAGATGCTTCATCAAAAACTAGAATCATCCTAAGTGAAGTACAATTACCTTATATCATCTGCCTTTCAAGATATTTGATTATTTCAAATACGTTATACTCACCAAAAGAAAACTCATTGCAGTGTTTTTTTCATTTTAGTGGATTGATTGGCCGGTGCTGGGCGATAGTAAGTACATAATTATCTTGGATATTTTGTCTCGCTGTATTCAAGGTACCTAGTTTAGCAAGAGCCATTTCATTAATTTCAAGGCCTCCCCAGAAAATGAGAACCATACTCAAGAAGACCATTCATGCTGCTGTTTTCAGCAGGGGTCGTAACTGCATAATATACTTGAATCTAGAAAGAATTCATTCTTTATCGTGAAAATCCATGGCCTAAAATTAAGCTGTTTTGACGAAAGCAACTGAGTTTTTCAAATATTTTGAAAAAATCTCCAGAAAAAGCTACAAATTTAAAAAATATTCTTGAAGTGAGCAAAACATTGTTTCCGAATTAAAATCGTTATTCTTCGCATTTAGAGCTTCCTGCAAACGAGGAAATGATCCCTTCTATTTGTGCGCGTTTGACCAAAATAATATTTGTTCCGAAATGGAGATTGGAATTTTGATTGAAAGTTTTAGAAAATAATAAGAATGGAAACTGATTTTTTTAAACTAATTTCCTTATTCAAATAAAACTAAGCAGCACTTAAATAAACAAGATGAATAGCCTTTTCACTAAAGGCCTGAGCCAAGAAGTTGTTGTGAGATATTTTCAATTTTTTTTACGTTTACTGTATCGTCTGCATGGACAGTCTGTAATACTCTGCGAAATGATTAGCTGATTTTTAAGCTAAAAACAAGGTGCTGCATAAAATGTTTAACTGAATTCTTTATAGCTAAATTGAAGAAAATACCAAGGACTCTGCTATATCATGGCAATTTCTGAAAGAAATATGAAAGCTTTTGCAGAATGCATAGATAAATTCATGCATGAGTGGTCTGTGTCTTTAAATCCTATATGCAGATTTAAAGCCTTGTAATTCTTTAAAGTAAAATCAACGGATATATCCCTAACATCAGCATTGGTTGCGGCGATTTTTGACGTCTCTTTTGCTAATTGTTGTTTATTTCTAGATTTTTGCAAAAGCTGGCTACAGTGTATGTTTATATGATGTAAATAAAGCTCAAATCACAAATGCATTGGATACTTGCAGAACACAACTCTCGCAAATGGAGACTGATGGATTTTTCAAAGAAAGTTCTTTGAATGCAGAAGAGATATTTCGTTTAATTAGTGGCTCGGCTAATTTAATGGATGCACTAAAAGATGCAATTTATGTTCAGGTATTGGCCAGCGAGTTTCATCTTCCAGTTTAATTTTTGATATTCCAGTTTTACTACCGTACTTTTACGCCTGCAAGACTTTATTCATTCCTGAGCCACTATTTTCTACCTCTGCAAAGATAATTATTCGTATCAGGAACTCACTATAGACCCCTAACATTTTAGTGGCTTTTATGCATTACATTTTATTGCATTTCCTTACTCTATCTTGCAATTGTTGATCTCTCATGTCGCATTGAACCTTGGAGTCAATGGCTTAATTTTAAACAAACACTGTAAAGCAGCTAATAATATATGCGGATGACTCTGTATCAAGAATCTTTGACCGTGAAATGTTCCATATTTCCTCTGTTTGTTCCTTCTAATTCTTTTATTTGATTTGCCATGATTGCTAATGAAATTTATTTTTTATATTGTTGTGAATTTGTTGCTGTTGTTTTTGCTGAAGGAAGTTTATTTGAGAGCAATTTTTTAAATACTGTATACATATAAATATCTTTATGCACTATTTTTCAAATGAAAAGGAATTTTGCTGCAGTGATTCGAAAATGACCGTACTTTTGTGGCAAGCAAGGAAATTTATTGAGTTGCACAGACAATTCTTATTGCAAGTTGTAAACAGGTATCACCAATACACATTATCTCGTACTTTTGCCCCCACAAACCTTATCTTAGCACAAAAAAATGCCTTTCAATTTTTACCTTGAAAAAAATTGTAATTTTTCGAATTTTTAAAAAACCGCAGAAAATGAAAACAATCTGCTTGAGCCCTAGATCGGCCTTGCACGAATAAAACTTGGACTTCCCTATTTGCAATAGCTACTTTTCCTTCATATTGGTTAGTGCTCTCAGGCTATTCGAAGTATCTTGTAATATGCATCCCGTAATAATTATTTCATTGTAACATTTTGAATTACGAGCAAAATTAAATATCATGCAAGATAACACGATTTGATCTTGAGTTCCCTTATACGGTGCCCTCTTGTTATTGCTGACTTCTGATTTTATTTTCACAGGAATGTACACCAGAAAATATAGATATGAAGAAGCAAGTTTTTGCCGAGCTAAGCAAACATGCTGATGAGGGTACTATTATCGCAAGTTCAACATCGTGCCTCGTTCCTTCACTTTTTACTGAAAAACTGCCAAACAGATCCCATTGCCTTGTAGCACATCCTGTGAGTAGAGTATCTTTTTTAAACACAATGATACACTGTAAAATGTCTTTGTTTACCTTGAATATCAAACGTCGTTAACTTAGATCGCAATACTAGCCTTGCTTGCATGGATGCTGTACAATGCACCTCGACGGGATTGTTAATGCATGTAAAACTCTGTACGGTGAAAAATTTTGAAGAATGGGAGCTCTAAGCCAATCGTTCCTCAATAATTCGAACAGATGATACAGTATACTCTCGTTAAGTGGGACCCCGGATAAGTAGGACGCCCGCTATGTAGTACAGATTTTCCCGGTCCCTTGAACTTGCTTACCCTTTTCAAGCATTCGGATAAGTAGGACGCCCGCTATGTAGTACAGATCATCCCGGTCCCTTGAACTTGCTTACCCTTTTCAAGCATCCGGATAAGTAGGACGCCCGCTATGTAGTACAGATTATCCCGGTCCCTTGAACTTGCTTACCCTTTTCAAGCATTCGGATAAGTAGGACACCCGCTAAGTAGTACAGATTTTCCCGGTCCTTTGAACTTGCTTACCCTTTTCAAGCATTCGAGTAAGTAGGACGCCCGCCATGAAGTACAGATTTTCCCGGTCCCTTGAACTTGCTTACCCTTTTCAAGCATTCGGATAAGTAGGACACCCGCTAAGTAGTACAGATTTTCCCGGTCCCTTGAACTTGCTTACCCTTTTCAAGCATTCGAGTAAGTAGGACGCCCGCTAAGTAGTACACTTTTCTCAGTCCCTTGAACTTGCTTACCCTTTTCAAGCATTCGGATAAGTAGGACGCCCGCTATGTAGTACAGATTTTCCCGGTCCTTTGAACTTGCTTACCCTTTTCAAGCATTTGGATAAGTAGGACGCCCGCTATGTAGTACAGATTTTCCCGGTCCTTTGAACTTGCTTACCCTTTTCAAGCATTCGGATAAGTAGGACGCCCGCTATGTAGTACAGATTTTCCCGGTCCTTTGAACTTGCTTACCCTTTTCAAGCATTTGGATAAGTAGGACGCCCGCTATGTAGTACAGATTTTCCCGGTCCTTTGAACTTGCTTACCCTTTTCAAGCATTCGGATAAGTAGTACATTTTTGCTCGCTCCCTTGAGTGTCCCACTTAACGAGAGTATACTATATATATAAACGCATGCGAAATAAGAATTTATATTTATTGTTAATAGCAACGAGTGCTTTTCTGCTGGAGCAAAAGAACTTCGTCAACTAACAATAATTTTTTAAAGACAATTTATTTGTTCGATGCTTTTTTGGGAAAAATTCAGGTCTTTTCTTTGTAAAAATGTGACTTTTGTGACTGTGACTCAAATGTGACTCAAATCTCTAGATCGGCAATCTTTCTTGGCTTAAATGTGAACTAGGGAAAGATTGATTGTGATTGAAAAGTTCTGGTCTCGAATGTCATTTAGATTTTTCGCTAAATTTGTATTATTTATCGGCATACGAACTAATGTAAGTGGTTGTCATTTTGCAGCTTCATGTTCTATGTATTATATTATTGTATGATTTCTATATATTTTTATATATATAAAGTAAAATGGTCAATTTTTGATAAGTCATTATAAGATACGAATTCTTGTTCCACAAGAATTACTTTTGAGTCCTATGATTTATGCTGTCATTTGGAAGCAAAACAATTTTTTTTCAAGTAGCTAATACAATTTTATGCTGCTAGGTCAACCCACCTCATCTTGTACCGCTAGTTGAGCTTGTTCCGTCTCCTTGGACTGATCCAGAAGTAGTTGAAAGGACTAAAGATCTGATGAAAGACATCGGTCAGACACCAGTCATTGCTAAAAAGGAGGTTAATGGCTTTATTCTTAACAGATTGCAATATGCATTGTTGATGGAAGCATGGAGGCTCGTTGAGGTATTGTTCATTATGTCAGATACTCATGATATAAGTAAGTTAATTTCAAGTGGGATAGTAATTCATAATGAGTGTTTATTTTATCTAGTACAGCAAACAACTGGTTTTAGTGATGGTAGAAATCAGCAAAATCGAAAATTTTCACACATGTAAGCGATAATTTGAAGTACGATAAGATTAACGAGCTTTTCACAAATGACAGCGATAAGATACGTTTTGAATTCATACTTATTGATCAGCATCATATTTTTAAAACTATCAATTCAAAGTCATGACAAAGCGTTCTCGTTTTCTGACGAATGTTCTGTGAAAAGCTTGTATAGATTTTGATTCTGTTTGTATCTGTGTATTGTATCGTAGGATGGCGTCTGCTCTCCAGAAGATGTTGACCTGACTGTCAGCAAAGGACTAGGCCTTCGATATGCAGTGATGGGACCGTTTGAAACAATGCATCTGAATGCAGCAGGTATCTAAATTAATATTTTAAAATCGGCACTGTTTCTTCTATTCTGTAGACAGAAGGATTCTGCAGTTATAACTACTGTTTCGTAAATGCAAGATGGAACAACAGAAAAATTCTACTTTTTATGTTCCTTTAGGAATCTTTTCGTTTTGCAGCTGCTTCATGCCCTTTCTCGACGTCGGCTTGCCTTGCATTTTCAATGACAAAAAGCTTTCTAACATCATATGATCTCTCATTCCCTGTAATTAGCCCTCTCAGACTACACTTCATCGTATTCTAAACTTCTAGTCAAGGCTAAATCTACTCCAATTCATATCCACTCCATTCGGCTGCTAGCACTAGAAGTTTACAAAACTTTCTACAACTCGAATCCAGTCTTTATGAAAGACTACTTTCTCCCAAAACCCAATAGCTATAATCTTCGAAAAATGGATACTCTATCTGTTCCAAAGGTTAAAACGACAAGTTATGGTATAAAATATATTAGCTTTTTGGGTCCAAAGATTTGGAATTCTCTTCCAAATGAAATAAAAACATCCAAAAATGCAAGTCAATTCAAAGTTCTTATAGAAGATTGGTACTTCGAGAATCAATGCGCCTGTAACGCTTGCAGTCAATGACTTCCATAATGCAATCTCTTAAATTGCTTCATGTTAGTGTTTATTACTTAGACTTACTTTTTCAGGTACATCTAGACCATTAGATATTTCCTACGCTGGTAGTCATTTAGATTTATTTTCAACTTTTCTCTGTTGAAAATGCAAAGAAGTTATAAATTTGTTTTCTTTGAATTGGTGGAATGAATTCGTATTGTTTGGACCTTTCGTTAAATGAGGCTATTTTAGACGTGTTGATAAATTGTTGCCAGTCAAACATAGCTCTGGTCCTTGAAAAACTTTAAAATACCTTATGGAAAGCTCGCTTCCAACATTCTTCAGTTATTTGAATAGCTTTTGATATGATCACAAACCATTTTTGGTTCCCAAAGTGATTAGCTTATCGCCTTTAAACCTTCGATGCTACAAATCTGGACCTGATTCCTGTGACCAAAGCTATTACTTCGGCGATTTACCTCCATGCCAGTTGCCCACTATTTCCGTTCACTCCCAAATAGCTTTGTTTAACTGCAAGAAATTTCGAGATAGTTCAGTCTTTGTTCCATAGCACCTTGGCGATTGCAGCCACTGATATGATTATTCTTCGATTCAGGTTGATGCATCGTTTCTGCATCTCGTTACTTACTGCTCTTTTCAAAAATGGACCTCAGTTTTCAAATGATCATGTTGGAATAAGTCTAATTTGAAAATTTCGTGTTTTTTGGACAGTCAGGTCGCTTGTTGCTACGTTTTGAATTTTAAAATATTTCTTAAGATTTGACCGTAATTTGCTGTTGCCTACAATGTAAGGAAAAGCTAATTATTGAAAATTCGCTGTCCAAACAACATGAAATTTTCGGCAAAGACTAATTTCAACATAAAGATTCCTTTTCTATGATCCTTTTTGGCTAATGTGAAGAAAACAAATTCAGAACGGTAATTCAAATTCAAGAATTCAACACTGGTTGCTCGAAATCCAAAACCTAAGAATCATTTCCCATGTCAGAAACTTTCCTTTTATTACTTAACAATTTTCATCACAAATACAATGCATACCTTTTTTCTTGATGTATTTCCCTGCTTACGTGGCTTGTCTCACCATAGGTTTCATTTGGTCGAAATAGCTACTTTGACATCCAATTTGAGTTTACACTGTCCAGTTATCCATTTAATTGAATCAATTTAAATGCATAGTGTATTTCAGCCTTCAGGCTTGTCTTGGTTGGCTTGGCTCGGCTTGGCTCGGCTTGGCTCGGCTTGGCTTGATCCTGGCTTGTTCCTGGTTTGTCTTGGCTTGGCCTTGGTTTGTCTTGGCTTTGTTTAGCTTGGTTTGGCTTGATTTAGCTCGACTTTGCTTGGCTTTCTTTTATTGAACGGGTCTCTTCTTGCCTTCCTTAGCTTTAATTCGCTGCATTTGTTTGACTTAATTGTGATTAACTTAGGTTTCATTTGGCTTATTTGGCTTAACTTTATCTAGCTGTTCCAGCTTTGGTTTCCTTGGTTTGTCTTGCCTTAGCTTTACTGACTTTGTTCGATCTGCTTCCCTTTCCCTGGCCGTTTTCTCGCAAAAATTAGACTCGATTCTGCTTTTTTAGACAAGCTTGGCTGGGATTTGCTTCGTTTAGTTGGTCTTTTCTGGATTTGATATGTCTTCAACTGGGCTTTTGTGATGCCTAAAAAAGTAAAAGTTGTTCTTCATAGCAGAGAAAAGTAAAAAAGCATTTCATTTTTTGTTCTCGTAAGTTAATGGTCATTTTGGTATATGAATTCGGTATATTTCAATTTTTAGCATCAAAATTGACTATATAGTTTCTATTGAAAAGGGAAGTCTAAATGTAAACTTGAGATCCATTACTATTGTTTCGGCCATTATCGAGAGGGACAGAAGTAATCGGTGCTGGCAAATTTCGTTTCAAGAATCTGTTTCCCGAGTAATGACGATCTTTATGCCCGATTGGCTGCTAGTTTTGGGAATTCCGCTCTCTCTGTTGGGTTCTCAGTACTAAAATTGGGGGTTTATATCTCAGGGCCTTCTATGCTTAACCCCAGTAACCTGTGACTAGAGTAATAACTAAATGACAAGCAGGCTCTAAAAAGCCTGATTGAAAGGACGACCTTGCTCTGCATTCAGGTAAGAACAAACGCTTATTCTAGCAGATGTTGCTAAGTGGCATAGCTGCTACGTTTCTGCAAGATGTTGTTTCGGTTTAACTTCACTGAATCATGAATTTAGATTCAAATTTCCCATTGACGCCTGCATAATTGAGGGCATGGGGAGACCAACCTTTATATGGGACAGCAAGCACAAGACATCCATTCATTTAAATAATTGTAGTGCTTGTTAAGCAAGTAATTAGAATGAAGTATGGAAAAATAAAGAGGATTGAACAAAACCGTCATTCTTTAAATTCTCAGTCTTCGGATCATCTCTCGCGTGCACAAAGGGGATATCCTACTTATCTACGTAACATATAAAATACCTACGTATACAAAAAACCAAGTGAAATTGCTAAATTTAGCTCTATTACACCATCAAAGATTTTAAGCATAGAGAAAATGTTGACAAAATTACCCATACATAAAAATGGGTATTAAATGGCCTTGTTACTTATCACAATATTTGGTTTTTAAAAAATCATGGCTGTTATGAATGGGCTGGTTGTAAAATTTTGATTGCCCGCTAAGTTTTTATGCCGATTTATCCCCTTTGGGTTCCTGGAATACTTCTGAGGGAACACGTCGTTTGTTTATCATCTATTATCTTTGTCGCTGTCCCTCTTGTGGTTGATCTGTCACAATCAAAACTTTTTATCCTTTGCGTTTTTGTGCTGGTGTTAACATTTTTCTAATATTTTCTAATAGATATTGACATAACGAGAGTGGTCAAAGTGGTCATCGATTATCGATGAGATCTTATAGTATTAGAAAGATGTTAACACCGCAGCTGCCCCTCCAGCCCCCCTGTGTAGGCGCCCCTGAACATGAGAACTATTAATGAACGGTAACTTTTAAATAAACACCCAGGGCTCTTGTATGAATTAAATGAACTCCCTTGATTCAAGAAATATAAATAAACTTTTTTCAACCTTTAAAATATGGATATCTGGAAAATTTGCGCTCTCTTTATCTAGTTCGCTAAAATCACTTTGGCGACTTCGGCAAAACTGAGTCAATCTTCCTGTATCTTTTCCCAGTAACTCGAATTTCAACTATTACGTCAGACTGATTCTTAGAATTGTTACAGTTATTTCAATGATTCAATAGGAACATGACTCACTTCATTGTTCGTCTTCGTGGCATCTTTTTTATGAAATCAAAATTGAGACTTTGTTAACAGATGCCCCTCCCGTGCAACCAACCCTTTCGAACTCACATCTAGGATAAAAATAAAAAATTTTCAAATAGTTTGATTCTTATACCTCTATATCTTGACCATTTACGATATTTATGCTTTTCAGAATAAGACCACATAAAAAATCTGAGCATTGGCATATAATATTCACATTGTACTTCAATTTTTTTCGTTCTATCGCTGAATTTTACTTATAACACAGCTCACTTATTATGTATGCCGCTGGCTTGTTTCCTCTTGCTAGCTTGTCTCTCAAACTTTTCTGAACTTTCCTTATGCCAGGAAAATACTTTTTCAAAGTGCACGTGATTGATTTGATGCAGCAGTGAAGAATTCATATTTTTCTCAAAATCCAATCCATCCAGCTTAGTTTTGGCTTAAAAATTGAAATAAATAGAGCAACTTTCGGAGCCATTGCAACATTGTGAATATTGATCAGCGCCATAATAAGGCCTTTCTTCTCGTTAGCAATTATTCTAAAGTCGCATTACATGTTTGCCAGCTGCTAGATATTCAATTATATGCTCTTACCCTCAAACTTTGGATCAGATGCTTTAATAATTTATTCCTAACTCCCAATACATTAAGAATTACAGGTTGTTTCGGTGAAGTTTGTTTTTCAACGAGAGCTCTCTTGCTGAGCACTAGATAATTTTGTAAATTTGACACTTGCTTTATCCCTAGACAGTATATATTAAATGCTTCCTTAACCCTGTAGCTACAGTTCAACTTAATAATCGTTTTTTCATTTTTTCCCTGTTATATTTAAGAAAACGTTATCCATAACTACGAATAAAAAATATTTATATCTAAATAATTTTTGCACTACAAGTGGTATATAAAAATCTTTTGGTAGTTCATGGTATTATCTGCAAAACATTAACCTTTCAAATTCAATATCGTTGCCTGCCAAATATCTCTCTCTACGTTGAAAAATCGTTGCCTACTAAACGCAGTGATAATTTAGTATTTCTTTTGCCCTCCAGCAAGGATAAACGCATGATTTGTGAAGTAGTTTTGGAACATTGCAAGTTTGTGAGATGAATGTCGAAGTAGAGGTAGTAGTTGTTTTTTGAAAAAGAATAATCATTGAAGGAGCAGGGCAGAGCCTCTGGCCGGTTCAATTTATATTGTCAGGCCTTATAGTCTTGTCTGATACCATGTTTTTCTATCGTCCCTCAAAGGTGTGAAAGACTATTGTGAAAGATATGGATCAAATATCGAGCGGATATGTCGGGAAGAAGGGGGCCCTAGAACAATGGCAGGTCAAACTGCAGAGAAAATTCACGAAGCAATGTGTAACATAGTTCCGGTGGATAAACTGGAAGAGCGGCGCGAATGGAGAGATTCCAAACTTGGTGAGCTCTTCAAGCTTGGTCACTCAAAACATTAAATCCCATTTCTATTATTCCTATCACAAGTGTTTTATGAAGTAGCACGGAAATATGCAGATCTTTATTCTCGTATTTTTCCAAGTTCTGATACCATTTTTAAAGTAGACTTTTGCTAATTTACTCTTTCGAATTTCAATCCCAAGTCCAAGATTTGTTACGTTTCAAGTTTGAATATCGTCTTAGAGCTGTTATACGTCATAAAAGGACATGCTACGATTACAAAAGGGTGTTTCCTCGTGATACCGTGCCCAAGGAAACATTTTGAACTGTATCGTTCCGTTCTTTTGAATTTCGTTAGAATTGGAAGCACGTAATATAACAAATTCATTGTGCCATAATGATTAGCATCAATGTGATATCGAATGATCTGCATAATCTTTCTTATGATCTGCATTTAAGTTTTCATTGCACACCAGAAATCCAGTTAATAAATACTAGTACTGATACGCATGGACATCTTTTTTATCGTATACACTCTTTTTTTATAATAACCAGTAAATTTAAGTTCAGGCTGACTGTTCTTTATTTTTTCGAAAATCTGAGGCTGGATTGTTCTTAATTTGTTCTTAATCTAATAGGGTGTAGGCAGTGCAAGTGCTTTTTCGCTCTAGGGTGGTGTTCAGGCCTCATTTGCCAAAAAAGTAAGTGAGACAGCCTTTATTTGCTGACAAAATTGAATATTCACCGAAAAAGCATCCACACATCGCTAAAAATCCTCGATTTTGAGAAAAAACGTTGTTCAAAATTGTATTTTGCAGAAGCTCAGCCTCAGCTTGTTCTTAATTTGTTCTTAACTTTTGACCAGTTTTGAGGCTCGTGTTCTTATAAAATTGTTCTTATAAAAAAAGAGTGTAAACTTCGTGCTGCGAAAATCTTTAAAAATAACATTTTATCCACTAACGATCCGAAATTAGAACTGTGCCTAGAAAAAAGGGTCATTTGGCAAAAAATGCTGATTACGTGCTGTTGCAGAAGAAAAAATTTTATGGTGATTTTTTAACATATAGTTTTAGCCCTACATTTTCAGTAAGAAGAGTAGAAAACACGTCCATATAAACTCCACTAACCAAGCACCACATGGGATTTCATGCCCATATCTGACATGATCGGTGCTATTATAAACGAGGAAAGGTTTCTAATCGTTGTTAATATTACGGGCATGTCATAGCATCATACCTTTCCTCACTAACATTCAGTTAATTTACCTCAAATCTCCTTCACAATTCCCTCCAGTAACAATTTGTTATGCACTACTTTACCTTTGACTCTTCTCAAACATTTTCTTACCGGCAAACGTAATGGTTTCTTCCCCTCCATTTTACAATATTTCCATATTTTGTTTCCCCACCTTATATATACATATATACAAATAAATATATATTTTTATACATGTACAAGTGTAATTATTTTGATTTAGTTGTAATTTAGCATTCAGTTGTAGTACAGAAGCTAAGGCTGAAGTAAGCCTCAGTCAAGACCTAGACGAACAATGATGCTCAGTTGTAAAATAATTTCTTTCGCTTGTTGTTATGAATTAATTGAATCGAGTTAATTGATAATAAATTTGGAAAATCTGCTTTACAGAAGTTTTTTGAAAATACTGCTTTACAGTCTATTCTTAAAAGCTAGCTGGCGATTTATTTTGTGAAGCATATATGTTGTTAAATTGGAAATATGTTTTATACACTTATTGTCTAGGACATGTGCACCTGATGCGGAAAGGGGGAGACAAACATGTGAATAGGGTGCAACAAATGTCATTTTGGTTTGGCCTGTTTTATTTGAAGTTTTGAAAGTCGCATTTCCCCCTCCCCTTAAGCTGCAGGGGGTCTCCAAAGAGGTGCATTCGTTGTCTTTTTCCCTTTATCTCTTGGATTTTCTCATCCTAGAAAACTCCATAAGCTTTTGCCATACCCTGAAAATATCACGAGTACCACATTTATAAGAACCTAGTCAGTCTGTTCTTTAGAAAAGTAGGTTCTTGTTTGCAGGGTTTTACTGTACTGACAGTGTGTGCATGATTTTACAACTTCGTGAAATTTTCCGTTTTGTCTTTTTTGTATGGTCATAAAATCCTGCTTTGACGCAACTGCAATACAAGCAAGACTTTGCCAGGTCAAAATAGGTAAAGAAATATATCAATTGGCCCAATCCTTCTTCATCTGTAAAGCTGACCGTAAGATCAATTGTTTGGTTTAGAATTTTTCTTTTCCCGCTATGCCAGCTAAATTTTGTCATGACGAAATCCACATTCGTGAAAAAGATAAGGAAGTTTGACCATTTTAATATAAGTATATCGATTGCTCCTTTAAGGTTATGTTGCCAAAATTTGACAAAATAACAATATTACGTTATCACTTTGCAAATCCATGGTTACCAAATAAAACTTATAATTATCTTTATCATTTACCAAACCATTCGCATTGTATCTCTTTTACCCACAATATTCAATAGAAATACTTTTAGGTATCCAAGCTTCCTCTTCTCATCTTATTGTAAAAACTTTTTCACTCACAGATCAAAATCACCAATTATTGCTTTTTCAATAAAAATTTTTCTGTCGAGACAGGTACGAAATAAAATAGCATCAAACAATGCTATAAAAAACAGAATTTTTTTTATTCTATTGTCTAGTCAAAATGACCTTAATTGAATGAAATTTATACAAAGAAATTAATTCTTCTAGTTTATCGAACTTATATGGAAATTTCAGAAAGTAGGATACATGCTATTTACAAAACCTTTTTGCCTGAAATCCAAATCTTTTCATACAAGAGCTACTAAATGCTTACGCTAATACGAAGCATAAGATGCAATCAACTTTCTCTTCATTCGTTTAGACTGAGATCTCGTCAAAGCTTGAGGACCCTTCAGCTCGTTCATCACATACCAGTTTCAAAGTAAAATAACATAAAAATTATTTTTGCTTGGGGACCTAAAATGTTATCGCCCCTTGTCTTTGAACTAAAGGTAACTTTAGCCCGTTAAGCCTCTGAGTTAGCCAAGGACCCATTCATTATATGCTATCGATAAATATTAAGCATTAATATAATATATAACTATCTTTTTGTGATGCAGAATTTAAAATGGCTTTGAAAAAAGCAAACATCTTGAGCTAAACTTAAGCTTTCCGTCTGACACATTCAGAGTATAAAACGCCACAACATGCTTAGATCGAAGGCTTATCTTTGGAACCCTAGTATAGACTTATTAGAGACAACTTTTACTCTTTTGTTGGCCTTTTGTTATCCCTTATTTGTGATTAACACCGCTTCCACTCTGGCAATAGCCAAACCTGCTTACCTACACATTTTGCTTGGATTTGTTGAACCAAAACCAAATGCAACATTTTGTAGAAATCAACAACCTGGAGCGCTGGGTGGAAATGGTATTAATCCTACTTCTGAGTTCATTTTCCTTCTTTTTTTAATGCTCCTTGAGTAAATGCTCCAGATTGGTTGTAAAGCCTTTAGGAGTAAACGATTGAAGATTGAAGATTGGAGGATAAGTTCTGCGGCGCAGGCTTCATTGAAGGTGAAAAAATTTCAAGTTATGATGATTATTCTCTCAGCAGGTGCATATGTTGTTGCGGGTAGTTTGCGATGGATTTGATTTAAATACACGGTACACGGATACACTAATCAGGCTTATTATTTGAGTGATGGCGAGGTGATCGGCCGCTGCCTCCACCCGCAAGTAACAGTCATAAAGATAAGTTAACAGTACGTATAGAGTTCGGTATGATCAAAGTTTCTTGTTTTTCTTGGTTGATCAGTCACCAGAATCCGATGCGTAACGAGGCTTGTTGCTAGTACAACACTGTCAACCTGGGTTGCGGTAAGAGCTCCCCGTTGCTGATCAATTCAGCGAACCCAGCGAGCCACAAGTCAGCTGAAGACTACTCGAAACTTATTCGAGATAATCAAGACGAAACCCAAAATAATCATGTGGAATATAGAAGCGAATCTTTAGAAATGCTTGGATCAGGCATAAACAAGAAATCAGTTGGCCCGGTTGCTGGTCAGCGGCCTAAAGTCGCCTTGCAACCGGGCAGGAGTTTAATGGACTGGATAAGACTTGGTGCCAGTGGTCAGGACTTACAAGGCTTCTCTGGGGTTATCAAGGAAGTTACAATGGAAGAATTGAAGAAGCATAACAAAGTTGATGACTGCTGGATGTTATTAAGAGGTAGGATCTTTTTGACGTGATTGTGTCACAAAAACATATATTGTTTTCAAAGTTTTATTTTTATTTTTTGCTTTTAATTCAGTTTTTATCTACAAACTAGAAACTGCTAAATTTAGTTCATATTTAGCAATGAGAAAGACATAGTGGTCTTGAACACGAGTTTTTTCGCATCAAAGATGTTACATTACTACAACACAAAACAATCCCCAAAATAACAGGTTTGCACTTTCTTCAATATACCCACTTAAAAAATCTAAAAAAATAATTTTCAACGAATTAAGCTATGGAATTTTAACCAGAATTAAAAATCATATCAAGCAAAAAAAATCTCAAGTTTAAACTTAAAATGTATGTAGTACACATACACAATGATTAAATGTCCTTTGAAGACCTGCTTGATCCTTACTGGAAAACATATTTTATATATACATATTGCTTATATATCTTTTACATTATTACTTTTACTATAGTACCTTACTTTCACATGTAATTTTCATTTACATATTTAAATTTCTTTCACTCTTCTTGTTGCATAATATTAACTTTTTAATATTCAAACAAATTATTTTCTAAATGCATTTGTGAAACACCTTCAGCATATTTTTCAATCTTAATTTGTATAAGTTAAATCCTATGTTGTTGAAAAATAGTTTTGAGTTTATTGTTTAAGTGTTTTGAGCTTCGAAAAAGTTGTGATCTATAAAAAAACAGTCCTAGGATTAAATCAATATTTTCTTCTTCTTTATTTGAAGGAAAAGTATACAATGTGACAGCGTACATGGAGTTTCATCCTGGAGGTATTCCAGAGCTGATGCGAGCTGCAGGGCAAGATGGCACTGAATTCTTTGATGAAGTAAGCATTACTTATATCAGTATAAAAAGTAAATCTATGTTACTCTTAAAATCATCACAGCAGCTGACATCTGCATGTTGTATTGCATAAATGCCTCCCCCCCTAACCCTCTGTTGCATTTTGCTTCTTTTTAGCACTTTTTGTAGGGAATTGTCATGCTATCTTAAATTTACAAACAATGAGAGTCTTGGGGTTGATCCAATATGATTCAAAACACAGGGACTACAGAAGCAGGGGTCTATGGGGGCTTTAGCCCCCAATAATTTCTAAAAGGGACTGAAAACCAAACAAAAATTTCCCTTATTTTGGTATTTTAGTATGTTTAGCCTCTCACAAAATATTTTAGCCCCCCTCAATCTGTATTATGCTCCTTGGCCCTTCTTTGTGCATGGAAATGGAAATACTCTCTGTACTGTTCTGAGCAAACAGTAAGTGTATCATGAATATAAAATTGCATTCATTGATGCAAAATAGCTTTTCAAATAATCCTTGTGTTATTCTCATCTAGAAATTTTCAATTGTTTTTGATTTGTCAGACTTGTTTTCCAAGGTCCTCCAGGCCTAAAACCCCATGAAGCCCTAGTTCCTATGCCTTTGGTTACAGTAGAATGGTTTTCATACAAAACAAATCAGATGAGATAAAAATTGAAATTTCCTAAGCTCTTCAATTTTATGCAAATGTCCCAATGTCAAATGAGATCAGAAAATCCTGTTTTGTATCAATATTGCTTTATAATTCTGTGGTTAGAGTTAGCACAAGGAAATCTCTGAAGGAGATTTATTTGATAATGTCAATTTGCTTTGAAAAATTTTTTAAATTAAATTCTCTATGATCCCTTTTGAATTTGTTTCTTTGGTTTTTAAAAAAGACTTTAAGCTTCTTTTAAAGAGATTGATATTAAAACAAGTAGATGATACCTATCTCTTATTATAATGAGACTCTAGGTTTATTTTTGTAGTGTTGGTGTTTGAAGTTGGTCTCTTTCTTGCCTTAAAAACTTTCATTACACTTTTTGTATCTTCTGCATGCCTGGTGTTATCAGACCAAACTTAAAGGACAAGTGACACGCTTTTGGCGCCAAATTTTTTTCTTCTTTTAACTTAAAGTAAAATGCTGTATGAGAGTGCTGTTAAAATATTTTTCCTTTCTGATTTCATTTTCCTACTTAAAAACCCTTTTCAAATTATGGCGGGAAATGAGTCACGTGACACCGTGACATAGATTGTGATAATTTGCTATTGCTGCTACTGCTATACAGTGCAATATCAACGTTTACAGCACGCTTCTAAACGAATTCAGTTCGTGTGGACCTGTCGCGTTGTGTTTCGTAAACTCTCTATTAATGACAGGAAAATTCCGAGTTATCACAATGTACGTCATAGGGTCACGTGATAAAAAGCAAAATCGCGCCCCCTGCGCCCCCTGATTAGAATTTTTTGTTCTAAACCAGGAAAAACTTACTTCTAAATGATGATCTATAAGTTAATGAAAAGAAAAGATAGGGTGAAAAGTGTGTCACTTGTCCTTTAAATAAAATCAAACAAGATCCAAATTTTTAAAGGTGCGTGGATGGCCTAGTGGCTAGGGCCATGGACTACAGATCCTAGAGTTATGGGTTCGAGTCCAGGCCTTTTTGTTTCATGCAGGCGATTGCCCTGGCCCTCGCCAAATTATTGATGTGGGCTATTGACCGTCTTCGCAAAAAGGGTCAAGTTGTTGATAAAAAAGCATCATTCCCTCATTGTTGACATTATATATCATTACATCAAATATTTTGGTTACAAACTGGCGGTAATCGGCCATTTAGAAAATTAAAGGTTATTCAGTCCTGGTTAGATAATACCCTAATTTCCTCTCAGGCCTTGAAAGTTTCGTTTAAGAGATAGTGATGCTTGGACAAATACCTCGAAAGCAGATCCACGCAGGCAGTTTGTCGCCCTTGAGAAATTTTTTCACGAAAAGGCCTGGTTTGAGTCCCTAACATGACCAAACTTTCACCAAGAGTGAAGGGATTTCATTTGCCAGCTCTCTCTGCACTTCCAGATGTAGGAATCATGAGGTGTGGTCACATTGAGAGGAAGGGTCAGGAACCTGCTCAATAAGCATAGCTTCTCAATGTCATAAAAACTACCTAAAGATGCTAGTTAGAAAAAAATACAAATAACAGCAAACACATATCTTTCAGGGATAGGCTAGTAGACATTTTGTGTGAAAAAAGATATCCCTTTCTTTTGTGCAGTTACCTTTAGGATTTACTGTGACATTATTGTTCAAACATTGTCACATGCCCAGCCAGTCTACAGGGTATGGCAGTTCTCAGCAAGATCTTAGCATGCACCCTCATTTCAGTCATGTTCTCTGCATGCAGTAATCCTTTTATCAGTCTCATGGTGTGCAAACAAAAGTCTCTCTATGATCCTATTATTGTAAATTTGTTACAAATGTAATTTTATCTTTTGACACCAGCTTTACTGACCTTTTGCATGCATCTCTAGACCTCTACAGACTTGATACCATGGCAACTACTGAAACTTCTATTAGTGGCCAGGCAGCTCCAAACATTGGACAAACAACTTTTTCCTAGAAATTCTCTGCACTTGTAAAAAGCTTGAACAAATAGCCAAGCAAAAAGCAGTTCCCTGTAACAGTGCTTTTTGTCCTGTATATCATGGACTGTAAGTCAGTGATGGAAGGTAAAGAGCTAAATGCAGGGCCATTGACAGCCAGCTTGGGCCCAGCGGTGATTTACAAACTGGGCTCCCAAAAAAATATCTGTGACCATGCCCTTCAATCTCCCGGGGAAATAGGGAAAAGCCCTTTTAAGCTACAATTGTTGAAAAAGTTTTTTAAGGATTTTAACAAAATTGTTCAAAAACACTTTACATTAATCAAGGGCATGTAGGTAAAGTCTTTCTCTGCGGTAAACTTACAGGTGTTGATTCCATATAAATAGCTGGAACAGTAGCTTGTTCATTGTGAATAGATCTTATTGCATTATCACTGGCTCTATCGGAGCATAGGCTTCCAACCTTTTGCCCCTTCTAACCCCCTCTCTCAACGCGCCTGGCTGAATGTCTTATTAGCTGATTGACTCAAGATGGTTCAGATACTTTGCAGAAGTTCAAAAACTTCGCAGAAGCTCTTACAGAATCTCTTGGCGAATGCCTTTTGTTGCTTTCACATACAGGACTCTAATCAGAAATTCAAATTTTTGCAACAGGTCCATAAATGGGTGAACATTGAGTCAATGCTTAGCAAATGCTTCATTGGTCCCATAGAAGACAACGCTGCTTCAAGTATGTTCCTTATACAGTACATTTCTATTAGTATAAGCTTAAGAATACATGGTTGTTTTGTACATCTCATCAATTCTTACAAATTTATTTTTATCCTTTTATTGCCTTTATATTGAGTGATTTCATTATAGCATTCAATGACACCTTTTTTCTTAATAGTTCAGTGATAATCCTTATTAACACCTGAGATCAACTACAGAGCTTCATATAGAACTCAATTTTCTATAGATCTCAACTTTTGTAGCTGCAACATGATAGTATATTGATTGTTTATTAATCTTGCATAATCTTTCTTTAGAAAAAAAAGACTATGAACTTTCGGTCAAGAAACTGTTGAAACCTGCTTCTGACATTTTGCTTCAAGGTAATTGTGCATTTTCAATGCATATAAATTAACTGGATAGTCTCTAGATTTATCTTTCCCTGGTGGTCTTCATTCTTCTGTTTTCATTCAAAGGTATGTTTGTGTTTAAAGATGTATGACAAATCTTAAGCCTAAAAGATAACATCCTCAAAGGCTGTTATATCTCCCAACGTTAATTATAGACAAAGTCCTCTAATAATGTTAAATTATAAATTTCTGTTAATATAATACTGTTCTTTTATTTTTTCTCCCATTATTTTTATTGTTTTCTTTATTTTTTACTCTTGATCAATCTTCTATTATTAATGGGCATAAATGTATTTACTAAATTTCTTGCAATAGCTTGAAAGTTGTTACTAAGGATTGTTTATCTAGTTTTTAAGACTGCCCTGTTTCACCTTTTGTTAATGAATATTTACATGAAAGATAAAGTCAGAATTTTACCTCAGATTTTGTTGTTTATGTGGAGTTTTCTTATACTTGAAAATTTACATATTCAATCAGCCAATACAGATAGCTTGAGAACTTTCTTGGGGTGACAGATGCTCTGATTTAGATCAGCTTGTTGCAGTGAAAGAGAAGAGCCAACATTTATATTGACTTCTCATTATATCAGTATCACACTGAGACAGATTGCTTTGTCAGGTCACTTTTCTAAACTACAGTAAACAAGAAGCATGTAAAAATAGCAAGTATCATGGTAACATATGAATACACCTGCCATTGTAGTAATTGATGGTTTAAAAAGGTTCTTCTGTAAATGCCAGCAACATTGAAAATTCAAGCAGGAGATATCTGGATATGCAGTAAAAATAATTTTAAACTACAAATGTCTGCATATTTGTTAAAAATGAAAAATATTCCGTTGAGGAGAGGAGTAAATTTGAATGTACTTTCCTTTTTTTGATGTATAATTTCTCTATAAATAGCGCTTTTTATAACTCCCAATTCAAAGTAACAGTCATAATGGAGACAAATTTACAATAATAATGCGAACTGTTTGAAACTTGCAAGGCTGATAGTTTCTGCCCAGTCCGTTTTATTGAATGACCAGAATCTTTTATTCATCTTCAGTGAAAAGCTCTTTTGATTAGAGCACAAAATATTAGTTTCTTTTAAATCAGCAAGATTGATTTTATTGAAAGTACACATTCAGAAGCTTTTCAACTTCTTCTGCCCAAGCCCACAAAGATGAGAAACTCTTAACAAAAATATAGTAGCTTTAACACTCAAGCAGTCAAAGACTCAAACTGCTTCTATCTTACTTCAGTCATAGACTTTATTTTTTATTGTTTCTATTATTGACAGTCTGTGACAATTCAAGGTTATCACTTATATTCAAGATTCCTTGCTTTATTGAAAGTACACACAATGTTCCTTTTTTGTTTAGATGCCACTGAAAAAAGTGATAACAACAAAAGAAATATACCAAGGTATGCAAATTTTGCTATTTTTGTCAGCTTTTTGTCAAAACTGTTTTTATCTTTATCCAGTAGAAACATGGTCGTAGCGGATGCAAAACGTTTAGGAGGGGAGGGGGGGTTAGTGATAGAAGTGACCCAAATGGAACCTGAAAAGCGATAAATGTTATCTGGTTAGAGGGGGCCGAAAACCCCCACCCCCCATCCCCCAGCAGGATATGGATGACACGGCGTGATCATCATAATTATAGCTATAATTTGGTTTTGTTAAGAACCCGGAAATTACACTAGGTACCAGAAAACAAGTATTTTTGATGCATAATTTTCAAATGATATTTGTAAAATTGAGTTTTAGCTAATTTCATCAGAGTGAGCCTAACGTATGCACGTGATGTTAAATATAGATAACAGTTTTTGAATGCTTCGTTTATTTTAATGCTTATTGATAATGCATGCGATTCTCCTTTGGCAGGTATGAATGGTACCAAGATGAAAATACTATAACGTTGGTTATTTATACCAAATCAAAGGTAGGGCTTATTAGTTTTTTGGATTTGATTTTATTGTATTGACGATATCGACACATTTTAATCTCTGCTTTGATTGATACATTTAAAACTGACATCTATAGGAATTTGGTACAAGGTTCTATGGTCTATGTAAACGGACAAACTGGATTATGTGTTTATATTCAGATACCATTGTTGATAGTGATGCTGTTTGGAAACCCAGTTTTTTATTTTTAAAGTTAACACTGGTGGCAGTTTTAATCTACTGGATCTACGGGTTGTGGTTTTTGGTCAAGTCGACAGAAACCCTCCCCCTTCCTATACTACATCAGAACAGATTTCCGGAAGTAATTGTTGCTTGAAGGCAAGTTGAGGAAAAAGAAATTTGAGCTACTTACAGACCAAGAAAGCTCTCTCTTAAATCATCTCGAACTTCATCTCTTTCTAGCATAGACCAGTTAGGCTCTACCCCCTGTTTCTCTCCATCAACTACACCATTTATTACAATAATAGCTAACAGATCTCGACATAAACGACGTAAAAGGGACGTGTTCTAAAGGCCTGGGCAGGCCAGAGATTTACAACCAATGAGAATCGGTATGTGCCTCGCATTCTCCTGATTCAAACGATGGTCTACCCGTTATTGTTGCCTTCTGCTACCAAATTATTCTAATAAGGATTTTTTCCTTGCCTTAGTTCCCCGTTTTAAGCCCTTAATTTTTTGCATTTTCGTCTCAACTACAGAATGGGTGTTTATGGAAAGTTGAGTTTTCCAAAACCCACTCTTTCTACATATTTTAGAAGAATTTTCCTGTGGCTTTTTTTATGTGAAAAACCGGAAGATTTCTGTATGCTTTGATAGAAAAACACGGCTAGTGAATTCGGAACCTTGCAGTAGTCTTTCAATTTGATTCGCGACTTTCAAATTAATTTGTTGCAGGACATAACAGAAAAGGACCTGGTTATTGATTGTTCCGACGGTAAAAATCTGGACTGCAAAATCCTTTTTGTTGAAAAGTTTTATCACATTCATATCGGTATGTATTTGAAATTGTTTTTCCTCAAAGAATTCCTAAACCTTAACCCCCACCAAAAAGAAGTTCATATTTCATAACTAGTTATTGGGAAATTTAGGATTAAATAGGAATGGGCTGAAAAATATGATTTTGTTCAAAAGAAACCAAAAGGAGGTGTAACTGGGTTTTGCTGGAACGATAGCGAAATTAAGTTGCTAGTAGAATGTGTTAAAGTATCTTCGTCGAGGTACCAATTTGATGGAATCGATTGAGAAGGTCCGATTTGGCGGTATCCAGCAAGAAGTGCAAAGTCCTAGGAAACTGCCATTTATCCCCAACGATCAAATTGATTTAAAGCTGAAAGGAATAAGAAAATGGTAGGTGCAAGAGCAGAACAGGTCAGTTCCGTGCCACAGAGAGACTATGAAGTGATTCATTTTCATACCATCTCAGGCACTGAGTGGTTTTTTCTCCGGCGTACACTTTTTTATGCGAACAATTTTATAAGAACACGAGCCTCATATTTGGTCACGTGTAGAACCAATTAAGAAGAAGCTGAGGCTGAGCTACTGTAAAATGTAATTTTGAACAATATTTCATGTCAAAAACAAGGAGGTTTTGCAATCTATTGGTGCTTTTTCGGTGAATTTCTAAACTTGTAGGCAAATGAAGGATGTTTTACTCACTTTGTTAGCAAATGAGATTTGAACAGAAGGATGTTTTAATCACTTAGTTTCCTAGAGCTCTATAGCTAGCAACTGCACCGCTTGTACAATAATAATTTAAAAAAGCAAACATTTAGTAAACTAAAGCGTTCTTAGCATAGAGTTTTCTATCTATGTTCTGACGTTTTAAACTCTGAAGAGTGTCAGACGAAAAGCTTTAGTTTACTAAATGTTTGCTTTTTTTCAAAGCCATTTACAAGTTTTGTACCACCAAAAGATTGTTTGAATAATAATTTAAGAACAAATTAAGAACAATCCCGCCTCAGATTTTCGAGAAAATAAGAACAGCCAGCCTGAGCTTCAATTTCCTGATTCTTATGTAGTTTAACAGAAACCCGATCAGATATGAAAGCCACCTGTTAGCAATGTTGGATGCAATTGAATGTACGTAACATCATCTTTCTTCCTCTTCAGCGTTGGAAAATGCAATCAGTGATATAAAAGGTATTTTTAAATGAAATTCTGTATTTCGTTAGATATGTTTCTAGGATAAAGTAACTTTTGTTAGCGCAAAATTTGAAGATAAAGTGGAGCATGGCATACTGAAATACGTTTTCTCCATTTTATAAACGTCGGATAGTTTTTTTTACTAAATACAAAAACCAGCAGTCTATTTTCTGTTTTTTGGGTGCTTTTGTTTTGTGTTTTCATTTAAGCAGTGTGCGCACCATTTTGAAATGCCTATCTTGCAGAAGTCTAGTGTTTGAATCGATTAAAGATTAGGCCTAAATGGCTGAATAATTCATTAAAGAAACGTTATTTGTGTCTGAAATGTGTTAGTAAGTCCGCATTGTTCAATAATTGATAAATACATTATTTACGGTATAACCCCACCTTCTTTGAAGTAAAAAGCCTCTGTAAGCAAGAAACGCTTTTATAAAAAAGAAACTAGGTAGGTCTTTGGTACCTCAGAGTTTGAAGATAGCACAAAAGTGCAAAAGCGTAGCATTCTTGATACCTTTTCGTCAGGCACTATTCAGTGTGTAAACTTTCTTTGATCTTACATTGAGAACTGGCATATAGGTTGCTCCCTGTCTTGTTATAAATCATCATTCAGTGTGGGTTATTGTCATCTTGAAGTATTTGCTTTTCAAAGTATGCTAGATGGATGTAGATTGATAATAGCAAGTTGTCAGTATCATCTGGCTACCGATCATTGATTTTTTTCGTCCTTGTTAGAATTTTCATTAGTTTTAATAAGTCATGCACGATTTGTCCGATCTAATTCAGTAAAAGCACCCACAAATTCAAGTGGAAAATTGGAAGTTATTCTAAGCAAATCTCAGACTGGTTTGAAATGGAATTCACTTGGACAGAAGCTGAATGGTAATGGACAGCTGTGTGATGACAAAGATCGAAGTGAGCATTCTTCAATTATTTGCTTAATTTTGTATGTTTTGATTTTTTAATATGCTGGATTTTAGGTTTGGGGTGAGCTCCACCCCTTGTTTGGAAATGAGTATTTTTACCCTGGAGCATGAACTAAGGCTACCCCCGGCTCAATCGGTATTTTCTCAAGCTTTTTGAACCCATAACTTCTAGTGACTCACTCCTCAGAGGACTTGCTATTTTCTCTCACTAACAGTCTGGGGGGAGCCAGCCTTATTATGGATTCAACTCCCTTCGGCCGGAAAGTTCGAGTTCTACTTTCTTTTGCTTGGCACACAGCAGGGTTTGTGTCACTTTTTTATAACGGCTGGATCTATTGTCGATTTTCTATTTGCTCTTTATTTATTCTAAATATTTCATTAAACCCTCGTACAGTCGAGCAGAAAGAAAAGCTTCATTTTATGTGTTATACGCCTCGAAAGAAAAACGATGAATTTTCCTATCGGATCGTTTCCGTGTATATGCTCAGTATGCTGGTTTCCACTTAAGCCTCCCTGTTCGTGCGTCTTTGGCGAAAGCGAATCAACGAATCAGGGAATTGGCAAACAATCAATCGCTAAGAGTTCAACTGAAGTGAACTACGCAGCGAACAGTCGCAGATTCGCAGTGAAAGAGGAAGTCAAACTTTGCGCATGCTCGACCAAAGCCAGTCAAGTTGAAACCTGCCTTTAATGTTTATTCACATTATTATTGCAAGGCTTATTAGTATTTGAGAAGATATGGTCATTTAGAGAAGTAATATTATGAAGAGTTTGCTTTCTATCTTACTCTCTATATTCGGATTATGTGTTTTAAAATGGCGTTTGGAATAAATATTGGTAACGATTATAATACGCAGCAGCTGTTTTTGCCAAAACTTTCTTTAAAAAGATACATCTTTCGGCATTAAGAATCGGTCATTGCAATAAACTCCCTTATCCTATTGAAACTAGGTGGCAGGTGAAAAATTTAGATGTTTATTTCGAGCTGGTGTGCTTTCTGTTTCTCGAGATATGGCTTATTGCACAGAGTTTCGACGTCATTGTTGTTTCAAGAGGTTTTTCAACATGCATCTGTCTTTATCGTATTCCTTCATCTTTTTCTGTACGGCCTGATAAGAACTCTTGATGCAGCCTAACAAGTTTGATAACAAACTCGAGGGCCTTAGATCAAAAATCACTTCTGTCAACTCCTTCCTAGATTTCTTCTGTTAGTTAACCACGTTAAATGCTACCACTATTTATTTTAGTTTCTCGCTGCAAGAAATGCGTATCTCAGTCCCTATGCATCGCTTAGTTAAATGAAGCCAGTTTCTTCTTCTTTTATCCCTTGTCACTTTTTGGCTCTTTTAGATTTAATCAAGCGTCCATGTACCGTTGCTGCCATCTCCCAAGTGACGTCAAACACAAAATTGTTTTCTATACAGCTTCCTGATCGAGTCTATTACCACGCACCAATTGGGCATCACGTGATTTTGGAAGCTGACGTGGAAGGTACTAGTCAAGCACAGTCATTTTTTACATTCTTTATACTAAAATTTTTTATACATTAAATTTGACATAAAATGATTTCTATATTCGACGTGAATATTTGTGTATGTACAGAAACCCTTTTTACGAAAAAATTAAAAATTATGTGAAAATGATTCAATAATTGTAGCTATCTGTGGATCTATCCTACCTCTTTCGTTTTTCTTCAAATATCAGTTTCTTGGAGTTATATAAACCAAAAACTGTGGTGTTTCATTCTTGAATATAGTTTGAAATGTTTTGATAGTTTCCTATCTAGGGGTTTTTGCTAAGCTATATATAACATACCCAGGAGCAGACATAGGTCAGTGTATAAACAGGTGCACGTGAACTGGGTCTGTGATTGACACGCGAAGCAAAGTTTCTTTACTGCCACGTCCAGAAAACCCTGGAAGACTCCCATTTCAAATTATTATTTACCCCTAAGTGGACTTTTCCAAAGATGCCGATGAAGAATGTGTAAGGTGCATAAGAAGGAATGGATTCTATCAGAGAAGATTTTCAGAGAAAAACTCGAAGTCTGCCAGATCCATATGCATAAAGGCAAGCCATTTATATAAAAAGCGAGAATTGTACTGGTTTGCAACAAAAAGATCTTGAAGCCGGCAAACAAGAGCTTTAACTGCCTAGGATTCAATTTATTCAATCGACATTTCAACACTTGATTGTTTCAACTTCAAATTATTTTTGTAGGAGCCATTCGTTATTTAAGTTGTTGATATCATACGTTGCTGGTAATTCATTGAATATTTAGTGAAATAAATAAGTTATCAGTGATTTGTTTTTTCAAGGTTTGCTGGTTGGTAAGAATTACACAGTAGCCCTCGAAACACTCAAGGAAGAAATCTCTCGTTGCGAAGAAGACACACATGCCTATCTGCATTTAATGATAAAAAATTATGAAGATGGTGCCTTAACTCCTGTCTTAGACAAGCTATTAACTGGTATGACTTTACCATGTTTTAAAGACTCATAGCTAACAACGAGTCTTTGCGTGCGTGGCAAATCGTCCAGGCGGCCATACAAACAATGGTGGTAAACTTCTACGGATCGACCTAAATTGATTTAAGGCTATCTGAAAATGCATTATGGGATGCCTATGCAGCGCAATGGCTCATTGCTAGCAATGATTCTTTAGGTCCTATCTGTTCTACCTTTCCGAACCCAGAGCTTCAAACATACTTTTCATTATTGATTTCATGCTATGTAATCATGGATGTACTTAAGTAGTATCCGACTGTTTTACTAGAGAAAATACGGGTTATGTACAAAATATAACTTCTATAAAAACGCCCATCTCTGCCAAAACGACTATAAAATTATTTCTAACAATATGTCAATATATTTCTCCCACGCTTTCCCTTGTTCAGCATTTTATTATTGGTCATATTTCGAAATTGATCTTGTTTTTTTAATTTGCCAGTAATCTGTTTTTCCCGAAGCAAACTGTTTTTCCCGAATAATGACAATTCAAGACGATTTAAAAATGTCCTTGAAAATTCTGTAAGGGATTTGACCTTGGTAAGCCGTTGAATGTGAAAAGATTCACCCATAAGGATTTTCGCAGTAGAATCTTTTTCAAGTTTTCAAACTTTGTACCGTCCCAAAATCCAGGACACAAGTACCAATGATAAGAAAAAATTATATTTGGACCATAATTATGGCGGTAAATCCGAATCCTAACTCAAAAGTAGTTCAATGAGAGAAGTAGTACATCGAAGTTTGGAAAAGTTATTCAAAAACCTAGGGCATAAATTGATATGATATATTGCCTAGTGATATATTTTCGCGATATTTTTTAATTTTCTTGTTATAGGCGATACGGTGTCAGTAAGCGATCCTATTGGTACCTTCACGCTCTCAAGATTAAAAATGGCAAAGCAAATTTTTATGATTGCTGCTGGTACAGGTCTGTATACCGTGGTTCTCATTACACAATGCTGTTTTTAAGTTAATAAGTATGAGGCTATTGAATTGGTATCATGAAAACGGTAACATGCAAGCGCATTAGTAAGGTAAAAACGAAAAAAGTTGCCTATACACCACCAAGGGAATTTGATTTCATGTTTACTCAGTGATACTCAAAATGTTTAATTGATATTTCCACCATGGCTCATTATGTTTCAAGTAGGTAATTTTCATTTGCATAATTTTACATATCTGAAAGTATCGATGTTTCTTGTTATATTTTGTTTTCTAACAACTATAGTTTGCCAACTTATAATTCTACTACCTAGCATAACAACTTTTTTGCAAGGCTCGACAATATCATCTACCGAACCTTTGTAGGACAGTAAAATGTTTTTGGTAAGGCTAAACTGTTTAGCCTAAACATGAGTATTTTCAAAATGGCAGCTAACCTTCAAACAACTTTGTAGGCATTATAGAAAGAACAATTTACTGTAAACAACAGCCATTGCTTTTCCAGTTCTTACAGAGCCACAATACACGTTAACGATGCTGGCATGGATGTAAAGCTTGCCATCATTCAAATTTATGATTTCAGTCAGAAAGCTCGTTAAAAGTTTTGACCTTTGTCAATGCTATTCAAACACCTCACAATATGAAAGCCAGCGAAGACAAGCGTAGAGAGGGGGCAAATGGGGCACCTGCCAATGGCGTTGCTTATTCAAGCAATTTTCAAAAAGGGTCGTGTTCTTGTATCCCAAAGAGCTTGGTCGCAAAAATTTTCCCCACGCTCTTCAGTCTTCCCAGCTTGACTCACCACTACGTGCAGAGTCAAATGAGCTGTTGTTGACCATTGCCCTTTTCAGCTGACTTTGCTTTACGTAGAAAATTTTTTGTTGCATAATGTAACGTATGATGTAATTGAATTAAACATTAAACTAGTTTTTAGTAAAGAATATACTCACCCTATACGGTGTGTTGACACTCTATCTCACTTGTTCTTGCAGGACTCACACCTATGATCAGAATTATAGATTTTATTATACACGACAAAAGTGTAGACAGGTAAGACCATATCGGTTGGGTATGAAAAATGCATCTCTAGAAACAAGCAGTATAAATAAAAATATCATTATTCCTCGAATAAGACCCCCGGGGCTTATTTTGAAAAATATTTTAGGATGGGGGCTTATTCGAAGGGGTTTATTCAAAGATAGAGGCTTATTTAGCAGCAGCCAGAAATTTTACCAGGGTAAAGGGTCAGTTGACTTAAAAGTGCAGATTTTTTGGGATAAACCTATTGCTAAAGAGGCTATACCTCAGCTCATGAGGGCTTATTCGAGTGTGGGGCCTATTTCATAGAATTACTTCAGGGTGGGGCATGCTCGAAGGAGGGGCTTATTCGATGACTTACGGTATGCTAAAATGTTATAGAGAGGGCAGTTGGAGTAAAATTGAATCAGTTTGGGCAGGATTTGAAACTTCCATCATCATCGTTGTTGTTGCTTTTGTTTTGGTTTTTGTAGCTTGTTTCGTATCGTTATTTCTGACCACTCTGTCAGCAGAAACTTTAATTTAAGCCTGGATTGTTTGCTTTTCAGAAATGGATATTTATTATTTGCAAATCGTCACGAGTCAGACATTTTATGGCGGAATGAGTTGGAGTGGGTGGCTTCGAATCACAATGATAGGTCAGTTATACCATTTTAGCTACGCGTAACCCACATGGTAAATATTCTTACTCAATTTTATGAGCTTCTTCAAAGAACATCTTTCAATAAAAGGCACGGAATCATGATTAAAGAAGAGGGTATACCGAAATATGCAGAGTGGTGATAATCGTAGTACAATATTGTTGGTGGACGTAAGACTGATGACATGAAGTAATTTTGTACTGATTTTGTAAACGGTTTCGTCGAAGGTCTGTTGTAAACAATTAGCGCTAATTTGGCCTGAGACAACGGTTATCACATCGAAATCGAAGGACTTCACTCAGTGTACGCCTATTTGCCATGGCTTAATGCCTTTAAAATTTCTTTACCACTCACAGTAGTCTCATAATCTAGAAACTTTGTAACAATGTCATCAGATAGAGCAGGAAATGCACATTATGATGATTCGAATCAGAGATTGCCCCTTGAATTTCATAGTGACGAGACGATAAAGTAGGCAAAGCTTGTTAAAAACCAAGAATATGTCTCATTAAAATGTTCATTGTTCCGTTTGTTTTTAGTTACTGACCCAGGTAATCGGCAATGGGAGTAGTTACAGGAGTACACTGTAAATTTTAAAGAAGGATGATACGTGAAATTATAAAAAGATATCCATTTCATTTTTTCCTAGATTTCACGTAAAATACATACTTAGTAGGCCATCAAATGAATGGGCTGGTCTTAGAGGTAGAATAGCAAAGGATGTATTAATGGATTTTCTTGGCAATATCCAGAAGTCCGATGTGGAAGAAGACCTCCTTGTTTGTATTTGTGGTTCAGATGATTTCACGATGTTGATGAAAAGGTTAGTGGAATTGTGCGCTATTCTGTGGTGATGTGCTGCTTGAAAGGACTCAGTGTGAATGCAATGAGATGCAGTAGCCTGTCACGAGAACTTACTGCTAACTGGTTTCAAACAGGCTTAAGAAACCATTTATTATTGTGGTTTGGGTATATGAATTTTTTAAAAAGTTAGCAGTGAGAGCTTAATCCTGACATGCATCTTTGTATCTTTATCTTTTCTGTGTCGCGTTTTCTTTACATCAGAATAATGGTTGAATTGGTTTTAGGCAATTCTTTTTGCTATTAGTATTGCGCTGCTCAAGAAGCCAATCTCGTGTTAATCGGGAATACTAAATATGCCATTTATTTGCAACGGAAAAATGATGGAAAAATGATAGATCTTTTCTTTAATGTTAGACTATTTTTTTGTATGCTTGTACCAAGTTGTCCTTTATTTTTCTCCCTTCTAGTCACCTTCTTGAACTGAAATACACAGAGACAATGATCCATAGCTTCCTTGGTTAGATTTCAAACGTTCCAAGGATCATGACGAAAGATGTAGAAGTATTTCTGGTTATCGCAAACTTCCTTGCTGTGTATTCGCTGTGACTGTCAAAGGGGAACTGGGCAGTGATCTCCTGGCTGTCTGATAATCGAGAGCATCTTCTTAATTTCTCTTTGTTTCTCAGCTCCTAAGAGCTTACTACAATCTTCTTTTTGCAGTACATACGCTCATTTTTTACAAGAAACAATAGCTGACATTAAAAGCTCCAGTTTCTCAATGCTTACGCAATTTTCAGCACTCATTGTTTCTTAATTCTAATGTCTTTGTTTTTATTATTCGGAGTTTTATATTTTACTTGGGTGTTTTATTTCACTACAGGTAACAAGATATTTTTCTAGTTAGTTGTAAAAAGTACATACTGATACTTAAGAAGAATTTGTTTATGAGAAATGTTTTGTGGCAACCAGACATTATATTGATTGGAAATCACAAAATATTAAATTTTTTTTTAAATTCAATTTTTTTTATATTTTTTCTTTGAGTACTGCATGAGTACTGAGTACTGCTAAGTTACTTGCATTTTTACAAATGCTCTTTACTCGATTCTTATAGCCAGTTTCTTAAATAAAAATGAGCGTATTGTTAATCATGGACAAATTATGCTTGACTTCTAGAAGGTTTAAGAAATTTTTGGTTGTATTGGGAAGATTGTCTTCACAGTCTATCATTTTTAACCTTATTTAAACGCATAATTATTACCCTCTCGTTTTACAGAATTCTTGATTGTTTTGACGACATCCCCCACCCCTCCATTTAAGAGGAAGCTCATTAGTCTAGAACAGCATTCTACGAACACAATTCATTGAGTTTGTTTAAGTTTTATCAGATTTACTTACTTGTTTGGAGGTAACAAGTGTAATATATCATATATGTACCCTTGTAAATTGCAAACAACACATCCGCTTTTTTTACGGATCCCAGTTGAATTGATCTCTCGTTGTGTACTGAGAATGAGTAAACTATGCTGTGAGCCACAAGTTCACGCATGTTTATCTCATGAATGATATCTATGGTTGAAATGTCTCTCATGCAGGGGCGGATCCAGAGCAAACTTGAAGGAGGGGCAGTTGGTAGTGGGGGCGCTGAAAAATTTGAGAGAACGCTGTATACAATAATTTCAGATCCATTTTCGGAATAAGCAACATAACTTTTAAGTAATCTTTGAAGCAAATTAACCTATCTATCTCAGAAACTTTTTCACCTGATTCTCATTCTTCAAAAGGGGCGCACAATTTCCAAAAAAGGGGCGCCATACTTGCTTCAATTCGTCGAGGGAGGGGCAACTGCCCTAGTTGCCCCCCCTCCTTAAATCCGCCACTGCTCTAATGAAGGCTTAAAGCTGAAGCAAAGAAAACAACTGCCTTGTCTATAGTGAAAAAGGGTTGGCTTGAAAAATCCTTCGCTCTTAATATTGAGTTGGTTGGCATAATGGAATGAACGTTGATTTTTGATACAGCGAACTGGAGTTTGATTACGACCAAAAGCAGTATGATACCTTGTGACAGCACATTGCGGAAAAATTTGCCTGTCAGCATTTTCCTTTTTATAAGATATCTATGGTTAAAATGATTCTGAAGTGCAGCTAAAGTGGCTCTTCATAGCAAGAACATTTCCTACAGTATTTTTTGATGAGGAAGAACTGTAGCAAATATTTGAACTTTCTTCTTAAAAATGACGTAAGAAATAATTTAAGCTCAGAATCATAAATATTTAAGAATATTAAGGCTCAGCAAAAAGTAAGGTACTGTTGAAAAAAGTGCGCGTATTCTCCATACAAAGGCTTTCTTACCGGTTTTCTTCGATTTGATTACATTATTCGACCACTCTCGTTTGTAGAAATGCGTGTCTACATTATGTCCATATAGATTGCAGTTGCATGGACAATCGTTGAAACTGCTAGGAGCACTTTTTATTCGTTTTCTTTTATATTTTGTTGATTAAGTACTGAAAGTTTCTTGAAAGTTTTATTGTATACAATGTGCTCATTTTTAGATGATAAAGATAGCACAAAATTTTATCTTATTTATCTTTCAATTGATGAAAATAAGTCACCAAAAATACACAGAACCATTAAAAATCATGTCAAATCCGTGATAGCGGCGAGGTTATACTACAAATTTACTCAAAAGTTAAAAATCAGGCTAAAAGAGTCGATATAATTATGGAAAGAAAATCTAAGAAATATTGAGTTGTCAAGAGACTTCTGCTAATCAAGAAACTTTATTGAATTCCGCTAATGACATTACTCCGTCAGACCCAAAACACTGCTCATCTGTTTCTTTTCAGTAACTTTTCTTTATGTTTAAATTAGGAAGGTTGAGCCGTTAAATGGAACTTTTGTTTCAATCTATATCTTTCCGGAATTAAATGGGATTTTCTTAAAGTAAATGCTTGTATTTTAATACTAACATGAATTAATCTTTTCTGTAGCTTGTTTACCAAACTTCAGACCCCTTCGAAGTAAGCTGCTTGCGTGAGGTACTCGTTGAAAGCCCTGTTAAAATTTTAATGAAAGCGGTTCGAATCGATTGAATTTTTTGAAATGACAATGTGCTCCCCCCCTTATATCTTGGAGAGTGCCCTTCGATAGTCTAAAGAACGCCCGATACCAACTACAAAACACTTCCCAGTGTAAAAAGTTTGGTTTCTTGGCAACCGATTTTACAGGTAGCGTGCAATGACTTGTTTTGATGAACTTGAAATTTAACCGTGCAAGCTCAGACTTGTATGTTAGAGTTTGACAGAATCCACCGCTTTTGTTCATACATTATGTCCAAAATTTGACGTTAAAAGAATAGTCTTAACTTTCCGAAAACTATTTCGCTGTAGAACCATTGGGAGACGTTGTTTGAGTCAGCAACAAAACGCGCCCCCCCCCCCCCCCACCAACAATCAATGTTCCGGACTTGGCGGTAGAGATGGGCGGGGTGGGGTGATGCATTGCGCTACGTATATGCATTCGCTATATTTGCTTCCTTGATGAGAGCAATCACGTGAATGGTGCTCTGAAACAATGACATTTATGTTTATCTGCTTTCTCGGAAATGATATGGTGTCCTATTGTTTCATGAAATGTTTTCTTGGAATTGCAACCTTGGAGAAGGCTTAAATAGAAATCAATTTGTAGACTTTGTTATTGGTTGGAAGTATGGAGGACCTAACAGTATCAATAAAAACTTCTTATCTGAGATCGAAGGAAACTGATGAAAGCAGGTTGCGTAAAAAAGACCTTGTCGAAAGAATTGAGTCGATTGTACTCACAAAATATCCTAACAATAAAGTTGTGGTGATAGGATCCTCCTCGAACGGTTTTGGGACAAATTCCAGCGATTTTGATTTAACCATCTTGCATCTTCAGCGGTATGGCAACCCGTTTGGAATTACAATTCTAATTGACTTGGAAAAAGTGCTTAAGCAAGACAGAGATACTTTCAAAGCGATAGAGGTGAGCTCTGTTAAGTTGTTTCAAGACATAGGAACATAAAATGAAAGACATTTTGAATAATCTAGCATTTTCTTGCATTGAAATTTAAAGCTAAGTTTGGCCTCAACCTAAAGCAGTCAGTCAACATTGATAAATGAGCTAGATTGATAGACAACTGCACTTGTATGTCAATTTTCACAGATAGTTCAAGCTACATGTTTCTGAAGGTCTTAAAATTGGCCAACACCTATTCGAAGTGGAAGGGTCCTAAATTTTTTTAGGCAGAGAAATTCCCCTATTAATCGAGTAAACTTCCTAACACCAGTAGTTTTTATTCGTGATTTGGATGCTGGAAGCCAAAGGCGCTTTCTCACAGTAAAAAGGGAGTGAAATAGAGCTTTTTAGTTTGTCCCCATCGTTTAATGCTGATCTGACAATATCTGTAATAAAATCTGTATGCAGCATATTCGACTTTGTATGTAGCATATTTCAATTTGTATGCAGCAACAGGATGTCACAGAACAGATGATGTATGCCACTGATACTAGATTTTACTAAAATACATTTTGAGAAAGACAAGGAAACTGGAGCAAAGTCCTGTAAATAGGGATCACTATAACTATGCTGTAATTACGAATGAGTTCTTAATTTAGGGGAGGTACATAGCTTGATACATTGTAAAAGATATGAATCCGTCAGAAAAAGTTTGGAAATGTTTGATTTTACCAATTCCGAGCTCTATCTTCATAATCTATAATTCTGTTTTGCTTTTGAACCCATGTGTTTTCTATCTCCATCTCATCTCAATACCTTCTTCATGCAGGTGATCAGCGGAGCTAAAGTTCCTATAATTACTTTCGAGTATGAACTTGGATACTGCCGTTTCTCGTGTGACGTTAGCATTGATCGATTGAATAACGTCTTCAATGCTGTGCTGCTAAAGGCGTATACGGAAGTGGATGATCGAGTACAGCCTTTAACTCTTGGTTTGAAAAAATGGGCACATGCCGCGAAAATCATAGATCCAAGAAATTATAAAATTGGAAGTGAGTTTATTTGCTTCAAAAGTGTTCACGACCATATATATTTATATATAAATAAATGTTAATTTTGATTTATGAGCTAAGCAAATCTTTGAATGCTAGTTGAAACGCTCGTTTCCCTACCTTGGGAAATTTCAATATTCAATATTTACTGCTATTAGGGTCCCACACGTAATTTCCTTTTACAAATGCACTTTCTAAATTCTTTTGGACTTTTGACTAAGCGCTTTCGGGTGTATTTCTAAACAATTTTATTTCGTTTAAATTGTTTCAATTTTATTTTTAAACAATTTTACATTGTAGTAGGCTTGAATTAGCTTTTATTTTGTAGCTATTTTTATACGCCTACTTTAAATCAATAGGTAATAATAATAATTATAATAATAATAATGTAGAATATTAGTTAAATAAAAAGGGGTCTAACCAATAAAGGAATAGTCGATGTCGATGTTTTGTTGCAATGCATTGTTCCCTCATGCATGGAAATGTTCCTTCCAAGCATGGAAACGTTTTTTTTGGGGGGGGGTCTTAAAAACAAAGTTAGAACAGTCCAACGTCTATAGGCACGCGGAACTGATAAGCTAGGTGAAGAGGAGTTGTCCAAAAACATACATGATGATTATGTTGATGATGATTTTTATTTAGAGGATGATTATGATGATTAAATTAAAACTATGAATGACTTCTTTTAATAGGTTTTACGCTAACGCTCATGGTGATTCATTATCTTCAGTGTGGATGCTCCCCAAGTGTCCTCCCTTCACTCCAAAAGCTGCATCCAAGCATATTTGATACATCAAAAGCACGTGAATTAACCAGATACATAGATGGTTCACTGCCTACCATAGTGACATCTTACGTCTCTGCCAACAAGCAAAGCATCGGGGAGCTCTTTGTTGGGTTTTTTCAACATTATTCGAGTTTCATTTGGCACAATAGAGGCATTTCCATTAGAAGTGGCGAAATGATCTCCAGACCCAGAAAGAGAGGGTCGAACAACACATGCATATATGTTGAGGATCCATACGAATTGAATAGCAATACCGCAAGAAGTGTTTTCCGGGAAAATGTTTGGTCAGGAATCAAAGAGAAATTTTGCAAAGGCAAAACATTGCTAGAGAACGGCGCTACCTTTGAAAGTCTTCTTGCTAACGCATGATAATGTGCATCAATTAAAACTGATTCAAGGTATTTCACTCTGTCTGTGATTATAAGAGACTGCAGTCTTTAAATAGAAGGCTTCAGCCATGGTGAATAGGCACCGCTGTCGCGTTGGGTGTATGAGGGGTGTATCAGCCCCTTAAAAACATTCCATTGCCAAAACGAGGGGTTTTTTGCCATCAGGGGTGCATAGTCGGGAAATTATTAAACTTACCGCCAAATAAAGGATGGCTCAGACACGTACAAGTACCTAGTTTATTTTCTAAGGTATTTCATTAGTTGCCTATACCCCTTTTTTCACCATGACTCTACGCCTGTAACAATTCAGCTTGATAATCAAAAATAAATCAAGAGCTTTTTAAAATTGCAACTTTAAAAATCGTTTTCTTTGCTAGTTTTAGAATTTGAGTAGGTTTTTGCATCTTGACTACAATAAACTTTATTGTTGGTTGTTCTTATCAACTGTTCTACGTTGGATCAAAGAAGCTCTCTAAAAGTCCTGTTAACTTCGGCTGGTCATTTCATTCATTATGGCGTATGTTGAAGTTAAAAGGCGTATAAGCAGCGGCGCAATCTTCAACCAGTGGCAGAAATGCACCTTTTCAGCAGCGGAACAAGCGCAGTGAATTTAATTTTTTTTGTTTCAGCGGCCTTTTCTCTGCTTGTTCACATGCACAAATATCTCATTATCCGGTAGGTTTTCAGAGTCATACAAAATTTTGAAGCATTTCTGCAACCATTTTCAGTATTTGGAGGCAATCTTTTGAACCAGAAACTCTGACTGTACCGTCATTCCTGGTGTAAGCTCCCACCTTCAAATAAGTCCTCCTCTCGAATAACCCCCACCTGAAAATATTTTTTGTAATTTCCGGTACGCCAAAACTGTCTTGTCGCGGTTAACTTTCAATCCACATTTTTCTTATTTTGTTTTAAGGATTTTTTAACATTTAAAGTCTGTCGCAGTCTCATTTATAAAAATGAGGCAGTTTCATCTTAAGAGGAACCCGAAACTGGTGCGCAAGGGAGGTGGCTAGCAAACAACTAGAGAATCGAGTTGATTTGTCTTCACAAAATATGATTCGTCAACCACACGTAGATCTTTGCATGAGCGGGCTACCTAAGGCTCAAGGGATAGAAGTTTCACGTAATATTTCTATCAATTGCCATAAGTTGCTTATTTCTCAAATAGCATTAAGCCCAGAACCAGAGCAAATACATCGAGAGCCATCGCTAGGTTTTGGGTTCAAGAGTGTCCAGTTCCTTTTTGCCGACAAAGAGGGAAAGCCAGAGATGGTCAAAGACCACTCGTTTTAAAACGATTTTTTTCGAAGGGGGTATCACACCCACACATACATCGCCACGTTACCCCTAAATCCGAGAGAACTTCCTAAGTAAATGATTTACCTCATCTGAAGCAATGGCGGCGCCAGCCACTACGCTCTGGGGGATAAGCAAAAATCTTTAGGCCACGCCCTTTTTAGCACCAGAAAACGCCTTTTTACCAACAGATTGCATTGGCCTTTATGGTGCATTGAATTTTTGTATCCTTGATCATTGCGATTCGCCTCAAAAAGCATTCGCTGGCCTACCGACTTTGACATGCTGACACGAGGATTAATTTACTTTTGTAAATAGGGCACAAGATTTCCACGAAAACAATAGGAATTCTACGAATTTATCCAGAGTTGCCAGATGCTTGGAATGATTGGCGGCCAAATATTTTACGCTTGACGGCCAAATTCGGCCAGCCAAACAAAATATACAAAAAGCTACATTTTTTGCTGATTCTTTGGAGTAACAGTGTAACCAAAATTGGCTTTGTTTGTTATAAAAGCTCTCGCTTGCTTTCAATTTCAATTTTCTGTTATCTTTTACTTTGTTTCTTGCTTCGTTATTTGCAATTTTGAGATTTAACAAAATGTTGAATATTGTATGTGCTAAAGTTGTAGTTTCCTTTGTATTTTTGTGGCTTACAAAAGCGGCCAAATCAATTTTCGACAGCCAACAGCTTTGAAAAACGGCCAGAACTGAGAAGTTTTGCCGTCAAAACGGCCAAATGGCAACCCCGAATTTACCTGTAAAACAATAGGAATTCAATAAAGATGTTCGATACTTCCATGGAGTGATTCAACCTTCGCACTGGACAGACTGACTAACTTGCTTCAGTTCGTATGTCGACAAACTTTAAGCTCGTAATAAATTCTATACTGAACAATTAAATTTAATTTAACTCAGGGTTCCTTGAAAATAAACAAATTGTGCTTACTGTATAAGAGAAAGACGACAACAAGAACATGCATGGCCTAGCATTTCCATTCGCACGGTGAATTGAATTTTCAAGATCTATGAACAAAATTAAGCGTGACCTCTAAGGCCTTTATAATTCTGAAAGGAAAATGAATATATCTAAAGTGATGGAACTAATATGCTTACCAGACCTATCTTCAAAACCCTGTCCAAGTGGAAACCATAGGTCTTCCAAATTTATCTCCAGTAGAAGGAGGATTTAGTTTTAAAGATTTCATCACTCACTTGGGATTTGAAACATTTTGAGGGCAAAGGTGCAAGCAGCGTGGCTATTTCAATTAGTAGCACGTGCTTTGTCTGAAGAATTAAGTAGAGTCATTTAGAACATAGCCAATGAAAAAAAATTTTATTGACCATGTCGAGAACGCTATATACACCAGCCAGTTCGGTATGTTAGAGTTTCCTCACCATAAAAACAACATGGGAATTTACTGAAGTTGCAACATTCGTAAAAGAAAACATCTTAAAGGTATACTGACCTAAAAGTTTGCGAAAACGTCCTTCTCCTTTAGATGGAATGTGCAGGGAGAAAAACTTCCGGCTGCATTACTCAGGTGACGTAAGCAGAGCATTTTCGCGCCATCAGGCTGGGACTAGAACCCAATCCTAAAAATTTGTTACCGTCCGCATAGTCCGCATATCAATAATTTGTTGAAATTTTGAAGAGTCTTTTTGCAGTCAAAATTGCAGCAGGATGAATGACACAGAAATTTACCGGCCTTCCACAAGGATGGAAATGGAATCATCGTGGACACCGTTATGTTCGATGAAAATCGTTTTGATATAGGTTTCTAACTACATCACACTCTATTTTGTTGCGGGGCTAGGACAAGACACCAGTCGAAAAAAAAGGTTTCTTATACGCAGGAAGTAAAATGGCATTAGATGCCTTGTGGCAGGGCTTAAGCCGCAAGTCCTTAAGTCGATTGCATTATAAAACGATTAATGGAAAACTGGGGGGGGGGAGGGAAGGGTGATTTTAGAATAAATTTAAGAGACTTGCTCTGATAGGCCCGCTTCAGTTTTACTAATGTAAAAGTTGTCTTTTTCAGTTGTCTTTTGCTTCTATTCGTGTTTGGTTCCCTGGGCTAAACAAATACCACGTTCTGTATCATTTTACTTGTATGTAACATGATGAATCCGATATTGATCAGGCGAGAGGCAAAAATGAGGCAATCGTAACAAACCAATCTAATATAAGTAAAAGAGATTCTTATCAAAATACAAGTATCTTCTTCAGAACAAAGACTCAATAAAGTTAATTTATTTATTTGGAAAAGTTTCGTAACACGTTAGGCTCATAGAAATGGAAAGCCCCGTTATCAGGCCTCGTAGACACAGGTTATATGGCCACACCCTGTGTTTTTTATTTACTTGGGATCAAGGCTTTTATTGAGAAACTCGCCCTTAACCGTTTTCCTTTTAATTGAAGCTTTTTGCAAGGTCAAACGAGCCAAGAATTGAAAAAATATTTCATTAATATTTAAAATATTGTAGAAACATATATTTCCACGGTTGAAGGACCAATTACCATCTGATGCTGTTAATTGGTCCTTTAACAGAGTAGGTGGTTCTTGTCGTGTTTTGTTCATACGAAAAATGTGCTCAACTTTAAAGACAGCAGATTACCTGTTACTATGATATGATATCCGTCATTACGAATTAAATGACGTAAAAATTCTACTCTTTCGATATGAAAATACGACAATATACAGTAAATTGAAAATACAGTGTGCTCATTAAGAATTCTTTTGAAAGCAAAAGCAAAAGATTTTAGAAAACAAATTTTCCCCGATGTACAATTAAAATAAGATAACAGACAAGGATAACAGACATCGATTTAAAATTACACAGAAAATATTAAAAGCCCCTCAAACTTAATGGTTCTTGCGCAAGCAGCATGCTTTGCGATCATATTTTCAAAACCGGCCTATTATGGTACTGAATCGAAATAAAAAATACAGCCCATTTCGTCTCGTGTAAAATGACACCGACTCCAAAGCATGCCGGTTGCTCAAGGGCCTTTAAAGCCAATGACCTTCGGTTGTTGTAAGCTTAACTAAGGGATCTAATATCCAAAAGAGTCTGGCCAGACAAAGCAGGTGATTTTACTTTGATAGGATACTAAATGTTAATATATTTTCGATCAGCTCGGGCCCAGCCCTATCGGTTTTAATCTTAATCACATCGAAGTAAATCATGCCCCTGCAATTGGTCAGTAGACAGGCATAAAACAAAGATGTACAACGTAAAATACAAACAGATTTGAAAATTAAAAACCTAAGTTACTGGTTTTTTCTGTAGTCGGAGATTTGTTACCTATGATATAGGAGGATCAAACAGACTCAGTTTTATGTAGCCTTGGTTTGGTTACGAATAAACAAAGGTGACTTAAGTATCATTCTAGGCCTTCTAAGCCAACACTCTGCTTACCTAGCCTCTGTTCAGTGTCTGTTATGCTAATTCAAAGATATAAATTCTTATTAAACAAATCGATAAGTACACTGCTAATTCATTTGTCATTATCAACTTTCCCACCTCGCCGACTTATTTGATGATAAAACAAGACATAAGCTTGCTTTTTTAAAACTGCCTCTTCTTGAATCTCTGAAACGCGGCTGTCACTTACGTAATACCATTTGAATTTATTATCTATTGTTCTCGTTTTCACGCATGCAACGTAATGACCGCTGTGCAAGTTTCCACTGTGCTCGATAATACCAAATAAATTGTACTGAAGATCCTCTTTTGAGACCTGCGAGAAAATGAATTTATCTGTTATTAGTCAAAAGTCGAGACTGTAGGAAGCAGCAATCACATGCAGATAGTTTGCACAAAAACAATATTGAGCTGTGCTCTGCCGATGTGAAACTGTGAGCAAAATTAGTCTCCTTAACTTCAATTTTGTAACTGTCTGTTTGAAAATATTTCCTATGAAGGTCACAGCTTAAGTTCTATGTCCAATATTCGTTCAAGCTTATGTCTATGTTTTGGATGAGAAACAGGGGAAAAACTGAAGGCTGGACCAGGAATGCAAAACAAATTATGAAACGATGTAAAACATTAAAAACATCATCATAAATTGAGCATAAAGAAGATTGTAGCAATTGATATTTAGAGCTGTCTAAATGTAACTTCAACTTCTCAGTGCCCTCCGAAGCAGACAAATGATTACACATAGACTCTATAAACAATCTTTGTTACTATAGGAAATCTAAAAGCAGCACATACCGATTTATTCACATGACAGAAAGACGATAAATCCAGCTGCAAAGGAAATTCGATATGTTTGTTGACTTTTCTCAGACCCCGACCCACTTGTTCAAATCTTTTTAAATGCAACGTCAACACTGAAGGTGGTTGCCATACTAGCATCTGCTTTGTAGCATCGGTGAAAACTGGCTTTATTGCGTTTGCTTTGCCTTCCTCCACTTGGATAACTTCTAAAAAAACAAAATATTATCATGAAAAATCTCTCGACAACTGAACAGGTATCTGCACGCTAGACAGCTTAATTCTAGCATTTGAAAGATCGAGCCCATAGCATATTTACGTACAGTAAGAGATTGTAAGTTATAATCTATTAACACCAACATTCTATTCACAGTTACTGAGCATTGCTGAACAACCTCTAGACTTGTCAACACTGCCTTTAGGCTAGAAAGGTTCTGGGAAATTCAGAAAAGAACCAGATGCCCTATTATTAACCAGAATTTGTTCAACAAGGGATTGTCACAAAAAAGGACGTATACAAATCTTTAGCACATTATGACAGCTTCTATGACACAGACTATCAATAGTTACCATTTCGCTTTTTCGTGCATTCATCACAGCGGAAACGATTATTTCCCTCCAAAACATCCTTGGCAGTGAACTGGTGCAAACAGGACAAAATTGAACATTCACCAGACTTGCATTTGTATTCTGGGCTGAATGTGCTCACATTATTACTCTTCATTTCCTAGAAAAAGTGAAAATCTAGTAGCAACGGATAAAGCAGTTCACCATTTTGAATAAAATAACATCGAGCTACATGGGAGATACGACGTAGCCAGAGGGAGCAGATACATCTTGGAAGATTCTAAGAAATTCTTTATATTTCATGCTAGTTATTTTCTATTGAAGGTTAATTTGAACGATAAATAATTAAATCATTTATCTTGTTCAAACGAACCTCTTCATCAGAGCCATTGTCATCTTCACTGTGCTGTTCTGTAACTTCCTCGACGCTTTCACTGTCATTCCCCTGTGAGTCCTCTTTTTCATTTGTTTCTTTCTCCTCAATACCGTCGTTCACTGTTGTGGCACCTTCTTGTTTCATTTCCACATTTTCTCTGTGTTCATTGGAAAATAAGCTCACTTCAGTTTGCTTATCTTTTGACCCCTCTTGCCCTCCATTCTCTGTTTCTTTACGAGCTTCTTCTCCAACTTCAACTCCCTTGCAATCCTTTTCCAACCCCTTTCTGCTATTTAAATTTTCTTCACTTGTCTGGCTCGCTGCTTCACCATTTACTGCTTCTTGATTTTCTTTCCTTTCTCTTTCATCGATGTTGCATTCTTTAACAAGAAGCATGCATATTGTATCCTCAATCACCTTGTCCTGCACCTGACTCTTAGCTGCCTTTTCACCAGCATTTTTCCTGGCTTCAGTGTCACTCATACTTGCATCCTCTTCCTGTGGTGTCACTGTATCATTAATATTCCCAGAAGTAGGAGCCACCGAATTGTGTCCCTCTATCCTTTCTTTCTCCTTCTCATTGATTTCTGTATCCACTTTCGATACATCTTCTTTGCTCGAAAAATTGCTATTACTTCCTCCATATGTGTTTTGTCTGCTGTAAAGGGTGCTCTCTTTCGAAGCAAGGCTCTCTAGCGATGATGTTTGGCTTCCACGATAATGTGTCGATTGGCCGCCGAGCATGGCTTGATTTGAACTTTCCCAAGATTTTGATTCATCAACTGCAAACACAATAAATAGCTTAAACGCTGAAAAATGCAAACACGTAAGCTCCATTGAATGTGGAGCGGCCATCGGGATCCAAAATAAAGCCCTGGTATGGTAAAAGAAGATAAGAGTTGCAAGAGGGGAAACAACCATGTTGATGTTTAGTTTTGAAAAATTATACTGCCTGCAGAAAATTAAATTTTCCACGGTGTATTCCTAGTTAGGACTACTAATGCTGTGAGAAGGAGAGTTACCGATGCTGCAAGTGGGAGAGGTACCGACGCTGAAAATGGGAGAGGTACGACTGCTGAAATTGGTTGAGGTACCATTGCTGAAAGTGGGGGAGGAGCCAATGTTGCAAGTGGGAAAGGTACCACGACTGCAAGTGAGAGAGAACCAAATGCTGAAAGTGGGAGAGGTTCTACTGCTGCAAGTGGGAGAGGTAACAGTGCAGCAAATGGGAAAGGTAACAGTGCAGCAAATGGGAGAGGTAATAATGAGGCAAGTGGGAGAGGTACCACGGCTGCAAGAGGGATAGATACCAATGCTGCAAGTGGGAGAGGTACCAGTGCTGCAAGAGGGAGAGATACCAATGCTGCAAGTGAGAGATGTAATAGGGCTGCAAGTGGGAAAGTCACCAATGCTACGAAAAGGATGTTTCAAGACAGAGATGCCAATATTACAAGGAGAATAGTCCTGATATCATGAGATGCATCGGGTTAAAGATATTAAAAGTGAGAAAGATAAAGAAAAATGATGTAATCCATTCCATCTAGATCAGAAACCTCTTACAGCAGTCTTTCCTACCTAAGAAAATAGCAGCCAGACCGATATTTGATTAACATCGAAGTACCCCGAAACTACTTACTGGCAGCACATGCATTTGTCTTCTTCTCAATGATTACAAAATCTTCCTCGTCTTTAATCGTGTAACTGTTCGAATCATCTTCACGTTGTTTCTCCCCTTGCTTTAAACCTGAAAGTAACAAAATAACTAAGTTTAAATATCAGTTACGTTGTCAACCAAAAATGATAGTCTAGCTCCTCTTGAGCAAATCACAAATATTCGGAATGCCAAACATTTTTCAAAATTCCATTGTGAATGGGATGTATATCGGAAAATCAGCCCACTTATCTCAAAACATTTTCTGATATTAAAACAATTTAAAGTTACTTGAAGAAACGCGATGATGAGATAAAGCTGATAAATGGACTAGATTGAATACCCTCAGTAATCCCAATTGCAACCAAATACTTAAAAGATAAGACGCTCAATAACAAAAGGAGCAACAACAACAAAATTTTTCAATATGTTCTAATATTAGCAGCACCAAAGTTAGCAGGTACCTTTGAAAACGTAACAAAAGTTCTTCACAAAAAAGCGCGAAAAGTTCTTCACAAAAATTGCAGAATACCCATTATCCAATCAAAAAGTCTTCAACGAATCAAATTTTGGTCATTGTCAAATACATTCCCAACACCCCCTCCAAACGCCATTCTATTTTAATGTTAAGAGCTTCGGTGTTGTCCAATAGATTCCTGTCAGATAGTTATGATGTTCAGCTTTACTGCCAAAACTATGTTGGGATATTGGAAGTGCTTAGTTAACTTATAACGGGTACGGTTGATCATCATAAAAGGAACACTTAAAGAAGCACCATCGCAAAATTTCGACCCCCGAAAAATTGCAAAAAGATTTTGGTCATATGAAGTGGGGACAAAAGTTCTACCGAAAAATTGCTTTCATGCTTTGTATCACATACATGTTGCGAGAAACAAGCGATAAAACCAGTACGATTTAATTTTTGGTAACCTAGTATTTTTACGGTCCGATCGTCATCAACAAATATCGATTGATCAGTTGATATCCGAAAATAATTGTGAAAGTCGATGGGGATTTCTCGGCACAAGGCAAGGTTCTGCCTAGCGGTAATGGCTGCTCACGTCGATGAAATTAAAAAGGTCGATAAAACCAGGAAAGAATTAAATCACTTAAAATTTGATTCTCGAACTGCTCAAAATCCCTGCCAAAATTACTTTGCGCTGTGCTTTTCTATTTTTCATTTGTTTTCCTGAATGCTACTACTTCCGTCCCCCTTTCCCCCCAAAACAATGTTGAAAGTATAGATAAATATCATACAAGGCACACGAAAAAGCATACTCCACAACCCCTTTCTTTTTTCTATAGTAAATCAACATTGTTCCTAGGGGGAGAGGGGGTGGCTGAATATGCCTTTGAAAACATACGTTAGTGTTCCAAGACTTTTGGCGGTGATTGTAGGTATTAGATGCTAAACTTTCCCGTTATAAAATTAATATAATGGTATTCAAACCTATGTATGGTAGAATTATACTACTTGCTAACCCTCACTGGTGAGAGCTTGTCCAGAACAGAAAAAGTTTTTTCCTCTTTCCTCTTTTTTGCGCTATGTTTGTTCAAAATTGGTCTGTTTTCAATTTTCAGCGAGCATGACGACAATTACGCGCTCGTTTATATCGGCCTCCAGACGACCCAGACGGCACTCGTACCCTTGCTCGCTTCAACTTTCTTCCCCTAAATTAGACCCCCTTTCTGTATTCCAGACAACATTGAGCCTTTTTGTGATAGCCTTCACTGCTCACATAACAAACTAGAACGACGAAAAATGTTTTTTGGCGATGCCAGTTTTTTGTGTTGATGCCTCTTTAAGCCAGGGCATTCCAAGGACTTAAGCCACTTAAGCCAGGGCATTCCAAGGACTTAAGCCACTTAAGACAGGGCATACTAGATGTCATGGATGTCAGAAATTCTCTAGAGATACTACGAGATTTCTGAGACCTAATAACAAACTGAATAGTTGAATTACCTTCTTTACAAGAGGCTTTTGTAGATGCACTGTCATTGTTCTCGGTTGAATCATTTTCGTTACAATCATCACTTTCTTCTTCATGATCGTCATCCGAGTTTTGCTTACCAGATGAGAGATCAGATGATGCTTCGCTGCCTTTTCTTTTCGGGCTCGGAGCTCCCTTTCCTTTACCACGTTTTGCCTGCACATCAAATAGCCTTGATTATTTACTCACAAATGGCAAAAGCAACTTCAAAGAATCAAATACTGCTATATGTAAAAAAAGAATAGAGCAAGAACACAGAACTTAATGCAGTATGACATGAAGGGTGATAAGTGACAGATTTGGCACACCCCTTCTTCAGTCCTTTTCACATTGTATTTCCTATTCACAGCCTTTGTTAAATTAACTGAAAATTAAGCCAAGCGACATTTGCAATCGGTCAAAATAGAGAACTTTGCCAGTAGCAAGAATAATTTACTTGGCAAATAGGGCAATATACATCTCCTTTCTCACTTAAAAATGGTAAGTCTGCACAGAATTTAATACAAAGTAAGAACAAACAATTTGAAGTAAGTACAGGTTGAACGCAACACTGTGATATAAAATCGGTCTTTTCTTGTTTATGCACGGCAATGTACAAGCTCTGGCCGGATGAGCCAATCTAATCAGCTAACACACCGCGAAATGATGGTCTTTTATTAAACAGCCTTTCTAGAATCCACCTGGACAACAAGTCTTGTCGATTAACAAAGGGCGCTTAAATACGTATCTTTAATCCTTGACTATATTGATACGACTTTGCAAAAAGAATCTATATATTTATAGCAAACCTTATTTTGCAATTAATATCTTTATCTAATATAATTTCCCTACATTCATTAGATGCCAACAGGGCTTTATAACATTTAATATTTTTCTAGAAAACACCGCCCCATGCTTACAGTCCAGAAAGAAAATCAGGCTACATGACATTGAATAAATTAAATTCAGACTTGTCCCCTTTCGATTGGTAGGTCTCTATTCCTCACTCTACCTCGAAAATCCTTTTTATAATTTTCACTTTATTCTATCTGGGATTAGATTAGGTATTCGATGCGTGCATTTCGTAACCAAGACTGTAGATTTAGGTAAACCTTAATGTAGACTGCCTTATTGGTGTGTCATTCTGCCATTCAACTGACCCTCGATATATGTATTAATCTGTCATTTAACAAAAGTAACTACTTTCATGAAAGAAAATGACCAAGAATGAAACCAACACTCATAATGCAACGAAATTGTTCACTTATTACATATATTTCCAGATTATCGTATCCATTCCTGCAGACTGGCAACTGCTTCCTTCTTCCAATTCTATGAGCACACACAGACCATACGTCAAAATCTGTTTTATGTTATTTGCTAATCTATAATTTGGCAATAACAAACAAACAAATAGGACAATGAAAAAAGATACTCTTTAAAGGTAGAGAGAATAACCCTACCCCTTCCAAATAATCCCCCAATAATCCCTAAATAGTCCTACCTTTTTATCCTTCTTCGCCATCACTTTCATTTGGTGTTTGCTGAGCTTTCTCTGATTCTCAACATCTGGATCTGTTTGGGCTTTATCTTCATTTTTTATTTTCCCACTGAAAAGCCTAGTGGCAGCGGCTTTGGCAGTTTCCTTCTATTGGCAAAAGTACGAAAAATAAATCATTGATATCAAAAAAATTGTTTTGATTGATCAACCATGAAGCATACGTTGATGCAGAAACTGAATACGACATTAAAAGCTCGTTATGGAATCGTGTTTTACAGCAAACCTTCATTGCGTCTGGTTCTCTCTGGCTCACGACTTTTTGGGAAATTATTATTAGAAAATTTTCGATGTGGTTTTAATAATACATTGTAGAATAGCATTTAAAAACTTCACTCACAAGTGAAAACTTCACTCAAGTACGTATTGGGGTACGCTTGTTCAAAGAGATACTTCAAACGATTGAAAAATTATTGCATCCTGAAACCCTAAGAGACTATAACTTGCTTATCACTTGACAAAAGCACTCCCTGACAAATTGAATCAGTGAATGTCAATAGATATAATTAAAAAGCAAAGAAATATATGTTACTAGACAATCTAAGATATTAGGAAATAGCAACATACCGGTGTCGTATTGACAGGCAACGACAATTCAAAGAAGCTTTCGTAAACCTGCGATTTCTAAGAGAGAAAAAAACGGTTTATTAGGGAGCAATAATCTGCTGCTATGCAAAAAGCTAGCCTGACAAAATGGGCCTCTAAAAAAAGGGAATGCTTCAAATTTTTCATGAATTCTAACCTTTCAATTTTGTACACTTTTGTCGGGATTTTATCTGCTTGATATTTTTAAGGCCCTCAGTATAAGGAGAAACTACAAGCTATCGTGGACAAATGAAATCTTCTTCAACACAATGTTTCAGTTCATTGTTAATGCTTTACCTTATCCCTATGATTACGTCCCGACTTTGAATTTGGGGCGAGAGACTGTCCTATATAAAAAAGCCACAAAGATAATATATGTTTAACTCGACTGCCATGTCAATGAATGTAGAGCGTTCACATTTTTGGTCGAGAAGGATGCAGTAAGAGGGGGTTGGTGAGGCCTACCGACAGCTGATACATTTTCAAGACAGAGCCATGACTTAACACTATTTTGTACTTTCTAAGTGAACTGCAGGGAGGTACTTTTCCCGTGACCGTATGACCATTGGTCACAGGAAATTAAAGAAAAACAATATTTTTCTCACAGGAAATTTTTGGATAGACTATCATGGAATGGGCTAGCAATAGGTTGCTGATAATGTCTTTGATTGTATCTATTTGTTATCATCAACAAAACATTCTGGATAAATTCAGTATCTTAGATTCTAAACTACTTTTCCACATGAAAGTTTCTTCAGAACCTTCACGGTTACATGAAATCTATAAATAATTGACGCCCTGGTGAACTGTCGAGAAACTAAAGCTTGCTTAAAAACAGAGACAGATCAAAGAAGGCTTCAATACTTATGGTTTCATAAATTTGATAGTAATATGCCAACGACATACCGATTTACATTCTGAGCAAACAATTGTGGAGACCAGCATACCGCCAAAAACATCATCTACAAACGTCTTGACATTTTTGAAGCAATCTGCGACGAATGGTAATACAAGAAAATACATAAAGTTGAATCTCTTAAGAAAAATTCCAACTCAGCTTTGTTAGTAAAAATATCTTTCTGTTGGTTTAAGAGGGATACATATATAAATGGAAGCTTTAGGGCGCTTACACGGAGATTCTAGGTTTACAGCACAGCCACAAGTAAGAATCAAACTGTTGATATCCAATAAAACAAAGTGACTATGGCAATCGTCCACCAAATGTTTTTTTATAGGCTGGGCATTTAAGGGCTAGCTGCATCCGACTCACTGTTCCAAGAACTGAGATTGATTTTGCTTTTTACGTTCGAGGAAAGAAAGGTGAAAAAAGGGCAAAATGTTCGAGGGAATGGTGGTCGATTTTTCTCAGTCATGTTTAAAGGAAAGAGCAAAAAACATATAAAGGTGCTGGTTTAAGGCAGAGGCGACTAAAAATTTCAACTTGTAGGAAATTAACATAAACTGAAAGAAAAGCAAACCTTTCAATTGTTCGTTGGTCGGTGGACAGTCTAGTTTCTTCACAGCGTCTTTCACTGCGGACTCAATCCTCTATAAATATTAAAATTGATTTTCATAGAATTTTCGAAGATCTATACAGATCTATAATGGATACGACAGTATCATAGGAGAAAGAGAAAAGGAGAAAAACCAGGCATGTTCCTATTACTTATCTTCAGACATTTCAAACGTTGGCTTGAAAATATGTTGGCTTTATATAAATTAAAGACATTCGTTTAAAAGGTATCTGCATTCAGATTAGCTTGCTGTCGAAAAAATTAGTAACATGCTCCCTCCCCTCCCAATTTCTTCTTCCAACGAAAGCGTAAACAGCCTTTCGTACGAATGTTTGTTATCAAAATGTACTCATCAACGATATGTAGCTCTCTGCAACATTGACAACAAGTCTCTTTCAATAGTTAGCTATTAACGTTATGAGTGATATTGTAGAGCCAAAAGGACAGACAACTGTGGCGAAGATAAATAAAACCAGAAGCATTCGAAGAAGGATTAATTTTTTATCAGGGTTTTAAACGTATTGCCTCATTGACCAGAGAATGGACAAGTAGCTTATTTACAATTTTAAAGGACACAGAACGGGTTATCATGCAGCAAAACGCTTGAATGTAGGTAGAAATCGGATACCTTTAATTCTTCTACCCGCATTCCATCTAAAAGATATCTCAGCAACTCTTGGCTGTCTTGTTGTCGGTACCCACGAAACTGAGGTGACCTGATGATATATTAGAATCAACGTCAAATTCAAGGTAATGAACAAATTCACTGATAGTGGGATTTCGCATATACTTTATTTATTTCACTGAAATTACATATGTCTGTAAAACTTACAATGCGATATATCAATTCGATGAAGTTGAACTTACAACGCGATGTATCAATTCAGCACTGAAATGACAAGTCTTGTTTTATCAAAAGGCTAGGGCTAAAGAAAATGTCGTATTTCTTGACTGTTTTGAGAGGGCGAAAGTCCCAAATAATTGCCTAGTAATATAGTTGTACGAACACTAGACCCTTGGAAACTCTACGATTTAAGAGAACCCAATCCTTAGTAAATCCGTGGTAATGCAGAAGCATATTTAACCATGCATTGAAAATAGCACATTTATCGAGTCACCATGTGAAAACAGCGAAATTCAGAATACGGTATCCACGCTCCATTGCAATTTAATAAGATGAGATAGGATAAAAGTAAAGAAAACTAGTTAGAGAGAGAAAGTGAGATAAAACGACTATTATTTGGCTCTAACCAGCATCTAATGATAGGGGTGAAGGCATTGAAAAGCAATGTTTCTTAAGCAGTTCTAGTATTTTTATCGATGTGAAAACCTGTCGTTTTCAAAGCCCTACTTACAGGAACCTGGTACCGGGGATGAATTATAGGGAGGAGGCGACGAGATATATTGAGTCGAGGTTCGAGTCACCAACATTATAATGCATTCTCATCAGTGGCGGATACTTGGGGGGCGAGGGGGGCGACCGCCCTCCCCCCAATACTTTAGAGGACAATGGTTTTTTTGTTTTAAAACAATGGGAAATGTGACGTCATCTTAATAAAACAATAGGCTTGCCCCCCTAATATTTGATCAAGTGTCCGCCCCTGATTCTCATGCTAGAGGCCAAACATTTCCAAGCATCGAATTTTAACTAACTCACTTTTTCGTTATTTCGCCAAACAATCGACTAGGGGTAACCACGCCGCGAGAACTGCTGTGAAACTCGTCTAAAAAGGACTTCAAAGCGGAAGTCAAAGGCCCAACAGCTGAAGACCTTTTCACCGTGATTTCAATCTGCAAAACAAGATCGTGACAAAACTTGTGATCAACATGGCTTCATTACAAAAGAAAAACTTAATAATTCCTATAACTTGAAGGAAGAACTAAACTTGTGACACAGTATTATCCGGTTATAACGTACTTTAAGAGATAAGCGGATAAAGTACGTAATATCTGAAGTACGTTGTAACGGGGGGTAAATGTTGTAAACAATGTTGTAAACCAAGTTGTAAACAATGTAACTATTTAAAAACCACACTTTTAACTACCTTTTTACAGGCTACATAGTTATAAGAAGTCTGTAAAGCGTGTCTGAATATCTTTCTTCGTCTAAATGTTGTTGACTGCTGCACCAAATTTTTCTGTATATAATTTTATTGCAGATTTATTTCAAATAAGCTGGAAATAGATTTCCCATCGACTCAATATATTCAAATGCTTGGTATTTTTTTCTTTAAATTGTGAAAACACTTTGCAAAATAGAGTAAGATCTTTCAGATACACAGGAGCGGAAACCTGGAACGAAATTTCTATCATCATCATTTCAAAGTTGAGTTTTCGCCAGCAATTGAAAATCCATTTGTTCTCAACTAAGAATATATATTTGTATTTTAATTCACAATTCTGGTTGCATTTTTCAGCTGGGGTTGTAATTCTCATAATTTTTAAACTATGCTGGCTTTGGAATGGCTTTGGAATGGCTTTGGTAGGCTCTTGCTTTTGGGGCCTTTTCTGGGTACAAAACCCTTCCTTGCTGTTGGCTGTGGGTTTGGGTTTTTTTTCTGGAGTAGACTCCGTGGGCTTGGGGTTACTGTCGACATTCTAGGTCGCTTGCACATAACGCATCCTTTGGAATAATAGATTACTGAAAATATGGATTTTTTAACATAGGAGGTGCTCTCTCATCGATTAGTCCATCTACTGAGAGATCTCCTTCTTTAAGGAATTCCCCACATACAGGTTTCAAATGTCAGGTTTTTTTTCAGTTTAATTTTTGGTGCTTATCGTTTTTTACATCTGTATGGAATATGTATTGTATTGTATTTGATGTATTTTGTATTGGAGCCTGTATGTTGTATGAATTTTAAAATGAAAACTGAAATTGAAACGGAAGTCCAAGTCAGACAAACAAGTGATATATTCCAAACAGATATACAAACCTTTGGCGTTTTGTTATTTTGAATTTTCACTTCATTCTCCTTCTCTAATAGCGAGTCTAACTTTTCTACCAGCACAGTTGCTCTTGAAATGTTTTGAAGAACTGAATTGAAAAAACAAGTGTTGCCCAGATTGCGAAGCCCCTACAACATAAAAGATTAAATTCTCTGAATGAGGATTTAAGAAAACTACCTTAAACGGATGTCAAAAAATCACATGTGAAATAATCACAAATAATCACAATTCATCGTACAACAGCCTGATAATTAAAATATTACCACTTAAACTCTTTAAAATTTTATAAAACTCTTTCACAAATTGTATATACAATTATTTCTTTGCATCGTATTTCTATTTCAAAACAAAGTTTATATTTTCATTTCCATCATATATATCTGGGGCATTGATAGCCTCAAGTAAACATTGAAAAAACCTTAAGGAAATAAAGACTTTGGAGATCATCACAATCAGTGACCAGCCATCAAATACTGTCTAAAAGTTTTGATTGTTCTATTCAAATATCAATTGTATTCTCTACGTCATTGCTATGCTACATCCCTATACGTTTTTTGGTGGCGAAAAAGGAGGAGGTTCATTAAACGGGGGTTGACAAAAAGTGAAATACTAAGAATCATTTTATAAACAATAGCAAATAAATTTGCAGCGAAACATTGACGATGCTACGCGATTTGTGTGCTTAAGTGAATAGCAAAACACTGATACACATTTGGACGCAATACATAAACTGCAAAACAGCCCAAATCAAAGCCAAAAACTAAGAAAGGGATGCGATAAAGACTTTTGGGGTGGAATTTTCCTTTTATGGATATGTCAGGTGTGTGCTTACTAGAAAACAAGAATACGTCCGAAAATCAATAAATAGCAGTTAATAGGATATCATGCAACAAATTAAACTGCTACCTTTACAGCCCCTGCAACACAGGAGGTGATTTCATCATTTTCCTTGGCACCTACATTTGAGAAGAGCAGTCAAACAAAACGTAATATTAACACGAAATTCAATGGACCATACGAAAACGTGGAATTGTCTAGTTTATGAATAACCTGTAACAGTTTTGAATTGCTGAAAGAGAGCAAGCACGCAAAAAGGGCCTATTGAATTAATAAAAACAAAACTCGTTTCCATCTCTTTGAAGCTGTGTGCTGTTAGTATCTCTAGGGGCAGCTCCTGTCTGGTGTTCTTGTTTAGATTATTTTGAAGACAATAGAAGAGGTCAAACTGAGGCCAAGACTAATATTTAAGAACCTTGATGTAGTAAAATACCATAACAATACCCAGAGCTTGATAATCTAGTTTAATTTATCACTGACAAATTCTCAACCATTTTCAAGGTCAGAAAATATTATTGTAAAAAATTGTAAAAATTGAGGAGTAAAAATTGATTACCATTTTTGGTTGTATTCCTTTCACGAATAAACTTGATTGTTTTTTGAATATCTGAATTTTCACTAACATTATTTAGCTCTTTATCGCACGCATAGCACCTGCAGAGAAAGATAAACGTTACTGATTCAAGCCCGTTTAAATACTGAATTGAAATAAATAAGCAGACTTGACAATAAGCAGCAATAGTGTTGAGTGGAAGAAACTGCAAAGGTTATTTAAAGATTTTTGTCCACAAATGCTCTGTATCATGAATAAACCAAATAAGTCTTCGTAAGTGCAAAGTTTCAAAAAAGTACGGAATAGCCGAAACATAGCATAATAAAGTACTTTTCGTGCTCAAATATAGTACGTAGCGTCGTAAAGTACTCCACAAAATATAAAACGGCGGAAAATGACAAGACAAAATTTCTATCTATGTACGCTTCGCTTCCGTTTTTCGTGCTATTTTGAAGTATATCTATATGCAAAGCGACAATGAAGCGAACAGCATATATTCCGAATCCATGGATTGAATGATTCAGAAATTTAAGGCTGATATTAGGAGCAGCAAAGTAAGATAAGAGATAATCAACTTTGGTATCTTGATTATCTCGCATCAACGAGATGAATAGCTGTCATGAACATTTAAATTTTGGCTTATTCATTAGCTTGGCCCTTAAGTAATTAATCCTTTAAAAATCTCATGGATGTATTTTAAAACTGTGAAGTGAAGCAGAATTTTAAACCGAAAGACCCGAGCAATAAAGCAATTTTTCTATTTCTAGTAATTTTTATACTTGTGTAGAAGAACTGAAGGATGCTGTTTTGGCTAGGCCATTTGAAAAACTATGTGCAGAACAGAGGCATACTTACGAAATAAAAGAAAACCGCCATAGGATAAATATAAGAGTAAGGACAAGAACTAGCAACAGGCAACTGCTAGCGCTGTTAGAAGGAAACTACAAGTTTTTATTGGTGGGTCAGTAAAAACTTTAGTTGATTGGCAACATCATTAGCAGTTCAGCGAAATCGCCATACTGTATGAACTTAATTTCTGTGTGCCTACCAATACCAAAGGCCGCTTTAGCCAAAGCATGGGATAGGCCTCCTTTTGCTAATTTTGTGAAAATGGCATAAAAGAGTGACAATATTTATGCTGAAATGCTTTTTAGAACGACTCCAGAGGTAAAATGTCGGATCATAACAAAAAAGATGTGCGGTAATATATATCTAGTTACAGCTCGAAAGTAAAATGATTAGTGGCAGAATGGAAGGGTGGTTGACTGGTTGCCTGTTTTTGATCAATCATTAACGTCTTGCCTCATATATTTGAAGACCCAAGAGAAAAGACGAGTTGTCTATACCATTCGGGATCTTTTGTTTTGATATAGATAGATTCCAAAGATTTGACCAAGCCTGCCCAACGACTCTATAATTATTATAAATTTCGAAATTTGAGTCTTTTGAACCAACAGTGATGCAGTGCTTTATTGATAGTGCCTCACTACCATAACTTGGCACTTTATTCTCTGTTTGTAAAATGTGCCTGCCAGTGACTTGTGCCTGGAAATTGCTTGGACAAGCTCCATTGGGTTGTGCAGACCTAACCCAGCCTCAGCAGCCTGCTCAGTTGCTGAATACTTAGAATATAATTTGCTTAACATCATACAAAACTCACCAAATAACCCAGGTAGTAGTGTTAATACAAATTGTGTGTGAAGCTTGTTGCTGAAAATGGCAGTGGGCATGTCGATTCTGCGAATTTCTGCTGCAGCCCTGAATGATAGAGTAGTATAAAATTGAAGCATCAAAATGGCACAGAAAACCATAAATGTAGCACACTACAGTATTTTTCTTCTGACATTACTCAGCGTAAAAAATGATACAGTTCAGTTCAGTTTCAGTTCAGTTTTATATATTTCAAAATTCCTTCACATACAATATCTTACTATAACTACATTACAACTATGTACATACAATGACTACAAATTACATAAACATAGTTATAATATCTATATAATAAGTATGTTGCTTGCAGGGGAATGCCATTTGGAGGAACTCTCTCACTAGATTAAGAAATCAAGGGGAGAGCACCTAGATACATAATGATGGTAAGCAAGCGGTAGGCAAACAATTATAGCTTTGCAGTTTGAACACAAATGCTTTCTGACTTCAGTACTAGTTTCGAGGATACAACCAGAAAGCCATTGCAAACTTAGTGCCTGATGCAGAAAGAACATGAAATGAGAAGATAAATGGCGAATGGAAGCATACTTGGAAATCGCAACAATGAAAAAATGAAGGCAGCCTTTGGTTAAAAAAATACCTCTAGGATCTAATTTTACAAACCTGGAAACCACACTTTAAACAAATGCAAATACTTTGCATGAGCTCACCATCCTCCTAGAAAAGATACAAATGAATTTATCCAAGAAATAATACTTTTGAGAACAAGTAGTTATAGAGTTTCTAAGTGAAAAGATAAATCAAAATCTATCTATAGGATTAACAAGTTTGACAAAACAACCAGAAGAGCACCACAAATCACATCTACATATGCATACAGAGTGTGTAGCAAAGTTTGTAACAAATTGGCTGAGAAATGGCCACATAAGCACAGGTTATAAAATCTATGAATCAGGCCAAAAAAGCAGTAATCCATTATCTAACTCAGTTTACTTGCAAAATCTCAGTATTTGAACTTTTAGAGGTGATTAACCATTTTTTCAGTCTTTGTTGTCAAAAGTAATAAATCCAACATATTTTTTGTGAAGCCACATGGTTAAATGAGTGATAAAATTTTCTCAAAAATTTTTCTTGCAAATAATTTCATGCTTAAAAAAATTTGTAAAAATTCAATTCAAATATATAATTTCAAGACAAAAAAATAGATAAACTAAAACTGATAAGGAACATAAAAATGATCATTGATATATATGTTAAAAATTTGAATAAAAATCACTTACAACATCTTTTAACTCTGGGGTTAGCTTTGGTTTTCCTCTGCAATCCTGCAAAAATTGAATAACTGGCTATGATTGTATTTCTCATAAAACAATGATAAAATTATTTCAAAGCAAGGTTACTTATTCAAAAAACCAAAACTAATTCAGAAAAGAAACATCAAAGCTGAATAGCTCTACTAAGCCCCCATCTATTAGGCTCCCCTCTCATGCCTGAAATATTTGCATAACAAAACAGTTTCTTCCCATAAACCACAAAGGAGGCTTCTGATAAAGTTTAAAAATCTACAGATATATATCCTGACTGCTAATTTTTCCCTTTTTAGCTTCCTGTTATAAATTATCAACATATAAAAATAACTAAAAGATTTTTACAACTATCAAAATAAGCCCCCTGTCTAAAGAGCTCCCTCCTTTAAAGAAATTCCTCTAGAACTTCCAGAAATAAATAAGCCCCTACTACCAAGGGAGCTTTGTAGAGCAAGCTGTTTCAGAAGCTTCAGGTAGTGCTTATTACCTTGCATTCTCCAGTCTTGGCATGTGGGAGTACCTTCTTCAAAGACTGGTACCGTACTGCCTTGTTGACATGTGTGCATGGCTCTAAAGGAATGATAAAATAAAATAACTGAGTAACAGCTATGAAGAAAATAGACAAAACAACTTCATTCATGCAATTGTTGACAACTCCCTCATTGCATTCAAGGAGGCAAGCAAGAAACAAGAGAAATAACCCTCAACTTCCTGGCACTTACTTGCATTTATTATCCTTTACCCATAAGGAGAAATGAGCCAAAACCAACCCTGATATTCAGGTTAGTTTAGATACCTGGATATGGATTGCTTTAGGACAGTGGTCACAATTGTCATGTTAAAAATCATCAATCAGATTAAAAAGACCTCGGTGACAATAAAGAGTCTAATACACAAAGCCCTGAAAAGTTTCAAAGGCATAATTAATTCGGGCATGTGATCTACTCAGCTTAGTGAGAAAAACTTAAAATCTTTGTTGGGACATTAGAAAGTGGTTTTATTCATTTACCTAAGTGCACATGTCGATTAAAGATAATATCAAAAATTAATGTCTCTATATTCAAACAAAAATATCATAAATGGCTGATGGCTCAGAAATCAATATGATTAAAAAATTAGCAATAGCTCCCCAAGGGGGTCCTCTCTTCTAAAATAACTATCTACAGAGAGAGCTCCACTTTAAGAGGATTCCTTATTCACAAATTCCCTTTAAATTGGCTTAGCACTTTTTTGCATATGTTACATTATTTTCCGTTGAAGTTACGCAGTTGTTGTTAGATGGGAATTGTACTTAGCTGGAATTTTCAAATTGAAACTCAAACTTGTACTTGAATACATAAGCAAAAACAGCCTACAGGAAGTTTTGCATATGTTTCTAAAGTGTTCTCTAGTGACAAGAAACATTACAACAGAGCATTTCATGATTATAGAGTAGCAAAGCCGATGTAATTTCTGGCCAACTCTTCACCAAACTCCATTGAATGAAAATTTTGATGTTGGTCTGGTGAATTTCCAAAAACCTGACCTTGGTCATAATCATAATCACATTTAGTGAACCTAGTCTGCAAAGTATGGCAGTCCTCGGCGTGATCTCATTCATGCAGCATTTTTTTGCATGCAAACCTCTCTTTACTATCCAAATGTGAGTATAGGCTTTTTAATAGCATTATAGTCTACTTAGTGTGCAATCAGAAAATTTTGGCATGCAGCACTATCATGACCTTGCGCTTGTGTCTGTCATACTATGCAGACCGGTAGTGAACCAATGCTTCGAAAATGCTCCATGCAGAATAGCAAACTCTCTAACTGAAGACAATAGAGAGTGATGTGAAGAACCAATATTTTTCTAACTTTTGGTACTTTTTTAAATTGGAAAAAACATATTTCTGAAATTCTTGGTCAGCCCAACCTCAGCCTGACCAGCTTGCCCTGTCTAACCTGCCCTTTCCAGCCTACCCTGTGATTTCATGATCTGAGAAAACTGTACAGGCGAAACCTGGGCCTGAAAACGGGGCGTGTATAAATATGACTCATCGTTCGTCAATTCATCAGACCATCAATAAATCAAAACCTGGACAGGATTTGAAGTTTTGCCGTGGTTGTTAACGGGGAATAAATTGTACTTTATGATATGAAAAAGAGAACTGTGTCACGGTATTTGCCTCAGTACTTGTTACTAGCTATATGCATTCGCAAGCCTCTTACTTAGGCCCTATCCCACTTCTTAGCATCTGGGAAATTAATTAAAACAAAGGCACCGTGACACAAAAAATCGAATGCAAAAAGATATTCATTCATCAAACTTACTATCTCCTTTATTTTCTTCCTCTGACGACCCGCCTTTTTCGTTTATTACAAGCTTTTGCTTCTTTCCTTTCCCCTTGACTTTCGCCATGTTGGTTCAACTGCCAGCCTCAATTTCAAACAATCGCATTTCGTAAGTAGTCCTTGACGAAACCAGAATTTTGACGGCGAATCAATCCATATTCACTTCGATGCTTCATCAGTTTACCAAAAATTTTAACTGCGTTTTTGAGTGGATCACATCTTAGAAATAATCAAGGGATTCCTAGTATTTCCTGGTATCATGAAGACCCCAGATCACCAACTTGGATTTTGCTTGTTTACATTTTTGCGGTCACTTCTTTCGAAATCTGTCGAAACACGTAATTGATCAAGTTGCAGGTTAGCTTCTACAATAGACTAAAATTTCAAAGGCCAAGCTTTTCAGCGAACTTCATTCATTCATTTAACAAGGTTAACAAGCACAGTGATTTTTTATAGAAAAAATGAACGGCTTTCGAGAAAAAAGTGAGAGAGATAAATTTATTGATAGCTAGTACACAAAGTCCTCTTTCAGCGAACTTAAATGTCTGGATAATATATTTTATATTCTCAATATAAAAGTTGAGTGCTTCAAAACATTTCATCAATTTATTTTAAAAGTTTTATATTCGATAGACAATTTGCTAGTTAACAACAAATCAATTTTTGGTATATAAAATATAAAAATGGTTGCGGCCCTCGATTTTGAAGTTGAAGATATTGTCATCACTGCAGTTGCACTCTAGTACGAACGGCTAACAGAACAGGACCTTACATTGTAGGCAAAATAATAAAATTTTGACAGCCAAATGAATTGAAATAGTTGCACAAGCTTTGAATAAGTATTATAAGCTTTTTATTTTTCACTCTTGGTCATAGCCACAAAACAAAAGAAAATAAAAGAAAAGCCAGCAAGAAGTTTTGATCAATAAACAGTATAGATACTGGCAAGAAACATCCCCAACATTAACTAACAAAATTTTGAAGATAAAGAATAATAAACAATTTAAAATTTAACCTTTGCTTATAGCGTATTTTAATGTTTAAATTTTATATATCTATGGCCTGACATATTCTAAAATCTGTTAAAATATTTACCATTGATGATCACCTGTCATTTTCCTGAACTTGATAAAGTGCCCAACAAGAATATTTCTCTCATATGCAAATAAATTATTAATTTCTAGGGGTATATTTCTAAGATTTCAGTTGTTACCTACAGGTCTAGTCCTGGGAATTTTTCTCTTTTTCACCTCCCGCTTGTCATCTCAATCACTGAAATCTCTAAAGCCCAAATTCAATAAATGGAATATATTTTATAGTGAATCGTTATAAGCTCGGAGGGGGGATACCTTAACATGTTTGAAGGTACGGGGACGTGCCATTATTTAGGGGTACCTTTTTCTGAAAAGTGCGGAATTATGGGTATCAGTTTTTGAAATATGTGCGGGACTATGGGTCCATTTGAAGAAACATGCAGAATTATGGGTACTATTTTGGGAAAATATTGCAAAATTATTAGGAGGGATATTTAGCATTATCAAAATGAATGACCAGTTAGAAATAAAACTATGAAATCTGTGTAATATTGAGATTTTGAGGCAAAGGACATGCAAAATTTGTTTAATGATTTTATGTGCTTTAAAAATTTCATTTGCTTTGCGGAATTATGGGTATAGTTTTCATCATGTTTGCATAATTATGGGTCACATTTTTCAGACATTTGCGGAATTATGGGTCCAACATTTTAACCAAAATGGCACATCTCCGTCAAAAATTAGGCTTAGTTTACCCCCGAGGTTAAAAGGGACAATTCATCGAACAAAGACGTGGGAAGAAAAATATTTATCGTATATTTTCGGCGCTCTTAACCTGATTCTGACATGGAGTGGTACAGACACCCAGTGGCGGATTGGCTACCATTCGACCTACCGGGAAAAGCAAGCAAAAGGGCGCCAAAAGGTGCTAAAAAATTTGCCTTAGCTCATCAAACGGTTATATATAAAGTTTTGCAGCATATCATTGAGAAATATAAAGGGGTGCCTCAGCACCTGCTAGCCTAATGACTTTGTTGCTCCTGCCTCCACGCTACAGTTACATATCATTTACAAAAGATATGATTCCAGTTCATCAGCGTGCGGAATTATGATCAGGTATTGAACATGTGCTTAAAACTGTAGACTTGTCCGGAAGATCTCTGATAAAATATCTTGGACAAATGAATTTTAAGAGATTCTGCTGCCATCAGTTTTGTGCAAATGGATGATTTTGTACATTTATAGGCTCCTTCTGTAAGAGTAACTGCCCGTAGACATGGTAAGAACTTTCTTAAGAAAAAGTACAGTCTCTATTCCGGGACAGAAATTTTTTAAATTTGAAGAAAGAATGGAATACTTTAATAGCTAGTAGTAAATTTGAAACCAGTTTTTTCCAAACAGCCGGTTTAATATTCTATTAAATTTTTTAGGAGTTTTATACATGAGGACATCGATCCTCAACAAATTCTGCATAAAGTTTTTAAACATTGTACAAGATTTTTTTTTCAGCTAGTCATAATTTCCTTTTGGTACGAACCTCCTGGTTTTAACGTACAAAAAGCAAGATGACTATGAGTTGTTAGTTAGAAGAAAATAGAATAGAAATGAAATAGCTTGCCACGGAAGTCTTGTTCAGAAAGTATTATTCTCTATCATACCTAGAGCAGTTTTCACTATCAAGGGATAGTTGATAGCCCAAAGAAAAAGGACTATTATTCAAGAGAGACAACACAAGGAATGTGCACATACTACGCAATCAAAAATCGGGAATATTTGAAAAATCCCCTTCTCCCTAAACAACTATTTTAACAAACTTCAACAAAGTGCCATAATGAACGTAATAGCCATAACATTCGTGCAAGTCCCCCCTCTCCTCCCCATCTTTGATTACGTAATATATGAACGTTTCCATACCCAATATTCTTCCCATACCCAGCACATCGATAATTTTATCCAGTTACAACCATTGTGATTGGAAGGAGCACAGGGTAGTGCTCAGTTAATTTTTCCAAAGTGTGAGCCCTCGGTTATTAGATATCAGGCACTAGGAATAATTTGCATTAGTCATAAGTCAAAAAAATAATATGGTTAGTCATAAGTCATTGGCTTCACAAAATTATTAGTCATCAGTCAGCTGGCAAGCAGTCTGCCCTTACTACCCCTCAACAGATATCGAATTAATGTATGGCGTACTTGCTTTAAAAAAATACAAGCTAATCAGGTTTTTAGTGAAAGTAGGAATAAGGTGGCTGACCATATTCTACACCTGTCTATTTTACTTAACAATTACACTAACGTGTATATCCTGAATTGTGTAAGGCGAGAAATCTCTACGTGTAAAAAGTGATTTTCCAAAGTTGTAATCAAATATCTAAAAAAATTAACAGTATTCAAAAGTTTTAAATCAAATCCATTTTCCTTGGAGCACAATCCACGACAAGCATTTTAGAATCCAGTTTTTTTAGGATTGGACTGCTTTAGCATTTTAGTTTCTATTTTATCAGGAATGTCTCGAGAACGTTGAGACTTTTCTATACAAATCCCAAAACGAGAGAAAAGTGTTGAACATTCTGTTGAGAGATAGAAAAGGGTCTCCTGTGAGCGAAGCGAGCAGAAATTTTTTGCGACGATGCCCTTTTAAAATACCTTTGAGAATATCCCCCCCCCCCTCGCTACGCTACTGATTAGAAGATAAATACTGATAGAATAAATAAAGTAAAATCTTGGCGTTAGTTTGTTACTTGTTAATATTGACTACAAATAAATGATTTTTACCGAATGAAACAAAATTTACCGAAGGACACAGAACTATTGGGGGGTGTTGCACCCCCTACACCCCCCCCCGCCCCGCTAAATCCGTCCCTGCTCTTCAGAGTATATAATGTCAGAATTAGGGTCTGAAAGAACAAGATGGAGAATAAATACCCATTTGTGGATCGAATTTTCCATCCTGTTCTTCTGGACCATTTTTTTACATTTTATACTCTGAAGAGTTTCAGACAACAAAGCTGTATGTTTAAAATGTTTCATTTTTTCAAAGTCATTTTCATAACAAAATATGTTTTTTACAAGATTTTCAGAAAATCTTGCAGAATTTGCTGACCAACATTTTGTCTTTTTTTTGTTAATTAACAATAGCAAAGATTGGGAAACTTTACAATTGATCTTAATATTGCTCAACTTAAAGGTGAAGCTAAACTTTTTATGCAAACGTACTTTGGAAAGGAGGTCAATTGATGATTGTAATCAATTTTAGTTCTGTGCGAAGATTATTTGCCTTTGGAAAGTTTTCAAGTTTTTGAAAAAATAACTTGGGGCAGAGGGCGCACCGGGAAATTTCCCGGTATCCCGGTGGGCCAGTCCGCTTCTGCAGACACCTACAATGCCTGCCAGAGGTCTTGGTTCCCAAAAATTTGTTAGCATTTTATACAGCACATGAGGCCCTAAAGAGAACTGCAACTGGACCCTGCTTACTGACTGCAAGAAAGTCCCATCCAAAAGTTTAGAGCATTTTAAACACAATAGCAAGTTGTAAAAACGACAATATCGAGAAGCTCAGGTATTTGCTTCAATTTAGAATTTTTAAGCCTTTTGAAAATATGGTGAACTTGAGTGAAGTCTTTAAAACATAGATATCAAATTAACATGGCGACCCCTTTAGATCAGGGGCCCTTGGTTAACAAATTAAGGTGCCCTAAACTGCCTTCCGCTAATGCTGCATCCTCTCCGAGTTGCCAAAATTAATTTTAGAGTAATTATGATATTTCACTCTACAACCAACATTTTCTCAAAACAGCACGTAATCAACTTGGTGTTTCAAGGACTTTCGGCAGAGATTGTAGCGACATGGAGTAAAAAGGGTGTCAGGTCCTAATTCTTTTGAAAAACATCATATAGCTTGAGCTGGGTTACACAAAACATTACTATCACTGCTTCCTCTTCGATTTTCCCAAAAGTTTGGTCTTTTCAAATGCACTCTCTTTGGAATGTTGTACGGGGCTCCATCACCATCTCTGGGTGAACGCTGCAGCCTATCAGCGCGGATGTTCCCCCATTTTTTAATACATTTGAATGCCAGAACGCTGACCAAGTAACAAACAACAGCAGCAGTATAAATGATTGTGAGGGAGAGAGGAATGATCGTGCCAGTTTCTCGCAGCTCTTCGTCGCCAGAGATGCCTTGTAATGCTGCTATCAGGCATAAACTGACCAGCAAAAAGCTTTCTCCGTGATTGGCTAGAGACTTTTTATACGGTTGAGCGATTACATGAATGAGGCACACAGTTGCAGAGAGGAATATGAAGAGAGTCTGAAAGCAAAGGTTTTGAAATTAACTCGCGGGATAAGTGTAACAGCATCCAAGATCATTACCCTTTTTAACAGAACACTAAGTTACTCATTTCTTGTACAACATTAGACTTATATCACTCCTTGTACAACGATAAATACCCTGAAAGACTGTTTACAGTTCACACTTTAATAAATATCTATATGTATCTACGCTTAAATTTTGGTTATAATCTGAAGTTCATAATTTGACACGTGTTATATGAAAAACCGTAAGTGTGTTATGCTTTGTTTCCGCTTCCCTGTGCAATCTTATCTTAATATTATCTTTTGGTTCAATTATCTCGATACGAAGTTTCAATACATCCCTACTAGAGCAATAACAAACCATTTCAAGCTCTATGTTTCAAATTCTCTACAAATTTCGTATGATTCCGGTACATTTTGCTCTAAGTATAAACATTATCAATAAATAAGAAACAATGTAGTATGTGTCAATGAATTACCTGCTTGAAGTACCAATTAGAAACAAAAGTAAATACAGCTGAGAACGCAATTCTTCTTCCAAGGTCAACTGCACACCACCATCGGCAACTTTTTCTGCGAGGCAAAATGAATTTGCAAGTAAAACAGCAACTCTCGCACAGAGTTGCTCGTCAAACCTAGAAGTTGTACTTTCATAGTATTTAGTTGCTCCTGTATGAAATTTGTTGTTAATGTCATTGCTAGTGTTGTACTTGTTCCTTTGATGCATAAGTACTATTGAGCAGATGGCTATTATCAAGCATAATTACAACATAACATGGCATTTTAATATATAACTCTATTCATTAACAGACAGAGTAAAAGACATATCACAATACCGCAATTAATGTAAAACATCCACTTCTCCCTAATGACAAAGCCAGTAAGATAAAAGGAGGATAAATAAAGCAAGAGAAAGATGGGTTGACTGCAGCATTTCACTTGGCTTAAAATAATGCTTCTTGAAACAAACATTCATAAAGGTACAAAAATAAGCAATTGATTATGATCAAGCGTGTTTGTCCTTAAAAAGAATTATTGTCATCTCAAATGTGAGCAGAAAACAGCTTGATAAAAACTTTGTAACTATCGAACTGCAACTCGAAGAAGCTTTGTTAATGTCCTACAAATTTCTCACGTTATGTTCAGAAACTAAACGCAAGAGAATGTCCCAAGATCTTTCTAGAAGAGGTCCTGGCAAAATCTTTTTGAGTGGCCTTTATCTATTTCATAGGCGCTTTGTTCATTATGGAGACACTTGATAACAATTTACCAACTTGTTTCTAGCATTACCTATCGACCTAATGATCGCATTAAGCATGAAACTCGGAGTTGCAATCTAGAACCTTGGTGTCCTAAACACCAAAATGTGTAAAGCATTGCCTAGGCGAAGACCTGTAAACAGAAATCTTTACACAGTAAACAGTAAAAAAAAAACAGAAATCACCCTTAAATTATGCTTGAACTGAAACAACATACCTGTATCCTTGGGAGATAATGTCACTAACATGAGGTGGCACTCTTATGTACCCAAATGATATTAGGACAATGACGACTGGAGCAGGTATTAAAAAAACCGCTAGGATCAGGACCGAAGGGATGAAAAGGGCCAGATGACCTTTTGAAAAGCATTGCTCTGATCCGTCGTAGAAAAATACCACTTCACCTAAAGAAAATAGAACAACTATCAAAGGAGAGTTTAAAAAAGACACAGAAAGAATGCCTGTTAAAGCACAATAATATTCTTACTCTACCAGATAAGCAATCGTAAAGTTCTGTACATAAAAAAGCTTGCATTTAAGATTTTATTGTGGAAACAGGTACCTTGGTATTGATTTTTTTACTAAGGTCTCTACCAAAATGGGAAAAGGGAGCTCATCTTACTGGAGAATTAAGGCATGCTTTCAATGAGCCCTGTTCATGAATGAATAGCTTTCTATTGATGCTGCCGAATCACGGCCAGTGTCACTATTGGGTTACGAAAAAAAAATCGTACATAACAATGTGTAGCCCTGTAGTAGATTCCTGGTGAGAAGCTTTAGCATTTCTAATGAAGATTATGCGGATGCTGAAAGATTAACATTGTTGCAAAGCTGAGACATAGCTAGAGCCCAAACCCTCGACTGATGTACGCATCACCAGCTCGTGTTAGGATGTTGTCTTTGCTACTGTGTTCTTGAATAATGTTAATTATTGAATAATGATATTTTGTTTTTATCCTGATCACAGTTTTAAGTTTTCTACCAGCTATGACTTTTACAGAAAAAGCAAACGCTGCTCAGTAGTCTACACACTTACCGTCGACTTTGAAACAGGCCATTGACTTCATAGTTGTTTCCACCAACAGTTTAAACACCATAATGGTTAATACCCAGAATGAATTGAAAGGAGAGTCTCGATAAAATGTTAATAATCTTAGCTTGCTGAGAATGAAAACTATGAAGAGAATCAAAGCACACAAAGATGGTATGACATAGGAAATGCCGATTGCATCAATCAGATCGATGTTATCAAACAAGCACATTTCTTTAGGCATTGATCCAACAGCAGCAGAGTTCACAACAGTACTGAATGTTGTAGCAATTAGAGCTGATTTTCCATTTGCTGTAAAAACATATGGAAGGATTTGAGTGTAGAAGAAAATCCCTTTCATGTACTCGGACATTTTCGGGTTGAAGTAAAATATTGCTAAACATATACAAACGGTAGCAATGATGACAAAGATGAATACAGCCAATGACTGTGCAGGATTTTCACATTCAATACAGGAGTATGATGGCAAAGTGATGCTTGTGCCCTTTCTGCATTTGCCACAAAGCATGCCATTCCGGTTACCCGTACATTGATTGTCTGGTTGATTAGGGTCAAGTGCGCAGTCGGATTGAAAGGCGCCGCCAGTGTTGCATTGGCAGTAATGCCTCGGACACTGGAATGTGATTAGTTTGTATGGATTGCTCTTTGACACGTTGCCCCATATTCCATTTCTTAGCCGAATTATTGTTCCATTACACCTACAGTTTGCAAAAACGATTCTTAGATTTGGTAATTTATCAATATGATTCTCAAAATAAGGTCAGTAAAATGGTGCAAATGTTTCGGAAGTGAATTCCATTAATCCGTTAAATGCCAACGGTATACTGTTTCTTAGTAATGGATAAAATGCATTTAAAAAAAGCGAAACAAATCATCCACGAAAAACAATGGCAGATCATTCTTGTATTTCTTGAATTCAAAAATAATTAATCTTGCACTTGTAAGTAGTTCATTCCATTTTGGGTGCTGGACTCACCGTAATGCCTCGAACAACGACCCCCCCCCCACGAATAAGCGCCCACCCTAGAGGTGAAGTTATTGAATAAGCGCCCTCCTCGAATAAGCACCCCCCTCAGATTAAGCGCCTCCCTCGAATAAGCGCCGCCCTGGAGCCTCAAAAATTAAATAAGCGCCCGGGCGCTTATTCGAGGCATTACGGTATATGAATAAACCCTTTAAAAAAGCTAGGTAAGGGAAATCGTAATGCCAAGAACACCAAAGAGAACATTGAAAAAGTCCCATTTAAACCTTTTTTAAAATTAATCATTCAATATGTGTTTAACGAAATTTTAAGGCTACTCTAAATCCAGCAAACATGGTTTCTTTCTTTTACATAAAATTGATTTGAAATATCTACTTAAGCACCTTTTAGGACAAAAATACCAGCAATAAGGAAATAAGCTAAAAGAGGTTGATTGGTGCTTGTTGACTGATTTGAACTTCTACTTTATACAACTACATCAACATGAAAATGTAGCTTAAAGTGAAAATAGTTGATGAATGTTGCGAAATTTACCTTGTCAATCCATTGATGCTCAAATCACACGAGCATTGAAGTTTGGATGAATCAAATTTGTAGCCAGGGGAACAAGGTGCTGGATTGATTTTTGCCACAACTCTTGAACCGTATACAGAAAGGTAGTCAATAATTTGCACCTATAAAAGCAAGAATTGTGTTAATATCTGATGGAAACTTAACAATCTTACGTCTGTAAATCTGTACTCTTTCTCTCTTTTTGTCCATTTGTGAAAATGAAGCCAAAAATAAAAGGGCAAAGACGTCGTGATGAGTTCTAAAGATTTCTGACCGTAAAAGAATAACAATATTCGAAAGCTTGATGCATACATGATTCTCAACATCTTTACTAGATTTAGGTACAGCAGCATAAGTTGTATACCCCTTTGACAAAATTACTTAAAATGCGTTTGCTTATTGTAGTGTAGTAGACATGTGACTTAATCACTTGTCAGGACAGATATGATAGAGAGTCCTGGAAGTGTGAGGAAGAGCGGTTTTTTAGAGCACGGGATAGATTACTATCGTTGTGTTTTTTACCTACTTATATCTAATATTAGTCAGAAACAGTATGCTTATCACTTAAAGGTTCGGTTACAATAGCTGAATCATTAGCCAAAATGTTTTCTGTTATTTCAAGAGTTAACTTTCGTTGATGACTGCATTCTGCTTTTGTCTTTGTCGCTATGGTAAAAATATAGTTTGCATTGCTTCTCTTCAGCCATGACTAGCCGCTTCAACGTTGCATTGAATGGAATGAGTTTATGTATACAGTGATTAGTTTTCTTACGTATACTTAGTAGCACCCTCACCGTACATGTTTAAGTATTGAACAACGTGTGCATGTTTTTACAAGAGCAGTGTGACGAGACGATGACTGAAACGGAGCTGTCTAGTTTCCATACTGCTCGACCTGATGATGTAATTGTTTTACCCTAAACCTAACCCTAACCCTAACCCTAAACCTAAACCTAAACCTAAACCTAAACCTAAACCTAACCCTAACCTTAAACCTAACCTTAACCCTTACCCTAACCCTAAACCTTTACTTGAAATAATTAATCATGCTAATTTATGATTATTAATCATGTTTATTTATGACTATCAGGTCGAGCAGTATGGAAACTAGACAATTCCGTCTGAAACGCTGTTGTATTTTTGATGTCGATCCTCTAAAAGTGATACATCAATAGTTACATATGATAACATAAAAGGATCATTGCATTTTGCATATTCAAGCACACATTTCACCAGCTAAGAGACGAATCAATGGAAAACATGCTCAGCAAAGGCAACAAAGGAAAAGGCAAAATTCCTGCATACATAATGCGCATTTTTGTCCTTTCCATTTATGACAGCCTCATAATCAGATGGAGACTGCATTGAGTATCGGAATGTCGTCGTGTTTGAATTAAGGTACAGCAAATGCCTGTTCAAAACCAGACTAGAATTGGGCGATGTTCTATTGTTAATCCAATCAGTGGAGAAAATAGTTGGCACTGAAACTACAGAATTATCGAGTTCATCGACAGCTGATATTCCTAGTGTAATGTCCTGACCAGGGTAGCTATACGCCTACGAGAAAAAACAAATAGAAAGGCACTTTCGCGAGAGAATATGGAATATACAATTTATGTTTAAAAATGAGTTTAAAAATGCCGCTCATTGCAAACAACATGCACAAAATAAAATAAAAAGCTGTTTTAAAGTAGACCTTCTTGAATTATTAAATTTTCGTCGAATCGCTACATACGACGTATTCATAATGACTGGGTGTCAACGTAACGTCGGCGCTTAATATCCAGGTTTTACTGAGTCTGGCTTCTCTTCCCTCTGAAGACTCTATAATTATAATGATCACAATTTTAAGATAGCATTGGAAAGCAAAAACATCGCATACTAGAGTACATTTCGTCGAATTTTTCTATGAAAACATTCTTTATATTACATAACTGATTCATACCGAATTAATAAAAATAATATTGTGGCTCGCTCAGAATCATTCTTAAGCATACTATAGGAATACTGTTTAGCCTCAGCTCATATTTGTGTCTCACTTTTCAGCAGTTGCCTGTTTGGTCATGTTTACAAAGAATCGCATGGCTGATATATCTCATAATTTCTTAAAGCGTCTTTATATAAGTCACTATTTTGAAACCATACCAGGTTTGAAAAAGCAAAAATACTCAAAGAACATATTCAGGCTCAAAACGAAAATTTCTTAAGAATATTGAGGCTGGACAAAGTTTATAGTATCCTTATAAAAAAGCGTGTATTGCTATTTCCACGTAACAGACCAGCTTCACTATTACACACCTGTCTTTTTGGGTTGTATATGTACTTATAAGTATCTGTAGCAATATCATTTCCCTCTTTGCCGTACCAAAAGGTGCCAATGTAGTTGCCGCGATAAACAAACCTATTGCTCCAGCGCAATGTCTTTGTTATATCGCTGTAGGGATAGTCCTCTGTCCACCTGCACTGTCCTAGTGTTGTTGCATATATGGCCGCGCCCTTTAATCCAGCACCATTTTCGATGAAATTGATGTTCACCTGACGAAGAATAAAAAACATTAACATCTCATATCAATCACACAGCAAAACTTTTCATATGGCCAAAACTATTGGAACAGAATGACAGTCCGTTGAAGAGAGATGCCCATAATTTTGTCTTGAGCTAGCCTGTAGACCAGTAGCAGGGCCATAGATTCAGGGTGCTGGGGGTGCAACACTCCCTCTTAAAAATTCGGTTTCAAAACCGAGGACCTTTCTTGTTGCTTCGCCGGGGAATAACCAAACTTGACGGCAAATACAGGTTGGCTCCCGTCTATAGGCCAACGACGTTTCTTTTACCATTGTAAATCAAACGTTTACAACAGGTCGTTCAAATGCATCATATTGGCTAATTCGAAGCTCTTTTCTATCCATAAAACGAAAAAACTGGAAAATAGGTCTATATCCGTGAATTTTTTAATCACCCCTCTTCTCCCACTTATTTCATGCGTGTCATCTACCCCACACCTCCCAATCAGTGGCGCAGAGAGGGGGGGGCAATTTGCCCCAGGGCCTCGGCCAGAAAGGGGCCCCAAAATTATTCTGAAAATTTTTTTAAAATGTCTTCTTTTGAGAAACTGAAAATGCGTTTAAAGATATATTTGTTAATATCGAAAATGATGGCAGTTATTTCATTGGGTCCGTACACTGAGTCTTGTTTGAATTTAAGGCCTATCAGCTTTATTTATTGAGTCTGGGGCCCCGAGAAAAGCTGAATAAACCTTAGATCACATGTTTTACGGATTCATCTTTTAAGCTGAGTTTTCCTGAGTTTCGCAAAATCGTACTTATTGGGGGAAGAGAGCCCTGATAAAAAACTAGGTAACCCATATAATCTTGTTTTTATCTATGGCCCGTTCAAGTGAGTTATGTTTGCATTTAGAATCGTTGCATAAAGCTATATTATATTTTTGGGGCCCCTTTCAGCAAACTAGCATTAATAAAGAACCGCCTACGTTCAACAATGACTCAAGACAGACTATCAAGCCTCGTGACTCTTTCGATCGAGCACGAACTAGCAAGACAAATTGATTACGACAATATAATTGATCAATTTGCAACTGAAAAAGCAAACGTGCGCAAACGTTTGGAAATAATGGGCGTTTCCCATTGGTCTCAAAAAAATTTTGCATCCGACTCTAGGGCCCCAACCGGGACTTTGCCCCAGGGCCCAGGCCGCCTCTCGGCGGCCCTGCTCCCAATACTTACATTCCACTGTGAAGCAGGTACATGCCTTATTCCATACTGCATAAAACAGAATGGATTGAATTGGTAGATCTCATTGACAACTGCACTTGTTTTGTACAAAAGCGCGCCCCCAGCAGTTAAAGCATAGTTCCGTTCAAATGTAAGATTTGTACCAGGCATCAGCAACAACGTGCTGCCGTCTAACAGCGACATGCCACCTCCGGAGCTATATGCATAATTTTCCTTGAATAGCATAATTCCGCTTACGTTAACGATAGCGCCGCATACAAAGAGCGGGCTATTTATGGTATTATTCACAAAGTTGTTTCTACCGTGGAACAGAACGTTTACTTTGTACGAAGCGAGAGTTCCTGTATGTATAAATGAGGTATTAAATGTGTTTGGATAATTAGAGTTCCATTGGAAGACCGTGTTTATGAAAACGACGCTTTTCTGCCAGTTAAAATGAACGTCCCGCGATGTTTTACTGATCCCTATGGCTGCTGCTGTCTGTGCACGGTTCCTTAAGAACTTTGTATTGATAAATAAGGGGGATACTGGCTCACTGTCAATATTTTCTAGTATCAGTCTTCCTGCTCCTCCGCATTCTCGCGCAGAGTTATTCTGGAACGTGACATTCTCAAATGTTAATGCGTTAGCTGAGGCCTTGGCCATGATTTTGAGAGAAAACCCACCACCTGAGAGGTAGGCGAAATTTCTCGAGAAATATGAATTGATAACTCTAAGGGAATTTCGCCTTGTTTCATTATAAGCACCATACGCAAGACCACCGCCAAAAAGTGCACTGTTACCGTCAAATCTACAACTATCCACGACAACTCTATTCGACGTGGCTTTGTTGAGAAACAACGCCGCCAGACCACCACCAAAATAGGAGAAATACCAAAGTGACTCTGTTGAATTGTCTCTGAACGCTGTCAAATTAGCATTGCCTATGTTGTTTAAAAACGTCGAGTTCTTCACAACAATCGATTTGTTATAAGCTTGATTAAAGGTAAGTCCAACTGCACTCCCTACTTGGCGAAGTCCCTGCCCTCCACCAAAGAAGCAGTTTTCAATGCCACCTTCAGAGTCGACCCACCTTAGTGCAGAATTGTTACTAGCAATAAACCTGCAACCAACGATTTCTAGCTTCGTTATTTGAAACGCTGAAACTGTGACCTGCTGGTGAAAATTGCGAAAGGTTAAGTTCTCAAATCGAATGTTGTGATTAATGCACCGGGTCTTGTTCTCACAGCCAAGGGTGAAATAGCCATATTCGCTACCAAAAACCTCAGCGTTATCACTTCCGTAAATATTCACAGTTGTCAAATTTGCATGGCTTATGTTAACTGCAAAAGATTCATTCATTGTGTACTTTCCTGTTATGATTATATCCAGTATGTTCAGATGGCCGTCCTTTACCGCTTTTTCGTATCCGTAATTCAAGGTTTTACACGGGAAGGCTCTAGATGAACAATTATCGGTATCATGGCCTAGTTGTTCGGAAATAAACACAATGGCGCCATCACATTTGGAATAACAAAAACAATACACAAGCATAAAAAGTGTGGTCATCAAAATGTTCTCCATTGCCTGCTTGCTGCATTTCTTGGACGTTGAGTGTACCATTATTCGCAAAAGACAAATCACACAGGCAGAACTCGTGCAGAACAACCATGTAGTCACTTCCGCTTTTGTCACATCACATTACACCCTCACCTATTTATTCTGTGCCTGGGTCAAATAACTCATGCACGAGTTAGGAAGGTTAAAAGGCTTTGCAGGGCCCCAAGTCTGCAGAGTATGGCAGTTCTTAACGAGAGCACACGCCTGCATAGTAGAGTCATTTCAGCGACTTCTTCCACATGCAAACCTCCTTTTACTACACATTTTTTCATAAAAATACCTAAATTTTTCCTGAGCCTCAACATTGTTAATTTTTATATCTTGAACCTAAGATTATTCTTAAATTTTTAAGCGAAGGTCGGATAATACGTCAATTTCAAAACATATAGCGTGGAACTCGCATTTGATTTGCTTTCCAAAAGACGCAAATAAACAAAAAATTAATTCTTGATGAAGCTTGAGCTTCGCATTATTCTTAAATTATTCTTAAATTTCGGCGATTTTTAACTTTTAATAGTCTTTTAAAAGTGTGTACTCGTATGGATGGCATGCAAAACGAAGCTTTTTGATAGTGCGTGCATCTGGTCCTGCAGACAGACATGACCTTCGATGCCGGTTGGGCCATGCGCATGTGCATTTTGTTTAATTCCTTGACCTGTATCAAGTCGAGGGAGCACCCTTCACTAATTATAGACAATCTTCCTCCATGCCGCCCTGTTCCTTACTTTTCTGCTTGCTTCCACTGCGCTTAGACCTGTCCATTTGGTAATATTTTTAATCTAAATCAATTGGAGCTGCCTTGCTTGCGTCTACCTTCAACGGAACCAGTGGCGGATTTAAGGGAGGGCAACTAGGGGCAGTTGCTCCTCCCTCGACGTGTTGAAACAAGTCTGGCGCCCCTTTTTGGAAATTTTGCGCGCCTTTTAAAGGATGACAATCAGATGAAAAAGGTTCTTGGACCGATAGGTTAATTTGCTTCAAGGATTACCTCAAAGTTATGTTGTTTATTCTGAAAAGGTATCTGAAATTGTTGTATACACCGTACTCTGGAAACTGATTTTTGAAAATTTTTCAGCGCCCCCACTACCAACTGCCCCTCCTTCAAATTTGCTCTGGATCCGCCTCTGAACGGAACCCCTCTAGGATTGTATGTGAGAGTCGCTGTGCCTACAAACTTGGTCAAACAATTCCAATGTTCTCTTCTTCAGTAGCGCAGATAGGGTTGTAAGACAGAGGGGGCGAGTTGAGCGAGGGAAAACTGGGACACCATTTTGGTACCACAAAAATCGAGGATTTTGGGTGATTATAAATTCAACATAATAAGCCTTTGGTACCTAAATTTAACAAAATAAAATTTGAAAGAAGCATGAAAGAGCGGAATAATATCGTATCATTCTGGAGTACTTTTCGTCCGACACTCGTTGTGTCGCCCAGTTCGAATAAGTAGACATATAAAAATATGTTCTCTTAACTTACGTATAGGTTGGGCTCAAAATTTCAAATGCATCCAAAAGTAACAGATATCTGCTGATATTCATGCATTTTAAGAAACACAGTGAAAGACCTAAGACAATAAAGACGAACAAGGTTTGCATCAGATGAAAAATAATGTTATATTCTTCCATGATTTGTGGCTGTTCTTCAATGAAAACATATCATCATATCATCTTTATTAAGGATGAAAGGAAAATAGTCTATATACATCGTGCTGTACAATAAAAACATTTATTGCATCAATATTTTCTACAGATATTCTTCTTTGATAACAAGAAAAAAGAGAAAAAATTGGCGAAGATGTAAGCGATATGTAGCATTGCACGAGGAACAGAAATAAGTAGACGAATTCAATAAAGCTATATTGGATTCCATATCAGTAAGTGTTAGGTGATCATGCCTATAGCCAGTGGCGGCGCCAGCCACTAAGCTCTGGGGGGACAAACCAAAAAAATTCAAGCCACACCCTTTTAACCGCCAGAAAACGCCCTTTTACCAACAGGGAACGCCAATTTTATCCGAAGGGAACGCCTGTGACAAACTTTTGTTTGAAAATTGGCAGTTTGAAAATCATAGGATTACATCACAAAAAGTACGGTGTCAAAATATTACCCCTCCCCCAACATTTTCTCATCGAATTTAGACGAAATACAAAATTGATTCTGCTGAGAACTGGGGGGGACGTGTCCCCCCAGTCCCACCGTGGCGCCGCTACTGCCTATAGCACTACAAATCGATCAAAGTGAACAGTAATGTTGTGGAAAGTAAAGTTACAGTAAAACATGCAAGGTGACTTTCCGCAAATGTTGCTTTCGCGGTCTAAAATGCATGGGCCGCAGTGCTGTAACGTTATATTAATAGGCTCAAGTATTGGACCAACAAGAAGGCAGAAAACCTGATTGAAATACATCAAATATACATTAATCTGAAATACATCAAATATCAAGTGTCCTTGAACAGTTGATCTTCTGGTGGGGAGGGGTAATCAAATTTACGGTAGAAAAGGTGCAAAGATTATTTGTTTGGCTCTGTTTTTGTTTGAACACCGAGCAGCATAAAGGAAAATAAAAGACAAAAACAGAAACATCTTGTTTAAATATCAAAGCTTTTTTTCTGCCTACCATCTCATAAGAAGGAGACTTGCTATGTTTAAGAGAAAAGTAGAGAATCAATATTTCAAAAATATTTTGTAACTAACAGCTATTGCAAATTCTCATTATCAATCGAATATTCACATTTCTTTAATTAAAGAGCCACTAATGCAACCGAGAGCTTTTATGCAATATAGTACCTGCTAAATAAACCCATGAATGTCTTAAAGGATTCAAATCCATGTGATATGACATCAAAGTGCAGACTTGTTTAGTAAATTCCCTTTGTTCTAGCATGCAGCACGGTATTTTGGCTTACTGCAGGTTTTTTATATAAAAACTGATTTTGTCTTATGCTAGAGAAAAAATAGCATTTTTCGATATCTGTCTACCTATAAAGAAAATTTCTAGATTTCCTTGTCTAGGTTTTTGAACCAACCGATTTTCCTATTTACAAACGTTTTCGTGCTGGCGGGCTCTCAAAATTAATTCTCAATAAAGACATAGATGCACCTAAATTATTTCGAATTTATTCCAATCATAATCATAATATTTTGTATTAACATTATGCAAACACAAAATTGATACCAGGCTTTGTTGGTTGTAACACTAATGAGGAAAATATACATAATTTTTACATAAATATGTACATATGTACACAAAATTCACCTAATATCGATACTGAGGGTCGTTAACTCTTGAAAATTCACTCATCGCTGATATCCTTGAGCTTTCCCCTGACATCTTTCTTCCTCTCTGCAGAAGTAAAATAAGGAAAAGAGGTTGAGATTCAATTTAAAATGCAGATTCTATTTGTTCAGTCATTTTATTTTATTCTATTCAAAATAGGTATACAGGATAGTTTCAAAATAACATCTGGTTTTCAAACTGACATGTCAAAAAGTATCTACAGTACAAAAAGATAATAAGTTCCAAAATATTTGCTCATTAGTTATAAAATATCTCTAAATACTGTCTATTTATAAATGGAAATCATTTATATATAATGAAGTTAAATAAAGAAATTCTTCATATACCCGAATGTTCTCCGTGTATTGCAACTGGTTCCTTCTTGTATCAGCCTCTGTCTTTCGTCTTTCTGCTTCCTTTTCTGTAAAAAAATTAGCACTCACTGCTAATCACTAAGGGATGTACACGTCAACGAATCGCTATCAGTCTATAAGTCTTTAACATAAGGACTCTATGGCCCATACCAACAATGAGTACAAGGATTCTACTGAAAACATAGAAAAACGAGTCTTTAAAATTCTTTTTTACAGTATTCTGTTCCTGTTTCTCTTGGCTCTAGCAAAATTTCTATTATCGTTCGAAATCAAATTTTCTCGTCGAGACGTGTAATAATGCATGGCTTTCATTGGTACTATGTTAGAAGAAATAAATCCACACTTGCAAGAAAAACTTTCACTTTTCAAAAACACTTCTCTATAATAAAATATTACTTTATTATTTTAACATACTGCGATTCATCTTGCAACGCTACATAAAACCCTTTCTTAGTGGAAAAAAAGAGTCTCGATTTACCATACGGCAAAAATCCACTTTCTGGCACACCCCAGAATATAAAACATCAGATATCTGTAAGATCACTTGAAAAATGGAAAGAGTTTGAAGCAAGGAGCCCTTTTAAATCTGTAAATTCAAGTTTGAATAATATGGTTATATTTTCGATACTAGGATATCTAGAATAAACAACTCAAGACAAACCTCTTAGTCGACTATTGAGCCGTTCTAGCGATTCCATTATCTTCCTCTCTTCAATTGAAAGTGCAGTGGGCTCTGAAGTGAGACATTTTTAAAATGTCACCATTTTGTGCGAGAAAAAGATATAAAAGCTGCTATTCTGTTTTCAGTGTGTAATCAATGACAGCAAAATACCTACGACCATTTCCTGATGTCACTCTCACCATTAGGCCAGAAATGATGAAGAGACTGAAGTTAGTAAATATCTTACCGAATGAAAGGCTTTGAGAGAAAAATTCTGCCAGCCTTTAAGATACTGATAAGAACATTTAAAGGGATGACGTCATTACAATCTTTTGAAATTATAGCCGTACCTCTCAATGTGCAAACACAGTTAAACGTGTTAAAAAATCTGCACAGATTATCACATGAGTACAAGCTCTTACAAAATCACTACAATTTATTCTTGGTTCTAAAATCAACGAACTTAGCTAAAACAATTGTAATTCATTAGCAAATCCAAGTCTTTGACTGTCTCGGTCAATTTGCAACAGATTTAACTGACTTTGCTAGAAGTAGGTAGGTTCACCCTGACAGTAAGTGACAAGTCTTGCAACTTTTCTACTGGAAACTTATAAATCAACTCCCCGGGGTTGAAAATGAAAGAAAAATACTCATTGAAAACCCATGATTGACCTTTTCTTGTATTTGTTACGACCAAGATTTCGAGGGTAGGTTTAAGGGCTCCGGAAAGCTATGCTTTTCGAGCAGTTTCCTCATCCTTCTTCTCGATGTGACTACACCTCTTGTGTGCGAATACGTACCCTAGGTACTGGAGCCACATACATTCGTGCGCGGAAATAGAAGATAGTAATGGAGAGACACTCCCCCGTTTGGTTTTCTATAGGGTAGCGAAAACGGTGATGTCAAAACAGGAAACAATGCAACAAACCTTGACGCCTTGATGAAGCATAATAATGAGCAGGATCTTGGTTTCGCCTTTCATCCTGAATTTCCTTATAAGCAATCTCAGAGGCTTTTAGCAAGGCAGTTGTTCTTTGTGGAGACAGCGATTCTTGCTGACACATGGCTTCCAATGCCAAGAACGAGGCCAGACTCTCTGACACTACAGGATAAATTAAGACAGTCAAAATCTAAGTTTACACTGAGATTTCAGCCTAGGGTTTGAAGCTTTGTTGTTCAAGCCAGCACTTGCTGGAACAATATGCTTCAACAAAAATGGCTTGTCCTTGAGTTAGGTTGGTGTTCAGCTTTCAGTGTTCAAATATACAAATATACAGGTAACACAAGAAATTTTGTGCACAGATGAAGTCTTCGAAAAATATTGTATATAATTTGGGCCTGTGTCTACAAAATTTCCTAAAAAGCGAAAATGTGTGGTAAAATAGGTAGAAGGTCACCTCAAAACGATGTGACAAATGAACACGCATTTTATTCGACGTATCAACGATTTGATTCGAGGACAGAAGTCCTAGAAATAAATACTTCTAGAAAGACAGGGTCCTACAGTTACTCAAAAACAATAAAAGTTTAATAATACTTACTGTCATTTGCTTTTATCGTAGAAACATTTGGCACACGTTTACTTTGCACAGGCTCGTTGCTAGTCTGTTTCTTTGTAGAAAATGCATTGAAATTTGTACTTATTCTCTCTTTATTCGACCTCTGCGATAAAAGTGCGGATTGTACGCGAGATTTAGGGTGACCAATAAAGTTGTCGAACGAATTCTCCCGTCTAGAGAGATTTTCATGGGATCCATAACGTCTCAATGGCAAGCCAGGATTATGCCTGTTTGCAGGCATCGTATGGAGGTTCGATTGTTGCTGCGAATTCGTCCTCCCTCTGCGCGACCCGGACCACGTGCGGTTTTGCTTCCACGTGGGCACCACGTATACGCTGTCAGACGATGCTTTATGTGGTGGCTTTGCACTTAAGCAATGTCTGACATTATACCAAAGCTCGTTGATTTCGTCATCCGTTGGTGTCTTATTGAGCTTGCCGTCCGGACTTTGCTCAGACCAATTTCGCTGCTCAGAATCTAATTGCGTGATTCCATTAGGTATTTCTGATCTGTACACTGGCTGCCTTCTTTGCACAACAGAGCTCTTACTTGATCTCTCACCATTCGAAGACCCACTTGCTTTTCCATCGGATTCCTTTACTGGATTAGCATTGCCTGTAGCAAGTGTTCTTAATTGGTTTTCATCTCTATTTGGGTTGACGACCCGCATTGGCGAGTTTCTACTTTTTGCAGATTCCTGTCTTGAGTGCCTTCTTGTAAAGAGCCCTTTAGTACTTGACGGTGGGTGTGGCACGATGCCAGCCTTTTGCTGCGTTCTTCCAGGTACTCCCTGCCATGACGACTCTGACTTTTTTGCACTGGCAACACGAACAGGGATACCACTCTTGCCCGTAAATGTATCTTCGATTTTACTTTGCTGCTTAATCTCGTCTCCATTGTCTACTACATCTGGCTCTAATCCTTTGACTTTGTTCGAAGGTCTAAAACTCTTATCAAATCCTCGCTCGGGGGGAGATACCTTTTCCTCTTGGTTGTTTGTTGAATGTGGCCCTGGCCTCCAATTGCTGCTGAATTGCAATTCTGCTAAACTTTTTCTGACGTTGTTGATAACTTCATCTTCTTCGTCATCTTCAGTTTTATCCATGTTCTTTTGACTCTGGGCTCCTAGAGCCATTTCAAAATTAATCGCTGTTTTGTCATTGTACGTTGTAGTTCTGTCACCTTTCAAGACGTTGGTGGTATTTTCAGTCGACGGCTGATTCATCTTTCTGTAATCAGATACATTATACGCCGATGCAGCAAAGGCAGTCCCTGTATGATTTGTACTCGCAGATGTGTAACTGCTCACAGGGTAAGCTGATGTTGAATTAGATCCATGAGGATAAACGTCTACATGCGTATGTTTATGCAAGGATACAGTAGGATGTGGACTATTATAGGAAGAAACCTTTGTTTCGTTGTACGTCGAAGCTCCATTCATAATATAATGACTTTGATGCTTTGCTACAGGATCTTGGTGTGGAGGAACATAAATTGGCTGAGCCCCAGCAGTGTGACTAAACCCGGTACTGCCAGAAGACTGAGGATTTTCGAGAGCAGTTTTCTGACTTGGTTGTCTAGCATCCCTCGGGTTATTATTTATTTCATTATTGGTAGAAGTTTCTTTGAAAGGATAAGCTGAATGTCCAAATGTATACGAAGGCTTACTATAGAAGTGGTCTAATCTCGAATGAGCAACATCTTGGGCTGCAAGAATGTCCAGTTGACCTTTAGAATGTGGATATTTGGATAGGAGATCTTCATGATCTTTGTTCATCAAACGCCAATCTTCGGTTTCATTTACAAGGTGATTTAAACCTTTTCTCGGCATGGAGTCTTTAGCTACAGCTTGTAGATTGGCTTCTGCTTTATGCGGATTAACACGACCACCGTCGTAGTGGCCACTATGAAATTCATTGTGCTGCCACGAAATCACTGCCTTACCCCCGTGTTCCCCATGATGCTGATCATTTTTTCGCATATGCACTCTGTTTTCTTGGGCCAAACCTATAGGATTTGACTCAACCTTTCTTTCGCCATTTAGGAGGTTTCTGTTTGATTCTGCTTGGTCGTTTGTAACTCGTTCGATTATAGTGTTTTGTTTTTCTTTATCAGAAGAAAAGTAGCCTTTCTCCTCGTCGTCTTCATCCTCTAAGCTATCTCTCAGTATGTTTTCGTTTCCATTGTCATGATTTGAATTGCTATCCCCCTTCGAGCCATATAACTCCAAACTGTCATATAGATTAGCACGGCCAACATGATTTGCAGAATTTTCTTCTGGCCCTCTCTCGGTGTTCCCTTGTTCTGATGTCCATTTTCTTTCGTTTTGATCGACGTTACTTTGACGTGGTAAAGCCAAGTCAACAGACTCTGGATATGAATAATCCTCACCACGAGTTGAAGGGTTGACCTGTGATGTTCCGGCCGCAAACTGATGTCCACTACCAAAACCTGGCTTCTCCTCTACAGGAAACAGAGACGATTTCTCTTCGACAACTGGTGTACTTGCAGTAGCTGGAGCAGGAAGCTGTAATGGTTTTTGCTCGTTATCTTTCAACATCCAAATAAAGCCATCATTGAATTCAATGCTATTATTGAACTTAACTTTTCGTTTCGTCTTTTTCGAAGATTCGCGCGCATTTTGTCTTTTTAAGCTACTTTTAGGCGTCCTTGTTTCACTCCGAGAATGATTTGCGTCAGCGACTTCAAGGCTGTCTGTACTTGACAAGCTGCCATCAGATGGTGACATTATAATTGGTGGTATATCTTTCCCGTTTTTATCATCATTTTGGTGAGATTCTATGGCAGAGCTAGCCAGGCCTGTTTGTCTGCTGCCATACCATTGACGGTTAGTGTTTTCACTGTAAGGGTCCTGCTGGCTAACAAGCCATTCTCTACTTGTGGCACAGAGTCCTTTTCATCTTCACCTTTTAGGCCAACTGTCTGGTGGGCTAACCCGCTTAGATGACGTAACAACGACTCCTTGCCGGAGTATATACTGTTTTTAGCTCGATAGTCATAATTGGCCGGTGAATCATTGGTTTTTCTATCATGCGTTCCACTGTTGCTTCTCATGGGTATTCCTTTAGCATGAATCTCTGCAGATGGCACACGTGTTCCATTTTTAATCTCAACAACATGACCTCTCACATTATAGAGACCATCTTGCAGAGTGTGACTATCTGCGTAAAGATAAAAGAACATACATTCAAAGAAATTGTAGGAAATATGAAACGCAATCAACTTATGACATGAAGGTAAAAAAAGTCTTGTGTTTTCTCAATTCTCAATGAAATTCCACATAAAATTTTCAAAATTTCCCGTGCTAAATTATGCTCTTTTGTGGTTTAGCAAAATCTGCTGCTTTTAGACAGCGGTTGTATCAGCATCCAAACAATTGTTAGGGGAGGGTGGATTTTTGGACCACACTCTTTTCAAAATCATGCCCTATTTTTGTTCTAGGACACACACTTTGGATGCTGATAAAGCAACAGATTCAGAAATTTGCACAAATCTTCAGGACCTTATTCTGCAAAGGTTGTACCCCTCATTTCTCTCTGACTCTGTCACTTTATCAAATTTCAGTTTCTTAGGATTTAAATAATACTTTTTTGTACAGACTAGAAAGTAAATTTACAGAGAAAGAGTTGGGTAAAGTATCTACTTTAAAACTTTGAAGATCTACTCTGTGATAAAGTGTAAATTTACACTCTACAGGTAGGTTGCCTTACCTGGGCCATCTTCAGTTCTCTTGGATTTTGAAACTGGGCTCCTTTGAAACTTATTAGTTGCCTCAAGTTGTCTTTTTCTTCTAGCAGCAAGTACCTTTTGTCTTCTACTCTCCTCAATTTCAGCAACAGTCTGTTTTCTCTCTGCAAGATTTCTAAAAACCAAGTTTAATATGAACATGCTCAAAGGAAATTAGTAAAGTAGAAATTAAAACTTTTTTTTTAAAAAGTCAGCAAAAGTGATAATAAGACTTCTTTAGTTTTTATAAGAAATATATAAAATGTTGTAATAGTGTGGAATCTGACACCTTGCTATTAATTGAACAGTCATAAGATATAAAGGATCACAGCTTAGTGGATCTTTGAAGAAATTTATGATGTGAATAACTTCAATTATATAGAAAAAAAGAACAGAATTGTTTATTTTAAAAAAATGATGATACTAAGATCAATTCTTGAAAATTCAATATTGTCACAAGTGAGAGAAAAGGACAAAATGTGAAACCCCACATGAGACACAAAGGTAGATATAACCAAATGAGATACAAAAAATATACAAAGGTTTGGTTCTTAATATCAATCTTTTTCCTGACAATAGTGAGGACAGCTGGTGTGAAATCACACAATCTTATGATATTAGAGGAAAAATGATAGCAAGCACAGGGGAAGTCTGTTAGCTTAACATAGGAAATAAAGGTCTTGGACAAAGCCATATAAATAAATGTAAATCAATAACCCTACTTTTCAAATAAAGTAAATGCAAACCAAGCGCCATATTCTCAAATTTTCATTAAATGCTAGAAATCTTCTAAATTCATTTGTTCCAAGCCATTTTAACAATGTTGACAGTGTGTGTGTTGTCCCCTGTTCTTATGTTTTATCTGTTTATCTAATATGTATCCCTTCTCTTATTCCTTGGCAAATGACCAGAGGATGGTTCTAAGTTGTAAGTTTGAGCTTTAAGCTTAAAGCAATCATCAGACAACAGTTGCTGGGACCTGGGTGTACAGCTCTGCTTATAGGGCATTGATCATTGTTATTGCATAAGAAAGTTTATATCTATACACCTCTAAAGGCATATAACCCCTGATAAACATAATTCCATCAAATTGAATTTGTACCATTCAAGGATATTTGTATTGTTTGCTTATGTGTCATTTTAATACATTTAAATACATTCATTTTGATATGAGGAGCCCTGTTTTCTATTTAACAGAAATGGCCAGAATTGGAGAATTTTTTGGTCTACACATGGTTTTAAAAATACATTAAAATACCAGCATTGATTTTCTCGCAAGGCAAATTTCTTGAATAGCTAAATAAATAGAGGCTCAGGTTATCACATTCAGGATCTATTATAAACATTTCTTACCTTCTCCTTCTATTGGTTTCTCTGATGTAATTCTTCTCTTGCTCTTTTTGTGTATGGAGTGAATATCTATGCCCTGATTTTAATTCAGTTAGCTTTTCAGCTTCCAAGGCTCTGAATTTATTTCTAATTTAAAATTAAGGATAGTATGTGTACTAAGCTAAAAAAAACCAACAACTACCAAAAGTGTGGGCAATAACAAAGAAGCCAGATTGAACATGAAAGCAAAATTTATATTTTGTAGAAATCCTATAAGATTTTAAGCATCAAAAAAATAACTTAAATGCACAATACCAAATCATTGAAAAACAGTTCTCTGTTAGCAGCATTATTCATCTGAAAGAAATCAGTGACCATTAAATTGAATTTTCTTAAAGCTTTAAAGGCTCAAAACTTGTATTTGGCTCAAACCTGCTATATAGTTCACCAGCCCTGTGTTTAAATATTTCCTGCAATATTTTGATTGGCACTTTGACACAGTGATTTATTGACCACCAGTATGAGGATATGGCAAGGGATGTCTTCTCCACTTCAAGAGGAATATTTCCCTAACAGCTTTTATGGATTACATACTTTGAAATGGCATGTCAGAATTTTACTTGTATAAATACCTTTAAGAAATAATAAATCTTTTAATAGAATCTGTATACATTTGGTTAAAGATTCTTTATCTGTTGGTTGATTTTATAGAAAATATCAAAATGCACAACGCTGAAGCTCAATGTGCACCTATGGGGAAAAATCATGTTTTAGATCTCACAGGCATAAAGGAAGGTTGATAACATTTGCATTTGCATTTGCATAAAGCATTTGCTAGAAAACCCAGATTGTGCAAAAAACTATAATGGCGACATGTTTCGGATTATTGGTAAAGCCCGATCGTCGTTCCACCTAGCAGTTTTAGAATCTATCTACATAAGCACGAAAAAACCGCTACTGTGTAGACAAAAGGAGTTCGTTTTCACCTTCGGACTCCATTGGTAACATTCTAATAGGCAAGCGGCACTGATTGGTCAACCTTTACAGTCATGTGCTCGTGTTTCTGATTGGCCTATTTCGATCCACAACTGGATATATATATTTCTTAGCGTAGAGTTTTCGATCTATGTTCTGACGTTTTAAACTCTGAAGAGTGTCAGACGAAAAGCTTTAGTTTACTAAATGTTTGCTTTTTTCAAAGCTATTTACAAGGTTGATAATGCAAGACTTTATCTGCCATTTAGCTGAATTCGTGCTTTTGCATCTTTTGTGACCTTCTAATGTGAATTGATACATTACTTAAGATTTTCCATATTCTTTATGAATAGTTGGTAAAAAGGAAGTATGATTTTAAAAAGCAGCACATGGTCTTTCTCAATACCTCCAGGAAATGTAAAGCATATCTGTCTCTATATAAACAGGGTCCTTCATTATGAAAAACTATTTTTTAAAGTTGAATTAATATACTCATTTGAACCTTTTTATGAATATTATCATTAAACATATATTACCACCATGCCCCTCACTATTGTGTTTTAGTATAACAATTATTATCATCTCTTATTATATTAAAGGCATTGAGTCATGGTAAATAGGCTTTCTCTATAGGGGGTCATTTGGTTTCCGCGTGATCGCTGCTGTTTCATGTGATATTGGCATCCGTTGTTGACAACTTGCTATTGATGGAAACTGTTATGTTAATCAGTACGAGGTGAGTTCATGTGACCAGTTCAAGGTCAACCAATAGCATCGCAGTCATGGAAATCACGACTCAGCGGATTTTGGCACTTAGGGTATACCCAGTCTATTTATCATGACTCAATGCCTTTAACCAAATGATAATATTTTGATCTTCTTTTCATTTTCATTCACATTCTGTTATTTGTTTAAATCTGTTCTGTGAATGAAAAGTTTGAGTTTTGAGTAAGATTTAACAGGGCCACCGGGGTAGCCATGCTCCCCCCCCCAGTTTTTGTGAAGCAAGTAGTTTTTAGCTGCAGTAAAAGGGAATTTAAGCATTGGCCCCCTACCTATGCTAGCCTTGCCCCCTCTACTTTCAAATTCGTGGCGTGGGTCCTGTATATGATAGATATTCACAGTAATTTTTGTTGCAAGGTTAATAAAACAGGTTCCAAAACATGTTAAGATATCCATTTCATAGTAAAAAGACAAGTTACTAGGATACAAAAAACATGACTAAGTATAATTAGTTTTAGGCCCATTGAAAGACAGACTCTTCGTTGAAAACTTCTGTTGTCTTATGCTTTAATTTCTATTCTCTTTTAATCTATCGAATATCAAATGACAAAATCATTTAATGTTAACAAAATGAATCCGGTTTTCAAAGTCAAAGACTTACTAAAACAGATAAAAAACGCACGGAAATTATGACAAATACAACTGTGAAGGATACGAATATGCTCCTCTACGCATAATAATCCATCTGAAGCTCTTGATATCTCTAGATTATTTACGGTATTCTTTTATATGAACTCTGCTGGCTATTCGTTTATCGCAGCTCCGTTCCATTCGCAACCATAAGACAACAAATACCAAACTTTTGTTGAAAGGGACTGGGCGCACAGGTTCCCTGTAAATACGGCTGCCTCGTTTAAGAGCAGTTTCTATGGAAACACAACTTTAACATAAAAGCAATGAAGATATAGGAAGTTAGTTTTTTGCTTAAAAGAAGTTTTTGTGTTTTTAATAGGTAGTTGCAAAATCACTCAAATTTAAAGTCAATGAAACATTATTATAATTAACAATATGTTTTCTATTGACTATGGACTGGTTAAGAAGCAGATTCAGGGCCTTCGAATTTTGTCTTATTTTAGCCGTTTGGTAAAACCCTCAAATCGACTGGACCCCCTGTCAGGCCATAACGGGAGTACCCTTCTGGGCTTTTGTCTTTTGGTATCATAAATTTATTCCGTCTGCCAACACTTGGTAGAATTCTGAGGCCATAGACGCACTGAAAAATCTTTGTCAAAGTGGAAAATCGAGAATACTTTTTCAAGTTTGACAAAGGTACCTAATCCCAATTCCGCTTGGAAATTTGAGCCCGCTGCAGTTCGTGTGTGAAATGGTTGTTTGCTGTTGAGCTAATGTAATGTGGTTTAAAACAAAGAACGATTTGACTTTGGCTATTGTGTGGCACCAGAAAAATGCGTTAATTGCTAATCATTTCCGTTTTCCAGTGGTACTGCTCTGGGGCAGGACGACAGAACCTTCGAGAGATTAGTGAATTTGGTTCAGTGGTAATTTTAGTGGCCGCACTGGCAAATCAGCATTTGTGTACTAACAAGCTTAATCCCTTTCCTCTATGAACATTAGAGATTAAGTGTGTCAGAAGTTCTTCCTGAAATCTTGTTCGGTGCGTCTAGGGCCTTACTGTTCTTGTCTGCAAAAACTTTTTACACACCGCAAAAGCAACATTAATTTAATTTCATGATAATGTTATCCGTAATTTAGGCACAAAAAAATTTGCAAGCACTTTTCGAAACATAGTAGCCCTTTATTTTTTATAGTCTTATGTGTTTACGTTTCAAGGCCTTAAAATGTACCGTTGGAATTTTTTGAATTTTTGGCGTCCATATAACGCTTCGATACAGTACCAATATCTTCCGAAATTTAATGGAAATTGCTGCCGTAGTTAATTAATGACAAAAGATTTTGAAGTCTTTTCTAAATTTATCGCTTAAAAAGTTTTCGAAAGTTCGAAGGTGTCCCAATACTTTTTTAAAATTACTGTACCATTTGATATATCATGCTTCCATTATTTTTCAGCACCTTACCAGTAAACTTTCTTATAAAGCTCATGATCGAGCTTTTGCATCAGTACTTCTGTCTTTAAAATATGTCCAGGGGCATCGTGGCTGGGAGCATGTGCTCCCCATCATTGACCATTCTGCAATTTGACGGAAAATTTGTATCTGTTTGGCGAAATTATATTGATCATTCATAAAAAGGAAAAAAGTTCAAAGGAACTGATCAGATAGGCATAAGAAAGAAGATATATTTAAAAAAACAAGGAAAATAGCACGATTATCCAAGTTCGAGTATGGATGCTTGCTTTTCTCTGTCCGGCTTGTTGAAAGCAGTAAAACTGATGCTGCAACATATACATAATGTTTTTCATGTCTTGCTCCATTTATAAAAAAACTATGCATGCACTTGAGACGCAAAGTTGCAAGCTCTGCCTCTTCTAAGAGTCACTACCCACAACGCCCAAGTGTACCCACGATGCAGATATAAACAGACTTATCAGCAAAAAGTTAATAAAATTATTGGTAATACATTAAAGATTACCTTTCGCGGCATATTTCTATAACATCAATAAATAAGTTCAAAATTACTAAGGCCATTATAACTATTTAAAAAGGCATTGTCTAATTAATCTGACAAATGGCTCAACGAAAAAAAGAGAAAGCTTGAAAACTAGGAGTTATGCGATGTAACAACACTCTCAGCAAGATACTAAAAACGTGAATGGATTAAATTGAAATTATAAAGAACTGAGAAGTCTCGTTCTTCACAATCTGAAATTTTACTGATAGTCTGCTTTATGCTCTTCTCCAGTGTCTTTGCAAGAAATAAAATACGACTTCTTTTCACTTAGATAAATTGAATCGCTGGATTATTGAATTAACATAAGTTAGACCAAAAATGAGCATTGTATTCAACAAAGTATAATTCTACAGATGTATTTCCTTGTAATTTTCCATAATTCAAAGTGTAAATACCCTGCATTATTAATGTCATAAATTGGTAATAAAAAAAAACCTTGAAAAATTTTAAAATTTCTCTGTATGCGAGGGAAGATTTTATTCAGCAAAAAATCCTCGAAGCAGTAATAACTTTTTAGAATGCTTTAGCTCTTAAAGGTTTATGGCATCAAAAAATTTAAACTCACAAAATTTCTATTCAGCTCTGGGTGATTTTGAAATAACTCACTTTCCTTATCAAAGCACTGTAATTTTTATCTGTCCTTAACTCCATTTACCAAACTCAAAGACCTTTCAATGTACATTATGCAATAAATCTAACAATTTTGTTCACATTTAGAGATACTCTTGTCCTTTTTGTGGATCACTTGGTCCAAATTGTAAAAAAAACCAAATAGGTTATTATGGTTTCAACACTTTTTTCAATTCTTTCTTTTGACCCAAGTAATTACAAACCACTTCAAATTTGGACATGTAGCTAAAGTTTGAAACTGTGTGCATTTTGTGAAATGTATGCATTTTCATCAAAGTTTTCCCTCAAAAAATGTTTCAAAACTACAATTGATGTTTCTTTATGATTTTGATTGCATTTTCTCTCATTGCCTTTGCTTCCATCAGCTTCCTTTTGATCTTGTCATTGATCCACTCATTTACCACTCTATTGCTGAAATACTTTGAGAGCACAGTGTCTGCTTGAGGCTCCAACTTCTTCAGTATGTCAATACAAGCATCAGCTGACCTTCCAATAGTTTCAATTTGATAGCACTTAGGTGATTATCCTCAACATTAAATGGCCCTAGCCAACCATTTTCTCTCACTTTTCCTGAATTGAACCATCCATTGGCCTTTTCAAATTTTGAAACTAACTCAAACACATCACTGCCAGGAAAATTGCCAGACTCAACTTCTAAAGCCTTAAAGTTGGTGACTGAAATTGGTAAAGTCTTTTTAAAGCCAAGCCTAACCGAAACAGTTTTTTGAAGCTCTTCATCAAAGTATCCTTTTTGAAGAGCAGATAGACAAAATGCTAATGATGGGATGGCAGCTGGAAGAAGCTCGCACATCGATGCATAGTGATCAAATCTGCTCCACCCAGTGAGTGTTATCCCAACTACTTGGATGTTTTTCGGAAATGATGAGATAATTTTAAGCCATGACAAATGATTCTGAACATGATTTGAAATTGGCACATAGTTAGATATAGGCTTGTCAGCTCCTTTGAATGAACTTGCAATCCATACTTTCAAAAATGCTTGAGAATACCTGTCCCACATCCCAACTGGAAACTTGTAGTAACTCTTCAGATCTGGAACATAGGCCCAGATCATAGGCTGAACATGTTTTGCAATGTATTTCAGTTGATCAACCTTCCAGTTTCTCATCATATCATCCCAAATTATCGGTAAGGTCTTCCCATGTGTGTTTTCTTTTACAAACTCAAATAATGGGATCATGTGGTGTAGAAAGAGATCTGCCTTGGACATGGGGCTTTCTTTGCACTTGTCACAAGATTTCAAATTCCACACCTCATCACCCCCAAGATGAATCCAATCTGCATTCTCATGCAATGAGAGTATCTGTTTAATCATTTTCTTTATCAATACTCTTGAATCATTATTCAATGGACAAATTGAATTAGTTATTTTTTCAGTTTCTCTCAAGTGTGCAAACTTCTTGTGTTTCAGAACAAACTCAAGATGACCAAATGTTTGCATCAACGGTATCACTAACAGCTCGAGTTCCTTTGCAATACCAAGAAGTTCTTGTATTTCTGCCTTTGTGTAGGCATCCTTTGACTTCAGTATACTTAGATCACCTTCAAAAGGAAATGTGTCTTCGTATTCCATAAGTATTCCAGTTACCCCATAGCTTTTTAGAAATGGGATAAGCTTTCTAAGATAAGATAATTTTGGAGCAGATCCTTTAAGATCAAGATGAAAAATCCTGTGGCCGGAAAAGGCTTTGAATTTGATAGATCCATCAGTCTGTGTGCTAACTGACTTCTTGCTTTCAACATTTTGTTTACTTTCAGCCTCCTTTTGTTTTTCCGAGGCCTGTTGCAGTAGGCCTTCCTTTGAAATTAGTTCATCTTTCAGTTTTTCAATTTCTTTTTGAGCATTTTCGAAATCTTTTTGCAAACGTGCAATTTTTTCCTGATCAGTCATCCTTTTGCTTTCGATTTGTGTAGCACTTCTCATGTGATCGATATGACCAAGACCCAGCCCCTCGTGAGCATGATGCCCTCCTGGTCTTGCCTCGTCCTTGCCTTTGTGCACAGAGCTTTCCTTTTTGTCTCCAACTTTATTTTTGACTGCACTTCTTGTATCGCCCCGAGGAACTATAAGCCAATAAGCTAGGGCGACAGCACAAACTACAACTACAATAAGACGCGGATCTTGTCTGATAGCCATATTAACAGAAGACACTTCGAGGAGGGACGCCACGCTGCACCCAAAACACAACGACGACAACGGCAACAACACACAGTCCTTGTTCAGGACCCTCCAACGCTGTACTGAAAAATTTTAGACAACAAATTAGAAATTTGAAATCTCCTTGAAATTACTTTTTGCCATTCTTAAACTTCATAAGGATCTGCTCCTCCTAATTTGTTAAACCCCTAGTTTATTTCAACTCCCGTTTATTACTGACCTTGGATTACAACAAACTTGGTACAATCAACAACAACAACAAACGGTACAATCAGGAGGGGCGGGGCGTAGCTAGCGGGGTTGTTAAGGGTGTAACACCCCCCAAATACTTCATGAATTCGTCGGTAAACCTTCAGTTTGTCAACAAAATCTTTAATTTGTCGGTAAAATAATCTATCAGTAGGTGAAATAGCAGCTAAATTCAACTATGTATTTGTCCGTAAATTTTTCTACTGATGACCCTCCACCCCCTAGTTTAAAAGGTCAAGCGACGCAATTGAGTACAGTTTTCAAGCTAAATATAAAGATACATAAAAAAGAAATAAAAAGAGAATTAATATGAAGGCAAATTCTTACGGAGCAATTCCTTCAGTAGCTAAACTACAATCACTGCCAAAAGTCTTGGAACACAAACATAGGTTTTCCAAGGCAAATTCAGCCACCCCCCTCTTCCTCCAGGAACAATGTTGATTTACTATGAAAAAAGAAAGGGCTTTTTGAGCATGCTATTTCGTCTGCCTTGTTTGATATTTTTCTGTACTTTCAACATTGTTTTGGGGGGAAAGGGGGACGGAAGCAGTAGTATTCGGGAAAACAAATGAAAAAAAACGCAAAGTGTTGCATGTTCCAAGTAATTTTGGCAGTGATTGTAAAATATATTCATGAGCAGATGCTACAGATTAAAAGAAGTTGCGAAAACTTTTATAGAAAATTGAATGATTTATAGGAAATTAAGAAGCCCTAAATTGAGATTCCGTATTGCAGGGAAATAAAAAATAAACATATTGTAAGGTATACATTCAAACATTTGTATATAGGAAAGTATCTTACTTTGCAAAAAATAACTAAAGTTCTAGCCAGTCTTTTTTATTTTCAGTCAAATGAAATTTCCATGAAAGAAATTCCTAGAAAAGAGCATAAAAAACTTAAACATAGGTCGTAACAATAAAAAAGAAGGTTTCAAAATTCGGTTGTGACAATTTCAGAGGTGGAACTTATTTTCATCAAAGTTAAAGAAGAATCTAGTCACATCAAGCGATATTTTAGAATCTTTGGCTCCTAGTTATCCTTTACACGAAGCAGATCTAGATTTTCAGCTTCACAGGTGCAGTTCTCATTTATTTGCTGCCGTACTCAGAGTATCACTGTCCATGCTATTTCGAAATAAGTCAATGTTGTAGATGGAGAGGGAGTTGGGTATAAAATTTAATTGATATGACAACAGACAAAGGGAGCAAAAAATTTATATAAGTGAAGTTTTGTCAAATAAGTTCACATAGTTATTAAAATTTCATTACGAAACTTTCATGGAAGTCGCCATTTTGTAAGGAGCCTAGATTCCCGAGTTTCCTACAGAATTTATTGCACGAGGTCTTAATGTTGCTGAAGGAAAAGTTGCTTGGTAATTTGATAAAAGCCCTTTGGCTTAATTACTCTAAATAAGATATAGCGATGTTCATTTCTCAAGTGCAAAAAAATACTTGTTTATTTAAGTCTACTTCTCAATTGCATGCTTTATTTATATAGTGATTACAAATAGTTGATACTTTTTGGCATCATCATTGGAGACGTAACATGGCATTTAATAACCCTAGTCAATATATAAATCACTTCTTCGTCAGAACAGCATTCATTTTAAAGACCTGTCCTTTCTGTTGTTTACCATTGAATACTTTGTGTTGTGTTTCAGAGAAGTCGATAAAGTACTCACTTCACTGAGACTAGATTTTTTTAAGCTCAACTGAGCCCCCTTTTACGCACAGGTTGTTTACGAATAACTCTGTTCCAATATGTGCGTGTAAATCAAGTACAAGTTAAATAATGTTTATTACATTAACAAAACACTTTGTTATAAAGAAAATGAAACACAAAAGAGAAATTGCATTTGTGACAGCAGCTATAGTTCGTTATTATGGTTGTTAAAAGCCGTCTTATCAAAAAATATTCCCAAATTTTGGATACACTCAAAACAAAACAACTATAACTATTTGCCACAATCAAAATGAAATAAGTTGAACTTCAAAGTCGCGAGTTTCTTTATTTATGAAACAAATTTTTTATTTCATTGGAAAAATTCAGGGGTTTTCAAAAGGAGGGCAAAGAAACACGTCAAATCCATGATGTTGACTTATTATTTGCTTGGTTTTTTAACTTTTAGAAGCAATTGATTACAAATTGACCTTTGTTTACCTTTGTTTTCTCCGTGTTTGTTCCTTCTACGATTTGAAATGCCTTATTGCTAACTATTGTCATCGATTGATAGTCTCTATGCTTGATTGAAATTTGGATTGTGGTACACACAGTGGTGGCGCCAGGGGAGGGCTAGGGGGGCTATAGCCCCTCCGTCGGAAGCATTTAGCCCCCCTATCGGAGGAAATTTTGGGTTATTGTCGGAGCAAATTTGACAAAGTAACGTACAAAAATTGCATATTTTAGTCATTTTAGCCCCCTTGTTGGAAGCTCAAACCCCTCGGTCGGAAGATTTCTGGCGCCACCTCTGGGTACACAGTCATTTTCTATTTATCGTAAATGCTAAGGCTTGAACAATCTTGTATATGCATCAATAATGTTATTATCGATGACCATGTTGAACTGTTGAACCCCTTTAAAGACGTGTGTGTGTGCCAAAACATGCAGCCATTAATGTATGGTAAATAATGTCATGTTATTATAATTCTACATACATGTATCTATTAAAATGTAGCCAACATAAGCCATATAATTATTCGTTCATAATTTTGATTTAAAGACCGAGACACAAGCATTTGATATAAATACTTTGAATAAATTGAGGTGAATGTGATAATATTGCTTAAAATCATCTTAAACGATGTAATATAGTATAGTTACCTTCAGGCTCGCTAGCAAAATTGCGTTTTGGCGTTTGTTTAATGTACTGCATACAAATAATACTCTTTGGTGCCTAACATGGTAGTGGTTGGTTGTACTAGCACGGGAGTTGACAGGGGTGTAGTGCTATCAAAGTAACAAGGGGGGCTCTTGTGCAAAACGCTGCGAAGAAGAATAGCAAAAGTAAAAATTGGCTACTTTTCGGCATTCACAAGGGAGGCTCAGCCCCTGAGCTCTCCTAGCACTGCACCCCTGGGAGTTGATAATTTCTCTATGATCAATAAAAAGGGGGTTCTTTGTAGAAGGGGAGGTCGTGTAGAGCGAATGCTCGATTTCTTAAGCTAATGTATTCACATCAGCTACAAAGAACGAAGAATGCAAAGCTGAAGGCAACTGTTTTGGTTATAATGGTTTGCTTGCATATACACTCAATTAGGCGAAGAATGGCCCACATCTATTTATATTTACATGCGCTTATTCTAACTCTTGATACCATATCATGAGGTAGCAGGGTCATGATAAATCTTTATTAGTGGTTTTGTTGCTTAACAATCGCATTCCTAAAAACTTCTAACCTTCCCTAAAAAATCCAGAGAGTAAGAAGGACGAGAAACTGAAAGCTAAATATTCTTCTGCAATGACGTTCAAACTGCAAAGGTATTATCTAAGTATTACTATTATACGTTTTATCTTAGATTGCGCTCTTTCTATGGTAAATAGCTTTAGGACTTCTGTTATAAAACCAGATTTATCTTTCTCTAGGAAAAAACGGAAATCATATACATTTCTGCATAACTGGTCATAGTTCTTGACTTATACTTCATCGAAACAATTAATTTACAGTATAACTCATATAAGGTAAAACCAGGTCTCGAGAGAAAATTGACCTAGAAATTTCTACCCTTCTTGTTCAAAACCAGCTATCATTAATTATGCCCTTATTAATTTTAAGGAAACTATCTGAAATATTTTGAGGTTCTTCCTTTGGTATAGTCCGATATGTTTGCTCCTGCCTGTAACAGTGTTGCAACGCAGTCGAAATGTCCTGATGTTAAAGCATAATGAACAGGAGGCCACCCTTCAGCATCCGTTGCATTCACATTCATTCCATCGGCTATGCATTTATGCAATAATTTAACTTTCCCACTTCTGGCCGCATTATGCAGCGGAAATTGATCCGTTGGATCCCCTCCTTCTGATGACGAGGCTGAAGATATGGAGTCGGATTCTGAGCGCGAAATTCGTTCATGTTCGATCATTACGGTTTTTTCGTGCAGTTTCTTAAGATACATAGACGGTAGTCCTTCGAAATTTGATTGACTCCTCATAAATTGCCGTCTCTGTCCATTGTTGAACAGACCTTTTGGCTTTCCTAATTTTCGATGGTCATTATCATGAAAGTTCGTAAACATGGGTCGATCATTTTCGATTTTCTTTGGAGAACTGGGGATGATTGCTGCTTTTCTTGCCATTATCCGATGGTGATTTTCGTCCTCTTCATGGTTTTTCTTATCACGGGGTTTCTGGATGCAATTATGTGCGTTAGAGTCACTTGTAGAGCTTTTCCCGATATGGTTGTTATCACTTTCTTCATCGTCTCGTTCAAGCGACTCTCGTAATTCAGGACAGGCATGTTTCATTAGCCTGTCTCTTAAGGCAGCTCTCTCGTCGACTTGGCAAACAAATAAAGATTTTGCGCGCGAGTTATTCCTTTTTCCATTATTGACTGCCGGATTACACTGGTTGTACGTAGGGTTATAACTACCCCTTCTCTTGCCATTGGTCATCAAGTAATGGCTGGGATCTACCTTTTTATCATGATGTCTGTGTCTCTTTTCTTTCACTGACGACCCATGCTTGTGGACTTCAACCCTCCCCATATCTACAGTTCCTCGCCTTCGCTGCGCTAAATTGTGTCGTTCAACCAGATTGGGCGTGCCAACCTCTTGACTCTCTTTGTCTACGTGAAGAGGCAGTGCTCCGCTAAAAGAACTGGATTTTTTACGAATACGGTTCTTGTGGTGAGTTTTGTCACAACCATTTTCTTTTTCTTCTTTTGGAGTATACTCTGGAGTTAGCTGCGTTGCGTCAAGTCCACTGGACCGCTTCACCAACCTTTGCCGCATTCTATTGATAGACATAAGATCTTCACCGAATTTTTTTGAAGAGAATCTATCTTCCTCTACTGTTTGTTGTTCTGTGTCGATTGCTCGTTTCACCTCTCTGCTGTTGTTTACTTCTTCGACGCAATTCAATGTTTTCTCCAAGATCTTTAACCTTTTAAGAACGTTCTTTCTGTTTATTTCTTCAGTATCTTTATCTACCGGGCTACTAGATTTGTTTTCTTTTGCCATTTTAGGTTCATCTACCTTTTCCCAGCTATCCTTTACTTCCTCCATCCTATCAGTCTGTAAGTTTTCCTTTTCGATTCTAAATTTTTCATTTTCTCGTTTGGCGTCTCTTTCAAGAACTTTACTCTCAACCACTCTCTGACTTGCTGGCTTTCTTTCTTGGCCATTTCGAAGCACGATTGAAACTGAACTGATATGAATTTTTGTCACTTGTTTTTCTTCAGGCTGAGAAGATACCTCGCAGTCTTGGCTTTCACCATAAACAATTTTGAACCGTTGAGTTATATCTTTGTCAATTACGTTACGTTCATTATCATTTCGGTCCCCAACATCATTTTGAAAAGCGCAATTGGGAACTTTTTTCTCATTTTCATCTTCCTTTTCCAAGCTATTTCGTCGTGCAAACTTTAGTCCTAAATCTCCAACCATTGCATTCCAATTTGGAAACGAGACTTGCTGTGCAAACGTGAGCAGTTGATCTCCTGGGAGTAGGTTCTGATGCATTGTCTCTTTTTGGAAGGCATCAATCGGTTGGCTCCTTGTCACAAGATCCATCAAAAGAGCACCCTAAAACAAGATAAAAGAAACTTAGAGAGCTGGCATTCGAAACAAACAAATATAAAGTAAATTTCTATAAACACTTCTAGATAAATGGGAGGCAGCGGAGAAGACAGTGTCTTGTTGCATGTTAAACTGTGAACCCTGTAACAGAGTAGCAGAAATTGAGCTTGCGGGGAAGTCCGTAAGCTCAATACCCTTTGTTCATCTAGACACTGGTACATGCTATAGTGGAAGATTATGATAGAAGGTTAAACTGTGTCTGTCTTTGCACCTTGTTTGTGGTTATCTGTTATTGGCCTCCTTTGATTTTCACACCATAGGACGAGTGAGTAATGAGGCCAATTGATAAACAGCCAATCTTAATCACTTAAATATACGCTTTATGTCAAATACAAGGGAATTTATCTAGCCTGCTGAATGTTATGAATTTGCGTGAATTTGGTACTCGTTGATGGGGCTTGTTTCTTGAAAGCGCTATAAGTAAGTGTAGACGAAAATTTTTATTTACTACAAACTAGATTGTATTACAGACGTCAATGTTTGCAAAAATTCTTTGTAAGCTTTAGCTTTTTATGGTGCCAAGATCACGAGGTAAAAAACCTGCCGTTTCAATGCAATACCCTTCTCAAATACGAAAATTTTAAATGATTTATGAAGGTTAAATTCATAGCAACAGCTATTTTATGTTGCATTTTTTCCTTCTCAAACCTGAAGAGAACATTGCAACAAAAAAATAAAAGAAGATATCAAAAGCAACACATCTGAAAAGCAACAAATTGACCCGAAAAAGGGCACTAACTTAAATAATTATTTTGCTTAACGTTCAGTAACTCGTATCAATCAACAATTTCACCAAAATGCTAAGCATGAAACATGTTCAAGTGTTTTTCATCTTAAAGATCTTATTATGTCTCATGGTGCAGCTTCTCAATTACTGCTATTCAGTTTATCAGCAGTTGCTTGAATATTGCCTCATTAGACAGGCACATTTTATATCCAAGAAGCTGGAAAATGTTTCATTCATGTCAATCCGTTGCTAAGAGTTGAACCAGGTATAACAAACCTATCTTCTTCGCCGCCCTTGTCTTTTACCGATATTTCAAACCTCTAATGAATCTTCGCGATAGTCTGTTTCATAGATTTTCTTACGTCAAAGGCTTCTACCAACTGTAAATGATTGTCAACTTTAACTACACGAAATGCACCCTAACATAATGTTCTCCAGAACTGAAACAGAAACACTTAGGGATAGAAGATACCTTAAGAAGTCTGTCCACAATGACGCGCCATCAAAAGGTAGTCGAATGTTGGGAGTCGTGACTGGATAGGGTTGATTTCGCGTTTACGTTGTTGTCCAATAACAAGAGACGATCGATGAAATCATGCACATATATGAAGCTTGCTTTTAATAAGCTGGCATTAGGAAAAGTAAACAAAGTCGGCAATAGCAAATATGCAATAAACTGAAAACGAGTTTTTCGCTGGTTGTGTTTGCGAATCACATGTGGTTTATTTATCGCTAAATCCATGTATACCCATGGCCAAGGTTTTTGAAGGCAATTCGTAACGAGCACATAATCTCCTCATGTTTTCTTTCATAAAATTGACTGCAGCCGTCTCTTTTCAACTAGGCGCTTCTATAAACACATGTTGAATTGCTGCTAACAGCCGAAGAAAAATTTAGGCCTTGTGCAGTACACAATACTCAGTGCTGATCGAATAAAGTTTTGGTGGCTGTTTATCATTTCAATACTGCGGTTACTTATGAATTCTGCTTTTATTTTGTGATAATGCCGATATGATTTATCTTCTGATTACAGTAAAAGCAACTTTTTCAAAGCTTGTTTATGTGTAAATCTTTATAATAACAGATAGCAAAGAAAGTTTTATTTTGTGATAACCAGCGTTGTTCACTTTCCACTGGAATCTGACAGACCAAGTAGCAGACTAAGTCTTAGTTTTTTACGGGGTCTTCCCCTGGACTCTCTCCTTGTCCTGGTAACGTCTCCAGTCCCGAATCTCAAGGTAAATTTTAGTTACTTGACTGGGATGAAACGAAAGCTTTTAATTCATAATTGACAAATGGTTAAGAGACTGTGATACCAATTCTCCTTCTTTAAAGAAACAGCTTTCTGGCAAGATAGCTAATTAGATAACTAAAGATAACTAAATGCATACGATAGCATGAAACATTTTCAACCCTTATATACTACACATTACATGAGAAAAAGACAAGGGTATTTACCCAATGATATCTTCAAGACTTCCAAAGAAAGCCTAGCTGAAAAGCCTGTAGTTACAAACTTGCAAAAGGTTGTGTGTTTACAATCGTTTTCAAAGAATTTTAGTGATTTTACCTTTATTTGTATAGGCAATCTTTACAACGAGTTTCCTTACTTGTTTCTTGAAATCTTTCTTTTACTCTGTATTTGTGAGCTATTTTCCTTACCTTTAGATGTTCAAACTTTAAAAAATGGAAGTTACGTATTTAGTTGTGAAAGAAATCCTTGCATTATGACCTCGAGATGGGTGAATTAACTTTTTGTGTGGTAAAGCAGCTAGTGACCACATCCTCACAAACTTCATAAGACTCGTTCGTGACTAACGAATTCCAGCCCCCTTATACCATTTGTCCAACCCACTGGTATGTTTCAGGGAAACATGATCTACTAGAGACGAAGATTTTCAAGAAACTGCTAGCATTGGTGCAATGTCTTAAGTACAAAATTTGCAAGGCTTCTTTGATTTCTGAGTCTAGACTCTCACTAACAAGGCAAAGTAAGATACGCTTTATAAGAAACTGGTTATAAGAAACGAGTACTGGAAAGTCAGAAAAAATTAAGAAACTCCAGTAGTCGAAGCAAAAAATTAAGAAACTACTAAGTCGTGATAGAACTGAGAACAACGAAATTTTGTAAAGATTGCCCTGTTGGCCTAGAATTTAAGACACAAGGGATAAAAATATACTTCCAGCATCTAAATACAGCATCAGAACGGAAGAAAATCTCTTGACGTGATAAAAAAGGTCACGAACATTTCATAACATCATAATTAAGAAACTCTTAAGAAACAATTGCATATTGAAATTTCCAGAACATTAAGAAACTGGAGTACTCAACATCGACCTTGTTTCTTATAAAAAATGAGTCTAACACGAACAAGGGATAAATTTCTTTATCAGATTATTAGAGAGATAGATTGCAACAATTGTACGTTCTATGAATGTACACTTGATTCCCTTTCTGACATATAAGTCAAAGCATGTCTTTATATTTTTGTATATGTTAATATGGGAAGGAGGACGTAGGGGGGGGGAGGGCTGTTTATTTAGTTGCTTCCTATTCATTACTCTGTAACAGTGTTATGAAGTAAATCGAACGCAGCTTTGCAGTTGTAGTGAGGGGGGGGGCAGAAGAGGGTAAAATGCTTTTCAACTCGACAAACCAACAAAAGAATTCAAAACCTGTCTCAATGCAGATAATTTTCACACATTTTCAACATAATGAAGCACTCATTGATGTCCATTTATTTAATACCCCCTCAGCACTCTAATTTATAATAAATTTAATACAGTTTGGAACTTATTGGGGGTTGTATCGATTATCTATAATGATAAACTTGCCCATTAACTGCCTATTACCAACACGTCATATTTTAGATAATCAGGAAGATAATCAAACTTTGTAAGTTTCATGAATGTGCCTGGGCTCCGATCATAGAAATATGGCTCCGATATTGCAGCTAGCTGGATAATCAGAACCAGTTCAGAGGAACCGAAAACTAAGTTTGGCCTAGCTGCTAAGTTATCTGTAAAACGTTGGTTACCTTTAAAGTTCTACCGAAAACACATATTTACTCGCAGTATCATTCATAATTCCGACTGCCGCGACTTTGAATTCTTGCCTGAACGGACACGACTGCGACTGTCGTTTGTATTTTCAAAAAGTTTTATTGTTTTATCTCGGAAAGGTACATTCCTGCGTATTTGTAAGTAAGTAAGCATGTTTGCATTTCAAGTCACTGAAAAGTGCCTTTTGAAATTGCATTTCTATGCTCAAAACAGAACATCTATCAGAGTTCTTCAAGTGCATAAGGATTTCCTACGAAAAACTTTCGAAATAAGACTTTGGATAAAATCAACAATTTACAACGTTTATAAATAAGGAACAAAACCATTAGGGACATTTTCCACGCCATTTCGATCATTAAAACGCACTGATATGAAAAAAGAAAACAAATTGGGGCAATTGCTTATGAATTTGTGCACAGGTCATCAATTTAGAGTTGAAAGTGGTGATGAACCCCGATGAACCCGAATCTCTGCTGATGTGAAACTTATGGGCACGTATCGAGAGCACACGGCCAGAGGCACCTAATTTTCCCCTTCGAAAGCAAAACGGATTTCTCAAAGCAAAACCATTCAGATGGTGCCTCACTGATTGTGCTCCTTACTATTACAAGTAATCCAACCATGACTTTTAGAGAGAGTTAGTATTAAATTGCATGTAAGAGCTATGGTAGGATATCAAGCCGCTAGCGTTGGAATCGCCCCACCTCTTGTTAAGCCGCGTCTAATGAACAGTGCTTTAATTCCCCTGTTTATGTTATGTGACTCTTGAATAGTTTGATCGCGGATCAACTAAATCCAGTAAAGGCTCTATATGGTTTTTATAAACTATCCCCACAGATCTTGTTGATAATGTTTAAACCTAACATTTATGTAGCAAATGACCACAGTACAGCTCTTCCGAACTCGCCTATAAGGGTTTATTCTGTTGTCAGTTTCCTCGGTGCACTGGTAATCCAAGTAGGGCAGGTGCTTAGCAACAAAAACTGATTCTGAGACAGCTTTGGCCACTTAAAAGTAAGAAGACATTCCAGAGAAAGTCTTCATAAATTCAATGTTTTGATTTCTGCAACCACTGGATATCATGTGTTAATTATATTTACTCACTATACGAGGAACCAAAGATACTGGGCCGAGAAAGAATCTGCCACCATGTGGCCATGCATTGAACCATGTGCGCGAGCGATATCGAGGGCACTTGCACCAAAGTGCAGGCACTTGAAAACGCCTTACTATGAGCTATTTCAAGAAGTGAATTGAGACCAACTCACTATTGCTCATTTCTGGTATTTTATGAACCGGTTCTTTGTTTGTTCACCCGCTATGCTGATTACCCGTTTACCCGTTTTTTATCTAATTCAGCCAATACTTTTCGTTCTGGTACAAAATCATATTATGTGTCGTTTCTGCGACAAAGTCATTATGTTTCAATTGAATTTACTAACTTTCGTCGTTTTTGATCGTATCAATGTGTTTTTGAAACCATACATTAAGGAAAAAAATGCTACCCGAAAACTAAGAAAAAGGTGCACCTTCGTTAGCACCGTTTCTGAAAAGGTATAAAGGTCCAAAACTGCATTGAAGTGCTTGAAACTGTTCACCATTTCAAGGAAAGTTTGCTACTTTATTCTCACAATCAACCACTAAACCATCATATCTAAATTCTCACACTTGTGATAATGTAGCTGAGTAACTATGTCTTGTAATCTACTGACCCTACTTAATTTGAAATTATTGGGTGAATTGTAATCGAGACAAAGTTCATATACTACGATTTATCTACAGAGCGGTAATCTTTTACTTTCACAAAGCAAACGAATTGTGTCATTATAACATTTTGATCGGCTGAGTTTAGAATACGATCTATCAGATTAAGCTAATATTTAGACAAGGAAAAAGCAACAGATTAAAAATCATGATGAACGACTTGGGGTTATCCACTGCATTGTGAGTAATCGGCCACCTTGCATGAAATTATAACAACATACATCATGTGATGAAAGAAAAGAAGTGATCTTGCAGCATTAACAGGTATGGGCCTATCCCTCAAAACACGTTTTCCATAGAAGAAAGAACTGCAATTTTCCCATGAGAGAATTGACCCTAGGCCCAATTCTAACACGATATTTTCACATCAAAATAAAAGAAGAACTAGGGATTATTTTCATCAGTAAAAGACTCCGCTGCATATTCTACCTCCAGAAATACACACTCATCTTATATACACAAAAGATACACCAATGTATGTGTAAAAGCTAAATGGTACTTTAACCGGGAGGTCACGACGATGGAATTCTTATGGGAGAGCGGGCAAGGAGACCAACTTTCTGTCAAATATTGGGATTGCAGTGGAAGTAAAAAAAATGGCGGTGCCAATCAATTATTTCTCACAGATTTTGAAACTCGTTATCACTGAAAATATTATCACTAGAAACATGGAAAATTTCCCGGCAACACTGACCAAAACCAATCACCGACATTATTCAAAGAACAGAAAAGGTTGAGCCTGTTATTAGAAAGAGCCACATAAACAGTCACAGTAATTTGCTGTCTCTGATTACACTGAAAAAACAAAAATCGATCTATTTCTAGGTATAGTCTACTTTTGAAAAAGACTCCAAAAAGTCCATGGTTGTAATTTATACATATATGATACATCCATTCACTTTCCGTTTCCCAACTGTGTAAATTTGTTAAACGTGTTTGCTCTCTTTGATAATGCAAGCTGTCACATGCTCTTTTTCGTCATTATGTACTTGAATTGTAAGTGAATGCGACTATAGGTCATGTTAGCTCTTTCGAAGTTTGCTGTGTAATATGATGGTTCTTACGATTATTTGGCTAAGACCTGGAACATGCTGCCATCTAGTTCATTGGCCACTGTCTGAACCTTATTCTCCATACGAAACAGTTGTCTCAAACCGATTTTGGTTAATGAATCGATATTCACAAAAAATGATTAGCATTTTTATATTCAGAAATTCAGCAGGTAGTGCAGGAAATATTAAGCATACTTTGCTCCCCTTGGGAAAACTTCTGGCATCATTTATTGATACTTCTAGTCCAGGGGGATCTGGATGAGCCTTGAGGATAGGCCAGGAGTTTATAAAGAAAGAAGACAAACAGTTGCAAAGAAGACAAAAAGTTAGACCGTGTTTAGTGACAAACAGTTGCAAAGTAGACAAAAAGTTAGACCGTGTTTAGTGACAAACAGTTGCAAAGTAGACAAAAAGTTAGACCGTTTTTAGTGACAAACAGTTGCAAAGTAGACAAAAAGTTAGACCGTGTTTAGTGACAAACAGTTGCAAAGAAGACAAAAAGTTAGACCGTTTTTAGTGACAAACAGTTGCAAAGAAGACAAAAAGTCAGACCGTGTTTAGTGACAAACTTTGAATATCACACAGAGGTGTTAATAGAATTTGAATTGGTCATTATATTTTTGACCGAGACCCCAAAATGGTTACCGCGTGTATTAGTCAGTTAGTTATGTGTTTTGAAAAATGATGCCGTTATGGCATTTATATAATAGATGGTACGAGAATGCAAAATTCATCGGCAACAAACAAGTTAAAATGAAATACCTCTCTCTTTCTGATAAAATTATCAAGGAATACAATTATCGAGTCACTCATTGGACTTTGTAAGCGGATTTGTTGCTAGATTGTGAAACAGAACACCCAGGAAGAACGCTGGCAAATTTTTAGCAAGCATTTGCCAATTTTAGCATGCGTACGCCCCCACCTATAATCGGGAATGTATTTAAAGAATTACCGAGTTACGAAATTAGTCGAAAAAGGAAGTGGGCGAAGATCCTTGATGGATTACGAACATGTATAGGCTAACGCAAGAGGCAAATCAATCCATGAAAATTTCGTACACCATTGCTGGAAATCCTATTCTTTTACCTTAAAATCAATGGAAATCCTATTGTTTTCGTGGAAATCACATAGGCTGTTTGTAAGAGCGAATTGCAGAAATGATTCGAACACAACTGACTCTACTCCAGGACCGCGAAGCATATTACAAACTGAGGGGGCTAAACATTTGTTTGGGGGATATACATGCTAAAACAAGAGCAAGGTGTTTTTTGTAGGGTTTGAAGTACATTTTGGAAATTTTTAGGGGGGCTAAAGCCCCTTATCGCCCCTCCCCGCTTCCGCGTTCCCTGACTCTACTGGCACCATATTCATGTTTCATCTAAATTTTTCTCTCGTTACTAAGAGCTAATTACGCTAATGCTTACATCTGCTTAAATTTTGAAAGATCAAAGAAACTCATTAAAAACTGTTCTCAGTTTAAGAGAACAGTTAAGCCGATTCTTGTGGCACGGCTAAACCAAAGTGCTCTCTTTACGGATTTGAAATACTGTTATGGTCCCGCATTTAAAAATAAAGTTTGTCCTAAGAAGTTTAAGCTGCTGCCCGACATTCCTTAAAGATCGCGCTTATCCCAAGGGCCTTGGGTGGGATAAAAGCTTTTTGTTCCCAGAAGCAAGTCTCTATGCATGTCTGAGCGAACCCATAACAGAACATGATTTTGAAGCCTACTATTTCTTTAAGGATTTAATAGGAATGTTCGTTCTCGTGAAAGGTTTTGCACTCAGCTAATCTGTTATTCCTTAACTATAATTCTCATCAACTAAAACTTTTATAAGACCCTCTTTTTTAAGCGGTATTTTTCATACATGTGCAAGTTACGGCGTTGCTAAAAGATATGACGTATTATTATTGCGTATTTTGTCTTATGATTAGTAAAGAAGTGTAAAAGTCATTCTGTCTCTAAACTCATGCTTCTACATGATGAAAATTGCTTTATAAAAAAGGAGTACTGGCCGCTCCGAGAGACAATAAGAATCATCAGGGCTCGAAGCAAAACATTCGAAGAAACTCGAAGAAAAAAGAGTTTCATTTTTTAAAAAGTTGAAAGTTGGCTTAAAATTCAGGACACTTAGGACACAAATAACAAAACGTATTCGAAAAATCCACAAACTGTTAACAGACAACTTTAAAGGAAGCAAAAAAGAAAATATCATCAAGCTAAATAAACGGCAAGTATTTAAAATGCCCTTCTACGTTAAGAAATTGAAGAATTCAAAGTCAATTTTTGTTTCTTTAAAAAATGTGCCTAGGATATAGAAGGTTGTGTGAAGATAATCCGATGAAATAAAAATTCCTACGTCAAAGCACCGTCTTCGTCGTCTGAAAGACCCTCTAAGACCCTACCAAACGGCCGTCCTCTGAAAATCCTTAGTTTTTTGCATTGTCAGAGGCAAAACTTTAAGCTGGTGATGTTCACATAACTTCTAACGAGGAAGTACCAACTCAGGGCCCACACCATTTGAAAGTGGGTGGGGGCAAGGCTAGCAAAAGTAGAGGACCAAGGCTTCTTTCTTCTTTTACTGCAGTTTTAAAACTACTTGTTTCGCAGAAAAGTGAGATGGTGGCGTGAGCCCTGCCAACGGCACAAAATTATAAAATAGTAAAATTGGAAGCATCTATAAAGTGTGTTATTTAAAGGAAAAAAATTCCTCAAAGAAAATGTACTCCGAAATTGCTGGTCGTAGAATGTTTAAACTATTTGCCAAGTAAGAAAATCAAAAGTTAATCAGAAGACCATGCCGACGTTATTAAGGAAGGCGAGAAATATTAGATGTTGATAAAGGGGGTAACTTTAAACTTGAGGGGGGGGGGGCTTAAGCTCCTTGACTTCATTTGCCGCTACTGCTATTTAACGACATGAACCTTTTTCAGGAAAGATGTATAGCAACTAGCCTATATGTGATTGTTATTGCTCAAAAACACACAACATTGTCCTGTGGTGTAGAAGTAAACAGTAAGGTTTGACTTCAATAAACAGGGCTTTGAGTCGGTAAACAGCTTGCTGGCTTGTTGTAAACAGCTAGTTGTTTACCTGATGTGTAATTAGCCTTGTTTGATTGACTGCGTTGTGAATGCTCGGAATGACTTTTAGAAGTTAGAAGAATGATGGCAACATATAAAAAGTGGGGTACACAGGTCTTTAAACGAATAGTTGCAATTTTGTACCATCCAGCGTGGGGGTGTTAGCTATATTATTCACAAATTGTCTTCTGATATGGATTTTCGAAGAAAACAACGTTGTATTTCAGCTTCAAGTGTCCGGGCTTTTCAACAAGTACAATTTCTATTACGTTCTTCTGGTAAAATAGCTGTTAAATGTCTGGATAAAGTTCATTTGAACCTTCTCTAAAGAGAGATGGTTGAGAGCATGCCTTTTTCGAGGGCTACGAACGATTAACAAAACACAATTGTGCCCCCAAATTGAGAAATATGAAACCCCATTCGTTTTCAAGAACTTTCGCATCTTAGAATGGTAATTTAATTCTTTTGGAGAAGATACACCACTTCATTCTAACACTGTTAAACTTTTTATTCAACTTTCGCATCTTAGAATGGTAATTTAATTCTTTTGGAGAAGATATACCACTTCATTCTAACACTGTTAAACTTTTTATTCTATCAGAGACTGCATTGAACATAGACACGATGCTTAGAGGCCCTTAGATACGATTGCCTGAAAGGATGACAAAAAAATTTATGATCGGCTTGTAAAGTACGTTTCAACTTTGTCCTTCTGAAAAATTCAATATCTCTTTTGGTTAGAACATTTTGAACTCTATGGTGTGTAGGCTTTCCCGAATCCGACGCTCACAATGGAACAAACGCCTACGAAGATTTCTGGATAAAAAAGGCATTAGGAAAACACTGATAGAGTATCGTGTGTTGATACTGACAAAAATATTCACGCGATAATAACAGAGTTTAACTGAAAGTTACCCGAATTTTTCCATTAAAGTTTTTGCAGTGATTTCGATAGAGGTAAACTGCTTCAAGCATCGGAAGATTGGTTTAGAATTCGAGCTTCTTCCTTTCGCCGACAAACTGATAATAATAACAACCTATTTGTCAATATAGAGCTAAGATGAATGTTTCAGCTAAAAAAGTGATAGGCTAACTGAAAAGTTTAACTACTGAAAGCACACAATAATGATTTGCGAACGCTGACGAATGCTTGAAGAATGTTTAGGGTTAATGCGAATTTCGTCGCTAGCTTCAGCAGATTTTTGCTCTTGCGAACAAAGATTTATTTTAATGAAAATGCCCTGATGACATCGATAGAGTATTCCTTCATAACGTACGGTAAACAGTGATGATGCCATATGCAACCTTATCTCTTGCATATTACAGTGAAAGAAAGAAATTAAGCATACTTTTCACGACGAAAAATTAAATGCTTTTTCCTCTCACTAAACAACAAAACATGGCCGAAAAACAAACCCTGTTTTAAGAAGTACCACTGGTTTCCCTCGATTAAAGCAGCGAGAGAATATTTATGTAATTTATAAACATAATATTAGGTGATTCAATAATAGTCTTACCCAGCTAAGCCTTTTGGGCTCTTTCGTCAACTGCGACAAACCAATGGATGCCCCTGTAGTCCTCTACTCCCCTCCCCAGTCCGCTATCTGATGACCAAGTCTGAAACGACGGTAAATGGATCTACTTCTGTTAACGATCTTATTAGAATTCTCGAGGCTCTGTCTATTTCCTAGCACTGAATATTTTATAGAATGACTGGTCGTAGTTTCGTCCTCTCCAAACAGCACAGTTCGACTGACTAAACAAATCCCTCACTTTCTTTTGTACTCTTCTTCCCGCGTTATGTCAGCTAGTCTCATTTAATGTTTGGCCTAGGACTAAAGCAAAATAAAGGTTAGGTAAACATCGCTCTTCTTGACGAATCGTGATCGTATTTTGGTGTATAATCAGGTCGCCGGTAGGGATATGGTCGCGTTCGCCATGACTTCGTATAATTTCGGTTTATTGCTAATTTGCAAGTCCAGGGTTTAATTCAATTTATGCTGTGGGATATTAACTTAATAAGGAGTAAGGTTTACTTGGTAAACAGCTTGAAAAGTTGAGATATAGATAATAAATGTTGTTTCGTTCCTCATTATTGAATACTGTAGGGTTCTATAAGAATATCTGGTGCCAGCCGTTGTACACTTTGTTCGGATGCTCATTAGAAGATACATCGTTGAGACCCCTTCCTCTCCCTTTTCAATAGAATTAAGTTTCCAGAACCAAAGGTATAGTCTGGCTTCTTTACAACATTTTCAATTTCCTATATCATAGGTCATGCCGGCCGGTAGATATCGGGAGACATTGTACTCAAGTGCATAAAAGTTTTTTACACAAGGGGATATAGCACAAAAAACCCTCTTCCATAACCTGACGGTTTGACGGTTAATCCCCCCTTCCTTCAAGTGTAGTAAAAACAATTATCAAAATGACAGCCTCGTTTTCGAACAAGTGTTCATTTTAACCAGAACAAAAATGTCTAGCCTGAGTTGTTATATCTATTTGTATGATTCGTCACTTCCTCAAAAGTAACAGATTAAAGCCACCTTTACAGTTTGTAGAGGTGCTTGGTTTGTAATCATGGTTAAATACTCATAGATCAGTATCATATACACATTTATACACCTGTATAAAAAGGACTTTGTACACGGTGACAGCACCATGATTTGCATTTTGCAAACTTAAGTGGTCCCATATCAGTAGCAATATTTTCAATAAGCCAGCTATCTTTGCTATCTATGTTGATTTCTTTTCAAATAACTTCATCTTCGCAAGAAACTGTAAGGGTGGCTACGCCCATTTTACTGAAAGAAGGAGGTCTTGAGCCAAAATAGAACGCCAATGTCACCAAAAGGGAATATCCATCACTACATTTCAGTTACGTAACTGCAGCTGCAAAGTCAAGGAACAAATTTTGCCAAAGTATTACCCCATCCCCCGTTTCCAATCATTACTTGCTCGTTGATTTTAGATAAAATACAAGTCGATCCTGTCAAAAGCTGGGATACGTGTCTCCCTAGTCTACCCTGTGGAATTGATATTGATGTAATTTACATGCAGGGACAGCTTTTTTCGGTGCAAAGAGGTCATGTTTGATCCTTCGAAACCGGGATTTTGAAGTTGCTTGGGGCACTTTGATATAACAATGAAGGTTTAGTAAGACTAAATGATTTCATCGGAGCCCGAAATAGTGAAGTGCTAACCAAAGGAAAAACTGGAACATAGAAACACATTGTATCATGCATATTTAGGTTCAATTCCGTTTTGTCTGTAGACGAAATTCTTTAGGTCTTGGCAGCTCAAAAAACATAGAAATTTGTATAACCTCATCCCGCTTTTTAAGCCTAGCCCTAATAAGAAGAAAAATTTTGGCAAAAACTTCAGTTCTGATTTCTGAACCATGTTAATTAGAGAGTGTAGACATGTCTAAAGATGAGAAGTGACCTTTCATAGAAACAGATATGATGATATCCAGAAATCATGATAGCTAGTTAATTTGGCTTCGTCTCCAAAACACAGCTCCTTGCTAATAAACCTCTTAAACTCTTATTTTGGTTCATACTACTCTGTTACGTTGTTGCAGTGGGCAGTACTCGTGGCACTGTGTAATAAAGGTCAGGCTTGTTGAACCTACGCTTTCCGGAGCAAGGCCAAGGTCTTGCATGAAGCTGGAAGAATTTAGGAGATGAAAAGCGGGAGCTGATATAGATCCAAACAAAATAATGAACTGATTAACGAATTGGCCAACTTCATCTTATTACAAAACTCTTTGGTAGCGATCCCTTTGTTATTGAAAGAAATCCCTCGTGTAATCCATTTTTAATAGTACTGTATTGATGCCCCTCGGGGAACTTAGGACTTTGTAATGTACAGTTCTTTGCTCTCAGGCTAATATCTCAATTCTATACGGTTGAAAAAGGAGTTTAGGAATTACAGTTCTGGCCGTCGTTGTCTATTATTTTGAAAACCCTTTTTGAAAACTGCATTTCCGTCCTGTAATATAGATTTGAAAAGTTGTTGTTGCGGTACTACTCTAACTTAGCAAGCAAGTGATTAAATGGCTGAAAAAGGTGCAATGTTGATAACCTTCTTAGTTGGCTTTTATTTATTTTATTGCAGGTTTGCGATTCTCTTTTCAACTTCAACAACCAACTTTCTATTTTTCAGCAAGTGGCTCCTTAAGCAAATAAACTCCAAATATTACAAGGGCGTATTTAGTTCTTGGCAATCCCCGAATATTCTAATAGATAATTTCCACTTTGACTGTGGGCATCCCAAACCTCCTGCGAATTTCTCTATTACGCTTGGTAAAAGGCAATGGTGAAAAGCGTCTAGTCATGGTTGCCAAGTAGACACATGTCAAGATAACAAACGCTAAATCTAAAAGAAGGGTTCAAGGTTACTGACGATCAATTCAAAGTCAAGAGGCTTTCCTTTCCTTAGCCAAAGGTGAGCGTACCCAAAATGTTTTTCGAAAAACGGGAATCATCATTATAAAGAGTCGGGAATTCGGGAATTAGGGGACCTATTGGGTACCCTCCAAAGGTGTGGCCAGGATGTAGTGATTGAGCTTTTGTTTCAATCTCTTTCTCGTCGTGGTTAGCTCTATATCCGCCCATTTTTCTAGGTTCTAAGTAAACTTTCGATTTCTTAGGCAACTTCTAAGACGATATGCCTTAATGTTTCAGAGCTACTTTCATAATTTTTATTGTACTCTATGTTTAAGTATTTCATAGGGTTTCAGTACCTAGAGTTTATCCCTTGGCTTAAAATTCTTCAGTCTAAAAAGCCCTCAGTTTCAAAGTCATCAAGTAATTTGGTGTTACTGATCATATTTGTGTGATAAGTCTTCATCCTAGTTTACTAGTTAGCAACTAAAACTAAAAGTGCCAAAAGACGCAAGGAAGACCATAATCTAACCTTGCTCCACAAATCCTGAGAGTATTGGGGTTTCAGTGTTTATATAACGTCACTTAATTATAGCGACTATTGTGAAGATCTTGTTAAGCCCTTCTCTGCAATGATACCGTGAATGAGATACTGAAAATCTACACCGTCTGACTAACCTTGAAGTGGAAGTTAAGATTATGGATAATGTTCAGGATATTGCGGACAAGAGAAAAGCAGCTCTTTAATCAAGAATTCAAATAGCAGGCCTATAAGTGGATGTCCTTTAACAATATAAGCCAATTTGAGATGTCAAGGATCATCGATACTCGAATGTTGCTGGTGAATAAGGCGTAAAGCTTTTATCACTTTGGGTGAGCGACGATAACTTTAATGCAGAATTTCCGAAGTTCAAAATTAACGTAATATACTACTAGATCAAAACTCCCACATCCTTAGATTCTACGTCATGACAACGAGACTTAAACAGTTGGTCCCAGATTCTGTTACCGGCGTTCTCATCTCAATCCAGACAAAAAGAGAAGTAAATAAATGTATTTTGTATCAGACAGAGTTCTTCTTTACATTTATTAGAGTTCTTCATTTACCACTAGCTATATAATTATATACGTAGGCATGTGCAGACATGTAAGGTTATAGTGTCTTAACAGGGATTAAGTTTGAATATGGTAGAGGACACTATAGAAAACTCGATGGGAACATCAATTTTCAAAAGCATTAAATTGAAGTACGAGAGGGTAGCAAAAGCAAAGCTGACTACATTGCCTTCAATTAGGCAAGCTGGACGGGATTATTTTAATGGCAGTGATAATCAATTTGTGCAGTAAAAATTCAAAGATAATAGAAATTTTGCGTAAGTTTTCTAAAACCGTCTACATACACAAAATGAATTTAGAAAATGCTTGGAATATAAAAAGCGTGAACTTTGTACGAACTAATAAAGAAAAATAAAAAAGAAAAAAGAAAAAAGGAAAAAGAAAAAGCTCTATTATATTGCTAAAATGTGGGAGGGTCATGGCCCCGGCACTCCTTCTTGGGAGGCCCTGGTTGGTAAGGATCCAATTTCTTTTGGTTATTTTACATCAGTTCATTTAGAATATGCTTGTTGGTGCATGTTTATACATAATATCATTAGAGCAAACAACCAGGAAGAAAAGTCGTGAGCTACGCTAGCTCGAGGGCTGCAGTGGTCGTACAAATTGTAAAAAGGCAACACCCAGATTCTAGGACGTTCTTAGTCAGTACAGTGATAAAAAGTCCTGATACATGTGACATAACGGTTTAAGACATGTATTCAGTTGATAATGATGCATTGCTTTGTGCATTGCTTTATATAAGCTACCAAAAAGTGAAATAGCAAACACAGAGAGCTATTTAAATTCTGTTTGAGATTTTTAACAGGTCTTCACACCTCTTATTTCTCTCTTTTTTTGCAGCAGCTCAATCAATCAATCAATCAAAAACTTTATTAATGTGTCAAAAAATATTTAGCTTACAAGCTAATTGGGGACACAAAAAATTGGTTTACTAGTCTTCAACAATGGCTAATTGGCTAAAATGTATTAAGATGGGTTGAAAGTCTAAGAAACTTGTGTCCTAGAATTTTTCAACGTTTCTTTTGTAAAATAAAATTGCTTGAATCTGGAAACATTCATATTGTTGGCATGCAATTTTCTTTACTTCTAAATCCGTTATTCTAGGATCATGTTAGAATAAAGCTACTTACAAAGTACCAGGTTTGAACACTGATCAGTGGGTTTGAAGCGGGGAGGTGCTTCTGTGGAGGCGTTAAGGTGGATCAGTGAATATTGGAGCAAGGAGAAGAGAACCATCTTGTTCGTTCGTGTTGTAACAAGTGAGATAAAAATCCGTGAAAAATGCCGAGAATCCTCATAAAAGGAGGTGTTTGGCGAAACACAGAGGTTTGTAATACATTGATTAGGCAATTTATTATGGCATATACATTCATTTTCATGGGTAGCATTTGCCTTTTACGATAAATCATCCTGGTCATGAACTTTTAGGCCTCGCTGTTTCAAGACCTTGAAACTTTTTTGTAGTTTTGTTTCCTTTGTTCAGCTTTGCTATTTAGCTAACTGTTCAATGAATCATCTTTTTATCGCAATATTGCTTTGTTTCTCTTCGATGGAGGTAACATAAGTTGTAATAAGTCCAGTATGGATAGAAAGCGTTGTGCACCACAAGGTTTATAACAAGCAAATCTGTGGGTGCACAGTTTGGTGCACAGCAAATCATTCTTTGTCTTTGGTGTTCAAATTATTCAGATACTGGATGGTGCACACAAGTAGATACTACCTATTAGGTAGATAATTGCAATGTTTTGTTGTTGCATACGAAGGTAGATTTTAGGAAACTATGCATACCAAGCCAATTATCATGAAGCAAGCAAATAGAAGACAAAGCACATGCAGATTTTTGTAAAATAGTGGATTCCACTGGGCTGGCACTTTAAAGTTTTTTCACAGGATACTGCTATTTGATAGAAAGTTTCTTAAAAAAGCACGGCTTATAATGCAGAATCTGCACTGTGCCTTGACACTCTGAAGTTAAGTATATTATGGAAATGGCTTTAAGAAAGCAGAAATGTTACAACATACTAAAAGCTTTGACATTTTTGCACACACATAAAATTTACTGAAAGACACATTTTTTCTTAATAAAAATAAATAGCCTTTAAATCTTTTTAAAATGGAAGAATAGTCGCTGAAAATTTGTGTAATAATTAGTAGAGGATTGAAGTTTGCCATTCATGACCCTCCTAATTTCAATAAAGGAAAAATCATGACTGTGAACTGTTAAGAACTATTTAATCTCCTTATAATAAAAAAAAGAATTCTGGGTAACAAATTAATGTTAGATCTGGACATGTCTGCATGAATGCTGGTTTTGAAAATTGGCCATAGAAGTATTTTACAGTTTGCATTCAACAGTAGCAATAACAGAATTTAAAGACTAAAACACTTGCAGTAAACATTATTATTTACTTTGCCATTAACTAGTATAGCATTTTATGCAGATGCAAGCCTTACGAAAAAAGGTGCCCTAAAGAGCTCCACCGATAATGTAAAACAATAATGCCACAAAGCAAAGTAATGTTTTTAAAATGCAAAATGTTTGGATACAAAATGCTTTATTTTTTCATTAAGATGAAAACACAGCCTTTGGAAAACTTAATGTGATATTAACAATATATTCGCATATATATGAAAATATATTTGACATTGGATGTGGGGCTATGGAACCCTAGTCCCCATTGTCAATGCAAAAAGGAGCCAATATCTATTTTTGCTTTTGTTTTTTGCAACATTTTGCCTGAGAACCCCTCATTCTTATCATAGTAATACACCACTAACCATATCAAATTGTCTATCTGTTTACATGGAAAGACTAATGACTATGGTATGAAATGAAAACAGTGTCATATTTGGTGTAAACCACTCTATGTTTATGGATCAACAAGTCAAAAACTTTTTTTTGTAATGATGTAATAACCCAATTATCTCCTTGTCCTGGCAGAGAAATGAATCTTGATCAAACCAATAGTGACACTGAAAGAGTTTTTCAAGCAATGAGGGCTTATAAAAACAAGAGTCATATATTTGAAAAATCTTAACATATTTTGAGGGTTAATGCTTCTAATTCATAATCTGGTGTCTTTTGGCTCCCGATTGAACTTCTTTTTTTTACTCCTCCAAAGGATCCTCCTAGGAATATTATAATATAGCGGATTTTCTAGCAGTGCTAAATAATGTGCCTTGAGTTCTTAGGAGCTCACTTAATGGAGCACCTTTTTTGTTAGAGCATGGCCTCACAGATGTACTAATAAAAAAGTCAAAGTTGATGGATACATTAATTAAACATTAATTAAAGAAAAAACTTGCAATTTTTGTGTGTGGGAATATGAATTAACTAATAATGTGTAGGCTCAACCACAAAGACTACAATTCTTGGATTGAAAAAATGCATTTTGTTTATAAGGATATATGAAAGCTTCACACTTACTAAACAGCATTAGTTCTGTGCTGAACTGCAAATTTTGGCCTTGAACCATCAGCCATTACTCTGTTGTTCTGATTGTCTTGTTATCAAATAAAAACCAATATGAAACAAAAATTTATTGTTCCCCTATGCAGTGGTACCAAGCATTGTCAAAATATCAAAAGACCAGGGCAGGGCTGATTTTCCTTTCTACTTATTCCCAACTCAATGATAAGTAAAATATTTTTATCAATTCTATGTTCTCATTAGAGGTACGAGGGTTGAGAAGTACATCAGTACAGTTTAGTATAAACCATTCCCGGGTAACGTCCGCCATTAAGTCTGGGTAGCAAACTGACCGTAGCGATGGTGATTTTCAATACATAAATGCCATAATTTCACAATCGCGCTGTTCTAACGTCATGCCATTCATTTATCGATACTTAATTACACTGTCTACTATCTTGTACATAATTATTCATTGAATTTCACCTATTATTCTCCATTATCTAGCCACGATAGCTATTTATTAATGATTAGTTGTTGTGAAATGTTCGAAGAGCTCGCTGCTGTTGTTTTATAGAGAAAAACTTTGTCCGTTAGTTATAATCTATTGCATCCTTTTAAGTTTTATCATACAGATACAAGCTGTTATATATTCCTAGTGTAGCTCTAATATACAGTAGCATGGGAAGACACGATCGATGCTGTCAGTGGCGTCGCCAAAAAACTGGGATGGACAAAAACAAATTTTCTCGGCCACGCCCTTCAGACTCTTGGAAAGTCCTTTTTTTAGTATTTTTCACCTATTTTGAAATATTTGGAAAAGCAACATTTTCAAGCAGCATTTTTCGTAACGGTGGCTTTTTTGACAGAGCAAAAATTGAAGTCGATCTGATCAGCAAAACTTCCACCCCCAATGTTTTTCAAAGGATTTTGAGAAATTAGAAAATTTACTTCTGGGAAAGCTGGGGGTGGACATGTCTTCTGATGGAAATCCTATGGCTAGAAACCCAAATCCTACTCTTTGGCTAACTGCACAGGATAATCAACAAGACCAGAGTGTTGTTGGGAAATCTGATCTTCACCAAGAAAAAGGGCATTTCAAACAACGATAGGTGGGGCAGCTTCAGGTACCGGGCACCAGTTTAAATGTGGGAGGGCTGAAAAGGGCGTTACCGAAAAGATTTTTAAGCCACACCCTCTAGAAAGCCGCGAAACGCCCCTTTTAGAAAATACTTGCTTATTGCTACTGAAGTTTAATAAACAGTCTGGTTCAGAGAAGATTTCAATAGCTAAAAAATGGACAAAATTAGCTTGGGATAAATAAAACATCAAGAAAACACCTAGAAATGGACAAAAAATGTTCCAAGTGAAGAAGAACTGCTACTATTTAGGAGTATACAATCCAATGTTGTGGTAAAGCATAGTTAAGAGAAAACTTTCCAAAAAGTTTTCTAACCTATTATTGCAAAAAAGTGGAGGGGCTAAAGCCATTAAATAATAAAAATAAAATGGTAAAAACGGTAAAAAACAGCAAAAACTTTTTATCTTGCAAAAAAGATAAAACCATTCTGCTTTCAAAAATAACGGCCATCAGCTAAAGTCAACTTGCACTTGACACCATGACTTAGTGGCTGAGGTTTGTTGCAATAACACAGAAAAATGTTGTTTGGTTCTAGCCCAGCTACAAGGGATTTCTTTTTTTCAAGGAAAATTATGATAATTTCTCAAAAATAATCGTTTTGCTCCCGATTTTTTGGGGGGTTTACGGCCCTGAGACAGAGTTATCTTATGGGGCTAGCTATCATGATAGGCAAACCCATATCAGCAGCTAAAGACGCTCTGGCAACAAGTTCCACCGTATTTTAGTTGCTTACAGATACCGCTCTTCTTACTGTTAAATAATCCTTCAAAACCTGTAACTACCATATCCGAAAAATCCTGATAAGTTTCTGAATTGCTTGCCATTTAACTGCTGACTTTATGGAAAATAATAGGCGAAATTCAAAGGATAATTATGTAAAAGATAAAAGACAGTGTAATTAAGTATCGATAAGAGAATTCAATGACGTTAGAATAGCGTGATTGTGAAATTACGGCTTTGATGTATCGAAAATCACCATTGCTACGGTTGACGGCCATAGAGTCCAAAGGTCAGTTTGCTACCCAGACTTAATGGCGGACGTTACCCGGGAATGGTTTATTGTGACAGTCTATAGAAACAAACATTCAGGGATTGAAGGGCTAGTTTGTTCAGAAATTTAGACCATTGTTGATGCTTCACAGTGGTAAAGTTTCCAGATTGCGGGTCATCCTGATACTTAATATGGTGTTGATTTGCTGTGCTGTTGATTTGTCTAATGCACTGTCAGTTTCTTTTCCTGTTGTCCTGTTTTATAATTTCAGTTATTTATGCATCCTCTAGGTCCAAATCAATCACAGCCAAATGTTTAAGAATACAGTATTTAATTTCTCATAAAGTGTTCCAAAACTGCTTGCTTTAAAGTTTGACAATACTTTGTGTAAGATGAATATTATCAGTGACATTTAAATTAGCGTTTAGTTTGAGAATATCCCTTTTTCTCAGCTGAAAACTGCCTATTAATTAATCCATGTTCTGGAGAAGCTTTTGTATTTGTGATTCTGGCACATCAAGGGATGAATTGGAAATTGGGAAATGGAAAATTTTTCTTTTGAATTAATTAAGCAAGACATTTTTTTAAGTATTTTCTTGTTTTCTTTAGGATGAAATCCTCAAAGCAGCTGTAATGAAATATGGCAAAAATCAATGGAGCCGTATTGCATCCTTGTTACACAAGAAATCTGCCAAGCAGTGCAAAGCAAGGTGGTATGAATGGCTTGATCCTAGCATCAAAAAGGTTTGTATCCTGTTTTGTCAAAATAAATTTGTTAAAATCATCTATAATTATCTATGTAATTAATCACAAAAAGGTTCTAAAACTCCATTAGATACTTGATGCTTCTTCTGAAGTACGTAAGATACAAAATACAATATCAATGAAACATTGATAGAAAAGCAACTGAAGATACATAAAAATATATGAGTATTTAGTTCACAACATGTGTCAAACTTCTTCCTTTGTTTCAGTAAATATATTTGCAGGAAGAATACGAAGAAATGCCTAAAATGTGAAGAGCTGTGTACATTTTTTATAATAACTGAAAGTGCATTCTAGATCCTATCTCCATGATATACTTCGCTTAAATCTTTTTCTATCTTCCTTTTCTACCTAGACTGAATGGAGTAGAGAAGAAGATGAAAAACTCCTTCATCTTGCAAAGCTGATGCCAACACAATGGAGAACAATTGCACCATTGGTTGGTAGAACCGCTGCCCAGTGCTTGGAAAGATACGAATACCTGCTGTAAGTTTTCTGGCATATTCTTTCAATTTTTCATTTATTTGTCTTTTGCATTTTTGATCATCACTCAGTGGTTTCTTATATTCATCATTTGATTCTTCTATTTAGCAATTAAAATTTGCCAAATTTTAAACTGGAGTCGAAATAAATGATCTTGAAATGCTTTCCATTTAATTTAATTTGGAAGATCACTACCCTTTGCAATCTGGATAATGTAGGCAATCAACTACCTTTGTGGAAAACTCCTTCTTGAGAAGGCCAGCCCCATCTTACCCCTTTCAACTCAATGCACTAGGAAAACCATAAACAATCTGCACATGTGACACATGCTTCGCACATATAACAGTTTATCTAAAATTCATTTACAGTGGAAATCTTCACACTTAAACCAATATCTTCCATCGATTAGACTGAAACTTAAGTTGGAACAGAACTTCGCAAAGAAACATGAGAAAAAATTAGCTTTTGATTTTCAGAAACTGCATATTTATGGACTTTGTCTTGTTCCATTTATGGTTTTTAGACTCTTTGCATTATTGAGTAAAGAGCACAAAACCATGTTTGGTGTTTTTCATACTTTGATGCAAATTTGGAGTACACTGTCATGAATGTTTAAGAATCTCTTCCGGAAAAGATACAATCTAATTGATTGATGATGGTTCTGTTTAGAAGACTGCAGGCTCAGGTTAATAAAGAAATTGTTGATGTAACATCAAAAATAAATTTTGATTGTAGTGATCAAGCTCAACAGAAAGAAGGTGATGAAGCAGATCCAAGGAAACTACAACCAGGGGAGATTGACCCAAATCCTGAAACTAAACCTGCAAGACCAGATCCAATTGATATGGATGAAGATGGTATGTAGCTACATTTCAGTTAATTTCTGCCCTAGAAAATTCTCGCATTACTGACAGAATAAGACAGATTGCTTTATAATATGCTGATACTCATTTTTGAAAACATGGACATTGACTGTTCAAAGTGGGTTCAGTTTTTTGTAATCTAGCTGTATGTCATTATGAATCAATGCTAAAAAAGCTAGTTGAGATGTTAAAATTCTTATATCATAACCTAGGGATTCCCACCTACCCAACTTTGGATTATGATTGATCTATTGAAGTGAACAAAACCATCTATAGGTCATCATTAAAGTATGTCATCAAATAGTGCTTATATCATATAAATTTATACTTCCCAAGTTTAATAATATAATGTATGTATATATGTAACATGTAATTGATATTTCCTAACTAAATCTGAATATGTCAATGCAGTGAATTTTTAAAGAACTGCCATTATTAATTTATCAAAATATTTATCCTATCCAAACCATCATTATCATAAGCTGTTCAGGACACTGTAAGCATGTAGCCTCCACAAAATTCTCCATTGATTTTTCTACTCTCATCCAGGTAATACCTGGGATGCTCTTCAGATAATCTTTTTGTCTCTGTTTATGTCTTCCTTATTCTCTTTATATTGAAATTGGTTTCCTGAAAAAATTCAGCAAAAAATTATTATATTAAATAATTTTTGGAAATTTCAGAGAATTGATAAACAATAGAAAGACATAAGAATGACCTGAAAAAACCCCATGGCCTAATAAAGAAGACCCTGATTGTAAAGTACGCCTATCCACCGAAATAATGAAAGCTCACAAGCAATGACCATGAAACAGTTTCCTCCATCCAAATCTGTTTATAGACTTTCTTTTTTTTCCGGTTGTATTTTTGATTGTGCTCTGTGTTTTTTATAGAACTTGAAATGCTCTCTGAGGCAAGAGCAAGGCTTGCAAATACCCAAGGTAAAAAGGCAAAAAGAAAGGCTCGAGAGAAGCAGCTTGAGGAAGCCAGGAGACTAGCAGCTTTACAGAAGAGAAGAGAACTGAGAGCTGCTGGCATAGAGTAAGTATCTGTTTGTTTTTTATTTAGCAAAAGCAAATTTCTATTGAATCAAAAGAAATAAAAGACCAGAATTGTCAGTTTCATTTCTTTAGAATTGCTGACCCCAAAGTTAGTATGAGCCAACTACATATTTGAAATCACGGTGCATGAATTGGATGCCTCAAGATATTGGTTAGGAAATATTTCCTGATTTATATTTGCTTACTTTTGAAAGGATTGAAAGGTTCAAGAAGAAAAAGAAACGTGGCGTTGACTATAATGCTGAAATCCCTTTTGAAAAGAAACCTGCCCAAGGTAAAAGATTTGTCAATTTTGTCAAGGGCCTAGACATGAAAATACTTACTGGTTTTTGGAACTATAAATCAGTGGCCTAGCGTCGAGGCGCCGCATGCCCTGTAAAATTTGGTTAAAAATAGTTTCAAACCATCTTTTTTGGGAAAAAAACAGCTGCTTTTATGATTAATTATAATGCACTTTGTCGCATCATTGCTCTACCCATTGGAGTTCAATGTGCCCGCCCTAGTTTTTACCCTAAAGTAATGCTAGTACTTCCACATCTCTATGAGTACTTCGTATCCCTGAGAACTTTTTAACAGCTATGTTGAAACGACACAAAACGAGGTCCGACCCCCGACTCCTCTTCTGCCTTCAGCCTTGGCTATAGGTAATAAATCTATTTCATATATTTCATAACATACGTAGCACGGTGACTGTGAAAAAATGATCATGTTTTCATTAGTATAAATGTCATTTAGGATTGTGTTTCAGGTGTTCTTTTTTGAAATGGTAGAAATTCCTGTATAAAAACATGATTTTAACAATCAACTGGCGTTAATAACAGCAGCTTTCGGGGTTTACCCCTGGTCTCCCACAGGGGTGTTGCCTGTTGACCACACCCAACGCCGCCTGAGCCTTTTCTTAGACAGTTAAGTTGTTCAGTTGTGACAAGAAAGTTATTAAGCAACATTTTGAAAAGAAACCCGATTGTTTAAATCCAATTAGTGTTGCCTTCGTAAATGCATGCTATTTCTACTAACCTTTGGAATACTTGGAAGCTAGTTTAACGAGGAGTACCCACCTAGATCTTTATGTCCCCCCCCCCCCACTGGACTTGTTCCTGAATTTTGCAGGGAGCAGATTATCGCTTGTCAATCAAAATGAACGTAAAGTTTGGGCTGTGGCTTGAACCGTATAGCCTAAGGTCAAGAGTCGCGCACCATTATTTCTGAGCTAGTATCAGCCTTATCAACCCTTTTTATTAGCTTTACAGAAACTGCAAATGATATATATCTTTTTGGTGATGCAAAATATCTACAAGCAAAAAAAAAGGTTTTAAGATAGTCATAATAAAGTTTTTTTGCCAGTTGTTAGAATTTATTTTCATATATTCACTGTAAGCAACGCTTGCTGGTCGACAGAGGATTTTTCTTTTAGTTTAGACGGAGCAGTGCAAAATTAGGATTTGGGTTAAAAACTTACATTGTCCTTAGTTTCAATCTTTTCTGTCTGTAGGCTTTTACGACACATCAGAGGAGGTAGTGAAGGCATTAGATCCCAATTTTAAAAGACTTCGACAAGATCAAATGGACGAGAAAAGACGTGATGATGTCGAAGAGGTAACTAGAAGTTCACAATACTGAAGAGTTCTTAGTCTGGCAATTCTTAATACTTTATCGCAATATCAGTTTGTAGAATACTATTGCTTTAAGATGTTACATTTCATTCTATTTTTGAAATTCAAAAGTTGGTATTTTGTAGTTGTTTTTCTTGTTACAGTTTGATTTTCGTGTTTGTAATCAATAGGGAGTAATTATAAGCGACCTGTGTGTAATAGTTGACTTTCTTACCCTAGATATCCACTTAAGTTTCTTACCTTAAGTATATTGGTGTTTTACATTTTAATGGATAGAACTGTTAGTATTTTATATATTAGATTCTATTTTTAACCATTGTTCAGATATAACGTCTACTAGAACATAACATTATTGTAGTCTCAAAACACGCTCACCCCACATGTTGTAAATAGATAGAAAGAGCACCCACCGAAGAAATTTCCAAAGACACTTTTTGAACCCGCCAATGGAGTATCTGCTTATTTTTTTCCATTTACTCACCTGAAGAGCACTTTGACTATCAATAAATTACAACTAGGACCCAAATTTAAAACTTTGAAGTTTTTAAGTCCAGCATTACCTTTCCACACCGACCAGGGAATGTTTGTACTTAAGTATTTTATTATTTTAGGCGGAGAGAAGAAAAGACAGACAGCGCCAGAGAAGAAGAAAGGAGAATGATCTTCCTGGAGCAGTTATGCAGATAAACAAGTGTGTATTTTTTAATTCTCTACTTACTTTGACAATCCCATTCATATCGCTGAAAAGCAAGCTTCGTTACCTTCTTTATTCGGATCTTATTTAAGCTTCGAAACTATGTTTGTAAAATCAATTAAGTCTGTTTATCTCAGGATTCATGTGGCTTACTTATATGCAACTCTGACAATTTTTGGCAGGAAGTTTAAGCAGGATTCTTTTTCTATCTATAACTGTGTTATACGTATGCATAAGGTTTTTGAATTATGAATTCCAACTTAACCGCATTTTTTTTAATAAGAAAAATTTGTTTACCTTGACCATAACCTATCTTTCTGCACCATACGATGTAAAAACTGTCAGTCAAAAATTAAGAAGAATTCTCTGACAATAATAGAATAATTCATTTGTCTTCCCATTCACGTGTCTAAATGCGTTTCCCTTCTAGTTTTATTTGCAGCCCGTCTTTTTCATTGTGTTAATATTATCATTCATATTTTAGGATGCTAAATTCTGAACCGGTTAAAAAGAGAAGCAAGCTTGTATTACCTGCACCACAGATTTCTGAGGCCGAACTTGAAGAGGTTTGTGATTGTACAAAGCCTTTTCCGAGATCTGTCCTCAAAAGCAATTATTTTCATGTTATAAGCATATCTAAAGAAAGGCGAATTAGAATGTGTTCCTTAGTTCAGCCAATCAAGGCGTAGTATTTGATTGGTATCAAAAACTGTCGTCAGCTGAAATGTATCTGCGAGCCAGATAACATATTTATTTTCTTCATTTCACTTTTATATATAGAACAGAACTGTTTTAAGTTGCAGCTCAGTGTTTCACTTTTAATGCGATTATCAGGCGCCTGTTGACTGATAAACAATTGCTTGATGATCGTGTAAGCATGAAGCTCGGAGTAGCAGCTTAGAACCGTCCTGTTCTAAACATCAACCTTGACAGCTCTGTCTATACGGCAACGAGCCCTACACAACTGAGTGGTAAAGCAGAACTTAATCTAAAAGTATTTTAGTTAATTATTATTATTATGCATTGAAGCTTTTACCTTCGTTACCTCTCTAGCAAGGATGACTAGTATTGATGTATTGATGTATTGAAACAAATTTACCCTACATAAGTTTAAAAAAAATAAGTAATAGTATTTTTCTTTCTGCCCACTATATATATCGCAAATGTAATATAATTTTGTTTTAATTTTAATCTAAGGTCGTGAAACTAGGATTGGCAAGTGAAGCTGCAAAGGCGATTGTTGAAGGAGAGGATGAAGGTGCTTCCAAAGCTTTGCTTGCTGATTATTCAATCACACCTGGGTCTAACCTTCCACTGCGGACGCCACGAACCCCTGCGCAACAGGATACAGTACTCCAGGTTTGTTGGCTTTTGATCGTTTTTGGGTTCCTCTCCTCGATTTACTTCGCCTTTATCCACATATCGAGATGAATATATTCTTGGTATCTACTCGTTGTCTGGTATGATATCTCAGCATTATTTATTCTAATTTAATCATCTTACTATGCCGACCATGGCTACAGAATTGTTTAACCAAGACATAGAAAACTCATGGTAAATGCTGATTTAAAGTCATTTATCTACCAAAAAACCCACGATAAAAGATCTGTTTTGCCTCACTCAGGGTCATTTGATATCCAACCCGATATATTATGATTTTTGAGGTTTTGTTGCAGGGTCACTCTCTCAATTTTGTTTGATTAAAGATTGCCCCAAAACCAAAGGAATTTAAAGAACTATATATATTTATTTATCAATTTAGAATGATAGAGTTAGATTTTATTTTTAAGACTTTTGTGATATTTCATTTCATAGAGTTTTTTACCATAGCACCTCCTAGTTATCTTCTGAAGGTTTTTTAAAAGTACTATCCAAGAAGCCAACAAATATGCAAAAATGCCTGTTCACTGAGTCATACAAAATACGATGTGAAGATTAAAATAGTAAGGCAATTTATGAAGCTAACGAACCAAAGGTGCGAACAAGTTGAAGCTACATAAAAACACAGGAATATTATTTTCCCAGGGCTTTGTATACGTAATTGTTTAAGCATCTCAGGAGGATGTTTGGGGCTTGGTTTAGTGTTGTCTTTAACCGATATGAAACATGGCTTTGCAAAGAAAACACACTTTGAAACATACGTAAGCTATTCGTTAGAATCTCTTCAAAGTATAACACGTTATAATAATTATCAATAAGATAGAAATTATATATACCCAGTTATTGATCTAAACAAGCTGATTGGAAAACGCGAGCACATGACAGTTAAGGTCGCCGCGAGCACATGACAGCACTTTTGTTGAGTTCCAGTAGCTTTTTTGCCTATGTTCTGTTTAGCTTAACCTCAGTTACTGAAACAATTCTGGGAAACGACATAATAGATAAACTTCTAAAAATTAATTGATCGTGATGTAAAAACGGTTTGCAAACGGACAGTTACCAACTTTCGGCTCATCATTTGCTCTAAAGAACAGGACACTCAGTTCTGAGCTGCTCAAGTTTTCAAATGAATATTTTGTTTCTGTTTTTGTTTTAACTAACATACATCGCATTAAAATTGCGAATTTCCATCTATTAAAAGGTATCGAGCTGTCAAAACATTTTCCAGAGTAACGTCGAAATGCGTCCATTTGTTTTGTATCAATTTGCAATCTTCTGTAGACCATTTCTATAAGCTTCGCTGTGTTGTAGCAATACAGTGTACAAACACGCAAGAAATAAGCATAAGATCTGTTATTTTTTGTAGGAGGCACAAAACATTTTGGCTTTGCATCAAGTCGATACACCTTTAGCAGGAGGGATGAACACTCCCTTGACCCAAAGTGATTTCAAAGGAGCAACGCCACAACATCAAATACAGCAAACTCCGAATAATCTCATTGCAACGCCTTTCAGAACGCCGGGGAATGAAAGTCAAGGTGAGAATGACCGATTAGGCCTACAACATAATAACAGAAACAGTACAGTAATAAGAACTGACAATTCAGACAGATTATTCAGATCTGAGAAACCCTTAATTTCTGAACTCCAAACTCGGACTCGAAAACCACTGCCTGAAACTCAATATTGTCTCATATTTTATCAGTATTTGCTACTCAGTACTTTTTGCTTTGAACAAATTAGTCAAAACACAAGTCTAGGGACAAAGTGCAATAAGAAGAAGACAGGGCTCAGTTAGAGAGTATTTTTTAAGAAGTCACAGCTCATTTTAGTGCTCAAAACTTTGATTTCATGGGAACAACGTAGTTTTTAGTGGTATCAGCGAAGTTTCCAGTAGTAGCAACTTTGCTTTCAGCACTCAGAGCTTGGTTTACTCAAAGGTTATTTTTCTGTGCTCCAAACTTGGTTTTCAGTACTCTGAGGAGTTTTGCAGAGCTCAAACTTAGTTTTCTGAGGTAGCAACTTATCCTTTTCGGTCGTATGAAAGTTACGGTTTTGTAAAAATGTAATATTCAGTGCTTGAATCCTAGATTTCAGTGATAATAGCCTAGTATTAAGTACCCGGAGTTCATTTATCAATACTCAGGGCCTGGTTTTTAGAGCTCAGTTCTCGGGGATTAGTCTGAACTCAGTACTGTGAAAAAACGACCTAAGTAGTGCCAGGGTCGTCGGAACTGCACTTATATAGTAGGTTTCCTTTCAGAACTCTGTTTTAACGGTTGATAAAACAAAGTTTGACAGTCATTAGGGGCTGTAGTCACCCCTTGCCCCTCCATTTCCAACGGACCTAAGTCACATTTCAGAACCCTATAAAAAAATGTGTGTAGAAAAAGTTAGTCGCAACTGGTTTCTCAAAGAAGAAAATTTTAGCTTTTTAAGCCCTCTTAGACCTAAGTATTCAAGCAAAATGAGTCAGTTTCTTACCAGGAACTCAGTTCTTCTTTGCCAGTAACACTCTAGTTTAATTATTCAGGACTGTCACTCTTCAACACGCAATATCTAGGACCAAGTGTATGGTTATTATTCCCTTGTATTGATCGTCAAGTTTTATGTGCAAGTTGCTCTGCACTTGGTACTATGATAAATCATTGTTTTTTAGGCTTTACCCCAAGGGGAATCGCCACTCCTGGGTCTGTCACTGGGGCAACCCCTGGTAGATCAGTAAGAGACAAGCTCAACATAAACAGGGAAGATGCATTTGAGAACGATGCAGAATCAGATTTTGCTTCAAAGCAACAGCAGGTTGGTAGTTTAATTCACTCTTTAATCTGCGTGCTAGCAAGTTACATTTGCACTAATTGGAATCGGATTCAAATATGATGCAGGATGGTATCTTATTAAAACACTGGATGCAGTGCAAACTTCAAACGCACATAGATCTATTTCAGCATTTGAAAATGGCTTTGAAAAAGCAAACATATTCCAGCATTGTAATCCAAGGGGTGTATTTTTTCTAAAAACTTTTTAAAAGTAGTTTTTGCTGAGGACGTTTTTTAATAAACGTTATACACGTTTTATTTTTGTACACGTTACTGACCAGTTGACGAAATATACTACAGTACAACCGATATCCCAAACAAAAACAGCATGAAGCCCTATTTCTCCAATTTCTCGCGTTCCCTTTGAACCTTCTACAATATTTTCACACCGCTGATATCTCGTATCTGTTTTTTATGCATTTTGTCATTTTATTCCATTATATTCCTGCATATATTTTTTAGGAGGAACAGCGAGCAAACCTGAGAGCCGGCTTTGCAAGCCTCCCAAAAGCATCTGAATACGAAATTGTCCTTCTTGATGTAAGTAACAAAGTTATCGATACCATATTTACATACCAATATACCAAACGTGAGACATTTTTGTAATATGACGCAATAGTTTCTCTGAAGATCCAGGTGTTTTGAGCGGACATATTAATGCATGAATATGCTCAATATGAGACATGGTTTTCTTAACATACTGCAAATGTTTTCTATGAGAATGATTGGAACTGAAACTATAGCAGAATGCTGTGAAGTTTTAAGATCTTTGTTTAGTTAGATTAAATCTCAGCAAGAAGCAATATCAGTGTCTTCGATTCTGTTGTGATCTCTCCTGACGTACGTACTTAGGCAATTTCGTTTCCTGAATGATCGTCTGCTGCATTAACTACGTGTGCTTACGATGTACCCAGAACGTGGTTTATAAGGTTGTATAAAGTCACAATACCAAGAATATTTATAACGCAACTTAAAAGAAAACTGTTGCCCACAAGAAGTATATGTATTTTTTTAGGTATACCGTGAGTTGAGAGCTCCTTGCGTTTTTAAATTACAAATTGCTTCAATAAAAAATCTTTCCTTGCTGCTTTAAGAGAACATAACAGGAGATCTAATATTTTTTATTTTCGTTGATATGTTGATGCATTTGTTTCAGGATGCGAATAAAGACGAAGAACCAACTGTAGAGAATAACTTCGTGGAGGATGCAGCAGATATTGATGCGAGAAATGATGCGGTCAGACGAGAGCAAGGTTTCATTTCCCATTAAATATCCTTGGTTATCAATTCAGTTCTTTATAATATTCAGATAACATACAATGATATACTAGTTTGCGTGTCGTACAATATAATGTGACAGTATAACTTGAAATTAAGTTAAAATTGTACGAGGAAAACTTATGCGAATTTTGAAAACGATGCTTTAAACGTAGCCCGTTATCAAGGTCAACGTACAAAGATGGAATACAAAATAATACAAATGCATGACATATCTAGTTACAAATTTGTAACGAGAGCAAATTAACTAAGAAAGAACTTTCGAGTAGTTGAAATACTCGAGAAATAGCCGAGCATAGCCCGTTACCAAGGTCCACGTACAAAGATGTATTGCAAAATAATAAAATTTTGAATGCATATCATATCTACTTACAAATTTTTGATGAGAAGAAATTTACTAAAACAGAGTTCTCGAGTGGGTAGTATACTTGAGAATGAGCCCCAACCCCCGTTGAAGACTATAAGATGATAATTTTTAAATAAAATCGCAAGATGATCAATTTGGGCGTTTGACACGATCATAGGACATTCTATGGGTGTACCAAAATGTTACCCTCTAAAACTAGGAATATCCTTCTTCCTTACCCCATTATCACCCCTTTAGACCACTCAATAGTTACCTGTGCTTCTAGCAGCTGAATCCATAATATAAAGTATCTAACATTGTCTGTAACGCAGACTTGCGATTATAAATTAGACTGACAATTTTGCTGTAATCTTTATGTCTTTTCTTCTTTAGAAATAGCAGAGTTCAAGCGACAATCGCAGGCAGTCCAGAGAGATCTACCAAGACCGTCCGATGTCAATACCACAGTTCTTCGTCCTGAGGATATGTATCCAGATTTGAACGCCTACCAAATAGTATGTAAACTTTAAGATGACTCTACCTTCTTCTTACTTCCTCTTACTTCGTTATTATTCCCTGTAGATGTAGCTCCTATATGCAGAGAATTCTATAAAAAAAACTGGAATACAGTCACAACTATTCCATGCTTTTGATACTTGTACTTAACAACGTAGTCCAAAAAGCTGTCCCCCCCTTGGGAAGTGAGCCAAGCGTGAGATACCTCCCTAAAAGAAAAGAGAGGGCGGGCGGAGAATAGCCAAGTGATATAATTGAAGCCTCCAAAGTAGATGTGTTCTCACTACAAATATTAATTCTCCACATCATATGAAATTACTTTTTACTTCTTTAACAGTCAACTTTAACAGCATTGAATTTATGGATTGGTTTTACAATGAATGTTTCCTAATCGATGTTACTATGCCAGGAATATATTCTAATTATCTCGACAGTTGCCCGATGATCGCATTAAGCGTGAAACTTGGAGTAGGAGCTTAGAATTATCCTGTTCTATACACCAAAAGCGTGTCAGCTCTGCCTATACGGTACTAAACACTTAATGACAGACCAGTAAACAGTAATTTCCATTAATTGTTTTATAACATAATTCATATATATGTATATGTTGTGGTCTTAATGCGTTTACTGTTATCGTTAGGCTGAAGAGATGATAAAAGAAGAGATGCTGAAAATGGTGCGGAATGATGTCGTCGTGCACCCCAATAGTATCCAGCAGAGCCTTCTGAATTCAAAGAAAACCAGGGGGCAAGCACAGAGCATCATTAACATGAACCGTAATGCTTTGAAATCTGACCCATTGGAAAAGTTTACGGATGAAGAAATCGGGAATGCAAAGAATCTTTTGCAAGAGGAAATTGAAGCAGTGAAAAAGATCATGAGTCATGGTGATATCAGCCTGGATGTTTATACAAAAGTGTGGGAAGAATGTTATGGACAGGTATAACCCATTGGATCTTTGCATTATTTTATCTAAAAAGCGTAATTGACTGCATAAGGAATGCAATAAGAATATTTTTTTAGAATTATTTTCATATCGCACTTATTCATCAAGAATACTTTTGAGTCATCATATCAAATAATTTTATCTTATTATCTAGATATTCAAAAACAACACCCTATCAGCTACTTCTAGATTACAAAATGGCCTAAATTACTTAAAAATGGGTTCTGAAAAGACCTGATTGCCCTAGGCTAGCTCAGCATGCAAAATGAAGCAAACCTAAGTATTTATTAGAAAAAAATCATTTATGTAGCTGTGTTTTTAATTTTGTTTTGTTACGTGTTATTCATGTTTATGGCTGCGGAGTTGCCATGGTATCAAGCACGCCGTGGTATCGTCCTTGTAGTGTAGTCAGGTAGATTCTACATAGCATAGTGAGTAGCTTGTAATTGTAAAATTTTATATTGAATATAAAAAGGGGTTCAAAAATCCTAAATAGCTGCTTTTCTTAGGGATCATGCTTTAACAGCATTTAATCTGCCTTTTTTTTAAGAGGCACTCTTTCCAAATCAGAGGTAGTATACTGTAATATAGATATCAGAGCAAGTATAGCAGGAGATGCTTTATATCACCTATTTAGTTCTATGGTGATTTAGTGTTTATCTCTCCACTTACTGTTTTCAACTATGCCTTGTTCTTTTAAAAGTTACAAGTAAACAAGTTTTCAAATGTTTCCAGAAACAAACTGCTGACACAATTATTTCAAGGGGGTCCGCTGCCTTAAGCTGAGTTATTTTTGTAACTTTTTTGGTGTTTCTGTTTTAGCTACTTTTGTTGCCATCGCAACAAAGATATACAAGAGCTGCTTTAGCAAGCAGAAAAGAAAGGCTGGAATCCGTGGAAAAACGACTTGATGTAAGTTATGTAGTTTTTTAAAGACTTCGTTTAGGAAAAAAGGACTGTTAGAAAGAGTGTTACATACATCAGCCCCTACGCTCTGGAACAAATTGTCTGTGGAAATTAGATGATCTCAGAATTTTGAAACCCCCAAAACAACATTAATAATGTATTTGTTTCATAATTTTCTTAGTAGCTGAACGCCATCTTAGCTTTACTGTCTTTAATTTTGAATATAGGCTCATTCTTTTTATAAGAAACTTGTCTAGAAGAAACCGAGCCCAAAAATGACTAAAACATTGAGAAACCTTATTACTGATCACCTAGTCCCGAGCTTACTTTCTTATGAAAATAAAAGTGTTTGTTTAAATTGCAGTGCTCTACAAATGCATTTTTATGAATAATATCAGTGTTACCTATACAGAAAATTTTGCCGGAAGAAGACAACTGAATTATTTTTGAGAAAGAATTGTTTTTCTGAAAATGGTTTTAAAATTTTGGATTTTTGGCTTAAGAAAGTCTAAACACTTCTTTGGATTCTCGCGTGTAATTTTGGAGCTTCTTTGCTTCCTATTATGTGAATAACTATTTGGAAAAACATTCAGCGCTATGAATGTTTCATAAAAGCTTTATAAAGTTTTAAAATGATAATAAAGAATGATGAATCTTATTGTTAATAAGACTCGAGTTTTGACTTTTATTTCAATGTTTTAGATATTTCGTGGGCATATGACGGAAGATGCGAAAAAGGCAGCAAAAATTGAAAAGAAGCTAAAAGTTCTCCTTGGTGGATACCAGGTATGAGATGTTCTCAGAAAAAATAAGGTTATTTCTGAAAATTAGTAAGACTGCAAAGGCGAGAACTTTTCCTTATATAGTATCTTCATTATATTCTTTTCCTGACTAAAAGTACGAAAGTTTACAAAAATCTACGAAAGTTTACGAAAGTCTACGAAAGTTTTCGAAAGTCTACGAAAGTCTACGAAAGTTTTCGAAAGTCTACGAAAGTTTACGAAAGTTTACGGAAGTTTTACGAAACTTTGTAATGCAATCCAGTTGAATCAACAGTGATGAACTACGTAGCATCGAGCAAAAATATTCAATTTAAAACATCTCAGTTTAAAGCATCGCTTTTTAATGAACAAATCAGAGTTACAAACAGTTGATCACCAGATATTTTAATCGAGTTTAATCGAGATGAAATTTGTCTCTTTCTAGACTCGAGCAGTTGGCCTAACCAAAAAGCTGAGTGACATCTCAGAACAGGTACAGCAAACGCACGTGGAAGCAGAAACTTTCAATATGCTCAAAGGTCAAGAAACAAATTCAATACCACGAAGAATTGAGGTTTGTTTCTCATTTACTCACAGTTCTGTTTCATGGGCCCAAATATCTATTTGCCCTCAACTTTTTTTTGAATTTTTTTCTGTCAGATTCGTTTTTCTTAATAGATTTTCCCCTGAAATTTCTTATAACTTTCTTCGTACATTTTTTTGCCCAGATTTTTTTTAGATAGAAGGATTATTTGATACGGCTTTTCATGTTTAAAAGATAAATTGCATCGCCCACCTTGAATAAAGCAAAAAATTAAAAAATGTCCCCAAACCTTAGAGTAAGTTAAGAATCTCACTTTGGATTTGCAAATGCTTACCCTCTGTAAACCTAAACGTCTTCTTGTAGTCATTTTTCAGAGGTTTGGTATGTATTCCTTGACATAATTTAATACTACCCCGAGGCAGTCACTTGCATCGGCGTTTTAAGAGCAATTAACAAGCTCCTTATGAAAGAAGAGGGTACTTGTATTGCGTCTATCACATGATGATTAAAGAACCACGCCTGAACAAAACTCATATTCTTAATCCCCTCATATCGTCCATTTTCATACATCTGGCCCTTATTTATCATTACCTTTTTCACATCTAATCTTCCTCTTCATATCTTTCATATCTAATTGTTCATATTTAATCCTTTGAGCTCTGGTATGACATCTAGAGAATTTCTCAGGTTCATGTTCTTTCTTTTATGAATCAGGCTCTTTATTGCTTGATACCTTTATTATTAATCCGTTATAAATGTAAGACTTTGTTTTCGTCTAAGTTTGCCTTTTATATTGCTTCCGAAATTCTTCATTTTTAGGCAATCAAAGAAGACGTTGAGCGACAGACTGAGCGTGAGAAAGCATTGCAAGCAAAATTTGCTGATTTGAGCTTCGAGAAGGAGAGGTTGCTTGAAGAACTTCGTATACAAAATGGACGTAATTGAATGTTTTAACGCGTTTCAAGAAAGCTTGCAGTTTTGTAGCTTAACTAGCCGCCTAGATATCTTTGAAGTCTCAACCTATGCGGAAGATTATATTACTTTGCCTCAATTAGAAAATTATATGACATTGAATCTACGAGACCGCTTTCAGCAGCTATGTAAAGAGATAGCTGAGTCGAAAGTTTGGAGAAACTTTTATTCAAGTTTTGTCATTTCTCTCTATCAATCTGTTTTCTTTGTGGAAACAAATTTTCGATAAAAAAGTTTTAAGTTAAAGTGGGTTGAAGCAGTCATTTGAATACCAACATAGTACCACTGTAGATTGTGATGTCGTTATGACTCAATTTCTTTTCATTTGCAGTTGTAGGCCCTAGAGGCTAGGGTGCTTTCATTTACAACGACCAAAAAAAGTCCCTAATTTACCATTCAGTGACGTGATTTCAATTTATCTAAATTTCGTTAAGAACAATCAGTCACCTCATGTCACTCCTAACTGACCAACAAAATTCAAAATTTCTGTCAGTGACGCCACTTTGGCGGAAAATAGTAAGAGCAATGTAATCCAGCTTTTTGCTAAGGCCAGTTATCTAGCTCCTAGTGTGGCGATACACATTTACATTGCAAAAAAACTACATAATCTTATGACGTAGGTACAAGATACTATAAGTATCTGTTTTGATTTGCTTTCATTGAATTAAAGAAAATATGCTACCCTTGTTGTCTTTCCCTGCAAGCTGTCGTGCGTCAGAAAGCTGTCAGAAAGCTGTCAGATAGGGCTGGGGAGGTTTCGTCCCCTAAAGAAGTTTCAGGTGGGAGTACGAGCTTTCGAATGGCCTGTGCCTGGAATTAGCAGTTAAATGTAAGCGCATCATAGTTTGGAATTAGATGTATTATGTGATATCTTTGATAATAATCTTTCGTATTTTACTGTAAACATACTAAGCACCTTTGTGAATAGTGGATGGTCTACAGAGTTTGCAACCCAGGCACAGCCTATCATTTGCTTTACTTGTTTTGTTTGTTTGTGATTTCGCATGCTTTCTGGGTGAATCAAAATACACAACAGTATACCAAACAAAAACAGCGTTTAGATTTGCCGATCAGTCAGCTCCTCTGTTGGGGTGGTAGACTTGAACCTTTTGCTATTTGGCAATATTTATTTAAATGCTACGAACCCCTCATTTCACTTTTGTCGAAATGCATCCTCCTATGTTTTTCCCTTTAAATACTGTACGGTGCTACATATGAAAGTTTAGTCTGCAAATGAACTCTGCAACCATCAGTTCTAATAAGCAGTGCAATTCTTTACAAAGCTACACGAAACCACGAATGCATATCGTACTTTCAGAGGGTTGTATTTTACGTATTTTGTTTAAGATGCTATCTAGATGAAACTTATAATTCATGAAAAATTTAGAAATTATCTGGACTGGAGACAGGATAAAAAGAATTACTAGGGTTAAAATTCCTGCCTTGTTCCTGCATGACCCATCCATTCTTCAATTTATCCTTCATATTGACAAGTTTAATAAGGTTTGCAATATAGCAGTGCTCACTGGAAAATATCCTGGAGGTACTTGTGGTTTGTTATTGCTCTCATATAGCGTGCTAATCTATATTTGATGGGATCAACTCGTGTCATATCTGATTCCGTATTACGTCAAACGTACCCTTCTTACGTCGAATAAAAATACCGATCAACTGTCCTGAAAGTCAACTTGCTAAATGCATGGATACATTAAGACTATATGTTATGTTTAAGGATTTGTTATCTTCGGTTATTATGTAGTTAGATATCATGGACTCCGACGCAGGTTGGAAAGTGAGTGCTCCAAGGGAAAATTTCACAATCATAATCTTTGTCGGAGGTCCTGAATATTTCATTGATTCTGTTGCGTGTTTATGTCACGAATTAGAAAATAGGGAGCAGGAAAGTATATGGTATGTACCAGGGTTGCCAGATGGAATTTACAAAAGGCAAATAAAACGGGTGACAAACTCAGGCCAAAAGGCAGATAAAAAGGCCAAATTAAAAAATTCCTCAAGAATACACAGCGCAAAGTGAAGTTTATATTTTCATGTATGAGCCTTTTAGATAATTTCCAAGCTCAAGCAAGAAACTGAAAAACTTTCTCCTTCAAAAAAATTTCTTTGCTAATTGTTAGGTTAACTGATGATATCTGGATTTGAATTTACATCGTGCAGTATTGAGCTTTCAATTCATAACTTGTTTGTTACTTAGATTATTAAAGTTTATATCAAACAAAGGAATGACCTCATAATGTTTAAAAAGGCCAAGAAAGGCCAGATTTAAGTAGTAGGCCAAAAACAAATTTCCAGGCAATTTAACTCTTAAAAAGGCCAAAATTGGAAAATTTGGCCCGAAAAAGTCCAGTCTGGCAACCCTGGTATATACTGTATGTCAGTCAAAAAAAGATTTTTGAATCGTTTTAAAGGAGAGGAGAAAATCTCTTTGTTAAAATGTTTCCATATAGGCTAATTTTGGTTTTCATTCAAGATCGGAGTTTTTGTACCAAGAAACACGAAATAATTTTGGAGACGTGTCTTGTGGTTTTCATTAGGAATTACTTGCAGCCCTGTGCTCGAATGCTATTCTTTCTTTCTATGAGCACCTTGTGTTATGGAGATGAAAGCGAGACAATAAAAAGAATGACAACTATTGACAACATCACAAAGGTTTCTCTGGTTCCGAAATCACAGGCTTACCCTCATCCGGTGCAAACGCCACTGCATTTATGCAGGCAATCTGTAACGTGGTGTAGTTTCTCCCGATGAGCTTGCCTTTTGGATTGTGATTCAAGGCAAAGGAAGTTTACAGTTGTATTTCACGACAAAATGGAAGACCGGTGAAAGTGTAGGCCGATTCTTGTCAATCGAAACATGGAGTCACCATCGCCAGGTAGCAGCCGTGATACCGACTTGCCAAACGGGCATATTATTTTGAATGGGTCTGGTTCTGGAATAAAGCGGCGACTATGTAGTTTAAGCAAATTTAATGCAGAGGAAAATGCAAAAAAATGCAAGAACTGCGGGAGCAAATCACCAGTCAAACGTGCTGGTCCCTACTTGCTAGGCCCAAGACTTGGAAATTCGCCAGTCAGGAGTATTGTGCAGTGCCTAGCACGCAAGGAAGGCACAAATGATTTTTATTCAATAAAACTGCTGACTCTGGAACAATGTGGCAAAGAGACACAGGATGGAAAACAGGGGAAAATGTTACTTCACACGGAATATTCGCTTTTATCTCTGCTTCATGACCAGGTTGGCGTTGTACATCATCATGGAATGTTCCAGGATGAGATTTTAGATAAGAACGTGCAAGAATTGCCTAGGACTAAAGAAGATTTGCAGTTTTCCATGACAAATGTGCCAAGGATTCGGAAAAGATTGTGCTTGGTTTTGGACTGTTTAAGCGCCCACGATTACGGAAATAGCACCGCCGACCTCATAAATCTGCAACATTACGTCATCCGGGAGAAAAAATTATCAGAGCGTGAGGCAGTTGTTATCTTCCATGACATTGTTAAGGTTGTCGAAAGTTTACATCAGGTAAACGTGCGTCAGCAACATATCACGTAGACTAGAATCTTGTTTATTTTCAGCCCTTATATGTCCTCCCATATAATAAAGTTTTGATACTAAATAACAACAAACCATAACGGGAAGCATTTCAGTATAAATCACAATAAGACACTTCCTAGCAACCAGAAGCTGTTTTGTTGAGGATGCAAACGCCAAATGAAGCAGCAAAACTTTGATGTTTGAAAAGTTTTTACTTATGAAGAAAATTCAGTGCCAAAATAGAGAGTTTTTGAGTTGCCTTGCTTGTATTTGTTATATCAGTGTTACAACACTTTCCTATATCCACTAATGCAGAAAATGCCCCCATTCCCTAGATGGAAAAAGTTATTGCTTTTTAGCAACACTGAATCTTCAGACGTTTGTAGATTAGTACTCATCATCAATTGGAAAATCCTGTAAAGTTTGTTTGTTGGAAGTTGTGTAGCTCAATCCTTTTATATGTCAAGGTTCTTGGTCTATTATCTATTGCTCCAATGTTCGAAACTTCGAAAATATAATAAAAGCAATAAAGAACATCATCCATACTAGGTACTTCATTAATGCCTTAAATACTGTTGGCGTAATCCCCAATTCTTAAACGCTGTTGCCGTACTCTACAATCTCTCAAGATTTTACTGTACCCCAGGCTGAAAAACATGAAAATGCTTGGGCTAGCACATGACTGGCAATATCAGCAAAGTCATGTGTATTATTCTATAGTTATGTTTATATGAGTGTTGTTGCTCACAGCTCAAATAAAATTGCTTGCAAGCAACAGCTGATAGTGTGTTGTTGGACATAGCTATGTGTAGCCAAAATCATGCAAGTTTTCCGAACTCGACTGTACTAGCAGTTTGGCCATATTGTATTATTGCCAACAGTCACACCTAAGGAACCCAATAAATCTGGAGATCTACACCCCAACAACTTTTTAGCGCCTCCTTGTTCATACAGATAATTTGTTTTAAGAAAGCACACTTGTCATTTACTTGCTCACCCTAGCAATTGGAGTTTGAAACATTATTAGAAGACCTACTTATAAAACCTCAATAAGTAAAAGCCTTTATGATGATAATGATAATGGACAACCAAATGCTTAATCTGTAAAATCTCTTTTGTGTCTGGACTATGACTTTCCTTGTAAGGGAATACTTAAAATTCTATCTTGTCTTTATCATAAAATAGGCTTTTTGATGATCGTTAGGGTTGTCAGATATCCAGAGAAATATTTAAAGAAGCAAATGTTTATTTCTGAGGCTAGAGATGAGGAGAAATTTGCATATGCAACTTAAAATCATCTTGTCATACACACCAAAGCATGTACAACTCTGCTTATTCAGCATCAAGCACTATATGACAGACCACTTTGAAGCAAATTATTTTGCAGGGCTTTAGAGGAAAGTGACAAGGCTGGCTTGCATTGTAGCATCAGGGACTTTTAAACATATTAACTAGAGGGCAATTGCCCCACCAGCCCCCCACGACATTGTGTTAAACAATAGGTTATTGACTTTCAATTGTGTCAAACAATAGGCTATTGTCCTACTTTTATATCAACAAAAGCTCTGGCCAGTATTGGAAAGTTTCTTATCTGTTGAAAGTTTGTTTCATTTTGACTGTTAAAGATTTTATTTTCATTCACTTTGTTTTTCTTTCAGAAAAATATTGTACATAGAGATCTGAAACTGGGCAACATCGTTTTAAATAGAAGGTATAATTGTTTGATATTTTCATATCCAAAAATAATTTGGCTTCTATTCTTTGTTTGTAATTCTCTCAGATTTGGTCTTGATGACACCATTCTGTGAAAAAATTCATTATACTCCCAAACAAATCAAAAAGGGAGAAATTGGTTTTAGAAAATTTTCAATAAAATTGATTTAAGAAAATCCAACTTAAATATACGAAATTGATACAAGCATGCATGGTTTGGTGTTTAGCTTAAAATAAAAAAAATGGTATTGCACATTTTTATCACATTATTAAGAAAAAATGATTTGATATTTTGAACCACTAGGCAAGGTAATTTTCTGTTATTGATGAATTCCAAGAATTTAGATGCAATTTAGTTTTCTAGAAGAGGAAGTAAAGTTATTAATTGTTTCTTTTAAAAATTAGTTCCTTAACCTAATTGGTCAGATTTTCAGACATAGTAGGAAAGAATTATACCACATGTCTTTAATTGTTGAGACATGCAATTATATCGTCTGAATAAATATTATGTTTTATCATTTTAATCATTAATGTGTTATTTACTTATCTTCTTTCACTTTTTATTAGATTAAAGCCGATTCAACACAAAATTGTAGAACTTTTGACTGTATTGACTTACTGTAGACAACACATTGCCAAAATCAGACAGCACATTACCATTGTGGAATACTGTTTCCATATCTACTTGTAGTTTATAATATGATTTGCAACCTCATCATCAGGGTCATCCAAAAGCTACAAAGCACTTAAGACTAAATCCCTTTGTTGTAAAACAAAGCATGTCCACTGAAATTTGCTGGTAGAATTAGCAGCCTTTTTGCAATACAGCAAAAATTGGATTTCTCATAAGAGGAGGCATTTCAATATCCAATTAAAACTTTTTCTGCTTATGATAGGAAGTATGCTGGATTGATGTAGGTATGTGCTGTATAGGTATCAAATCTTTAAGCCTCACATTTCCAGGCCTTGACTTTGATTTGTTACTTACAATCTACTGAATCCACTTTTTCTGGCTCATTTTATCTCACCAATGTTGTAATGTATGTAAAAATTTGTTTGATTGTTTAACAATTGTTTTGGATAAGATTTGTACTTGTGACTTCAAACCTTGCTGTTAAGTATTCTGCATGCCTAACTAGGAATAAGACTGGGCTAGTTGAGCAAAATGTGCCCCTAGAGCTAGCGACAAGAATTGAAAATTAAATATCCATTTAAAACAGCAAATGTCTTGTCTGTTTCTTGAGCTCTAGAGTTCAATTGCCTTAAGCTATTTGTAGTGTAGACCAGAAAATTGCATACCTTTCTTCTTTTGTTCTTAGGACAAAAAAAATAACAATTACAAACTTCTGCCTTGGCAAGCATCTGATCAGAGAAGATGATTTACTTCGGGATCAGCGTGGAAGCCCTGCCTATATCAGCCCAGATGTCCTCAGTGGTAAATGTTTATTCTTGATTTTCCAGTCATTTTAATTCTTGTAGTTATATCAAAAGGGCTAATGCCAAATATCTACTATCAATTTGAGAAAACCTGCTGTAAATGAGTGTTTGGGTTATTTTATGGATTTGATTCTACTTGTACAGATACTACTTTTATTCTTGCTAACCTTGGTCGAAAAAAGATCATGGCCCTGTTTGGCAGGGTACAGTATTAGTTTAATTTTTCTTGAGAATGGTCAGAAATACTTGCTTCGTGTATCATAAAAGTTTTCAGATTTAAGATAATTTGCATTTTCATTTTGCTGTTTTATATTTATTAGCTAGTCAATCGGATAAATTAGTTAATTAGTCAACTCCTTTCATTTACTCATTAACATAAAGATGCTATTTGAAATAGATATAATTCGATTGTTGAAAACATTATAGGTAGTTAAAAAAGTGCTGACGGACACATGAAAACAGCCCCAAAGAGCTTTCGAGCAATATACTCTGTCTCACTTGACTTAACTTTAAATGTATCATAACAAGAACTAGTAAGTCATTTATGTTATTGTCTTTATATTTACTTGTTTATTTATGTTTTAGGCGCGCCGTACTCCGGTAAAGCAAGCGATATGTGGGCTCTTGGCGTGGTGCTTTTTACAATGCTTTATGGCCAGTTTCCATTTTATGATAGCGTTCCACATGAACTGTTTCGAAAAATCAAAGCTGCTGATTTTAAAATGCCAAAGTATGACAATTGCGTTTTCTGAATCTTCTTCATATCGCCCATTTATGACTTTCTATCATACAGATGTTCTGAGGCTAGTAAAGATTAGAAGCAATGCTACATAAAGCCACTTCATAAGAATGTCAATTTTCGAACTCCCTCTGGTTATAAACATGACATAAAAATTGTCTGTCCCGAGCATTTATTGCCTAAATAATTCTTTTAGACAAAATAATTATTCATCACAAGCCGCCATAGCCACTAGACTCTTAAACCATCAAATCTGACAGAAAAAGTTTTCCCAAAATAAGCCACGTTATTACGAAAACCTCAAGATTATTTCTCTTGACGAGAAAATAAGAAGTTTTTTGAGTACTTCTTAATCTGTTGTTTTTGCAAAGAAATAAAGAAGCTAAACAATCAATGGCGTATTTCAAGAGATCGTTTTTATCAAATCCACTACAAATTCAAATAAGAAATGGTGCTTGAATTCAAAACGAAATCAGTTCTTCAGAATACTGAAATGAACCTTCGAAGTCAGTGAGAAATCGTGTTTGTTAATCTAGTGTGGTTAAAGCAAATCTAGTGTAGGATAAATTCCTTCGAATCAATGCAATAACAAAATTCTTCTGTTGTTGGGAATCTCAGAATTCTGGTCTTCCTTATTTGACGGAGCACGAGCATCCACCTTAAGAAATTTTATTCTAATTCAGATCCAGAAGTTTAGTTCTATTGACATTGCTATATCTCTTAGCTTCTTATGCTCCTACTGCATCTTAGATATTTTCCAGCTTTACTGCAACTACAATTAATCCTTTACTTTTCCTATTCTAGCGATGGAAGAGTCTCAGAGGAAACTGCTAGCCTAATACGAGGACTGCTTGTCTTAAATCCACGAAAACGTATGACTGCCAGCGAAGTATTCATTGCTCTCGAAAGGATTATGAACATCTGGTGCGTGTTTATTTTACATTTCTTTCTTAGTAGATTGTGGAATAGATCACCTTGCATGTAACTTTACATCTGTCTCAAGCAAATCTATAATTGAAAACAAGCTAAAATTTTTAAAAATTATTTTGGAAAAAAGGGTTGCAAGGATCAAGACTAGTTGAACACCCCCAATTCCTGACCAAGGTTTTAAAGCATAGTTTTCTTGACCAAAGGAAGGTTGAAATCTTTTCTGGCTCTGTTTTTGTTGGCGAATTCCTGATTTTTTGGGAGGAAGCTTTTTCATAAACGCTTCTCATAAAATTCGTTTTACGATATTTTTTAACTAGAATTTCGGTCTTGTGTTGAAAGTAGTCTTATGGGCTCCATTTTATGGGTAGTGGGTGTGCATTCAGACTTGGAAATGGACCATTCATAGAATATCCAGACAGTGGCGTCACAGCCTTATTGTACGCCCCCCCCCCCCACACCTGCAATAATCATGCGCAGGCAGAAAAACTATAAAAAATTTTTACATACAGCGCTCCTGCACCCCCTAGGCGTCTGTGCCCTCTGGAGTGCAGGGGATGCAGGAGTTGTTATGACCCCCGTGTATCCAGATATTGTTCTGCTCCGTACGGTAGATAAAGATCTCTTCCCAGGCAACGGTTGGGCTGTTTATAAACAGAGGCAGTGTTTAAATGCAATAATTTGGTTTTTGCATTATTGATTCAGCCGGCAACTGTTGAGTTCAACCTTAGATATACCGTTAAATGTATGATTTAAAGCTTTTAAGACATTATTGCTTGAATTTAAGGTTCTCCTCTTCATCGCTAACCGCACAAATTCAGGTTGTACCTGATATCGATAGTGACGATGCGAAGGCGCAATCGAAGACAGCATCTTCATCTTCTTCAAAGAGTTCTTCAACGAGCAGCCAGGGGCTGGAAATAAAACTGAAGAGGTTGCAAAATGCTCTAATCAATCGACCTGAAAGCCCTCCGACATTCTCAAGTGTTGTTGTGTCTCAGCCCCTTCAAAGGCAGCCTGTAATTCGTCGACTGAATCATGATGCCAGGCCTTTGACTGCAGCCGAAGCCATCACTCACAGACATTTGTTTCCAAGTTAACCATAATCGAATGTTTTTGATTTCCTTTCAGAAAAATTTTGTGAATTTTTGTAACATATGGGGTGCCTTGGCCTTTTTAAAGTAATCAGTCATCAGCCAATCAATCGCAATCGTCATCATCAGCGACATCATCAGCGTCATCATCAGCGTCTTTCATCTCCATCATCAGTCATTCATCTTCATCATTTAATCATCTTCGTCGGTCAATCATCATCATCAGTTATTTATTCTCATCAGTCAATCAATCATCGTCATCATTCAAACATCATCATCATTCAAATATCTTCATCAGTCAATCATCTTCATCAGTCAATCATCTTCATCAGTCAGTCATTTACGTCAGTCATTCATCTTCATCAGTCAATCAATCATCGTCATCAGTCAAACATCATCATCAGTCAGTCATCTTCATCAGTCAATCATCTTCAGCAGTCAATCATCTTCATCAGTCAATCATCATCATCAGTCAATCAACTTCGTCAGTCAATCATCACCATCAGTCAATCATCACCATCAGTCATTCATCTTCATCAGTCAAACAATCTTCGTCATCAGTCAATTTTTACCATCATATGTTACCATCATCATCAGTATCATCATTTGCATCAGAATCATCACTCTGTCTCTTATAATAGCTCCTTTTAGTTGACCTTTTTACCAGACAGTTTTGAAATCCGTTTAAATGCAGAGACAGGCATTGTGAACGTAGCACTGTTTCCTCTCCTGGTGTGAATAAAGAATGGTTCCAATTAATTTGTATATATAACTACCAAGCATAATTTTTATTGTCTATGGTAAAGAATTACTTACATCTTCGTAGTATATAAGTTCAGTGCAATTTTCGTTCATTCATCTGTTATCTTAATCATAAAGTATTTACTTTTAAAATTTTCTTCATGGGATAGCGTTGATGCAAGGATTTGCAGCCAATACTATCATGAAGTTCTAGAAGAAAATGTCAACCCAAGCCGGGTCTTCTAACCACTGCTTTTGCACTTCATTTTTAACTGTCATAGGCCTGTTATACTTACATGTATTAGAAAATTGTTTTGAATTTTTATACTTACATATTCGTCCTCGCTTTATGATAGAAAAAGAATTCAGATTTACAGGGGTGTCCAAGTTATTGCTGGGGTTGGCCATAGACAATACCTTACTGTACAGGCGGGCCAGATGCAAATTATCGGCAAATTTTGCTTTGAACATGAAAAATTGTATAAATGTTTCAAGATCAGACAGATGAAGAAAGTATCAATATGAAATGTTTTATTTTCTGGTTGCAGAAAGTTTATTCACACCGCTTATTAAGCTGGCAGCTTGGACATAATCAACTTCATAAGAGAAAACGTCTCCTTTCAAATCAAATAAGTATGCCTATGATTAGAATGCATCTTGGTGGGTGGGAATGGTACATTATATAGACATGGCTTATGGACTACATTTTCAGATATTGATTGGCTTAGCACAGGGCACAGATACCGTAATGCTTCGATTAAGCGCCTCCTTCTTTAAAACACCGCCTTTGAACAAAGGCCCCCTATTTTAAAATAATTTTCAATAAACGCCCCCTCTATTAAACGTCCCCCTCGAATAGACGCCCCCGTCTACTCGTATTCGAAACACACAGAACAGTAATTAACAATATACTACCATGCTTCTTCAGCTTTTTTTTCGCGAAAAAATAAGGAAATTTACGATATACGCCCTTCTTTCTAAATTTCAACGTTACAGTGGGAAATTTTGTCTTTCTTTTCAAAATTTCTTTCTCTAAAACTTGCGAGTTTATTACATCTGGAGTTGTTACTCAGAGTTTCACGCTAAGTGCGATCATCATTAGATGTTTTTTGAATATATTGCCTAGGAAGAGTGAACAAATTCAATAAACGCTCCCTCGAATAGACGCCCCCTAACATATCAAAAAATTTGATAAAAGCCCCGGGTGTTTAATCGAAGCATTACGGTAATCCCATCGCGGGCCACAAACTATATCATTATCTCCTTTAATGTGAAGTGTTTTACCCTGTAAAATTTTGCAACTTGTTCTTTGTCTCTGAAAATCGAATAAACTCACGGGTGTTGCTTTAATGCTATTGTATTTCGCCTAAAAGTTTGACTGTTAAGTTTCTTTAATTAAATTTTAACTCTCGTTGTTCCTTTATTTCCAATGTATTGTCGTGTTTCTTCTAGAGGCATGTATAGTATTTGCTCTTTAGGCTATGGGTTTGTTAGCACCGTTGACTTTGTACCTAGTGGCTGGCGGTTGGCATATTCCAAATGAGGTTATTTCAATCGTTCTTGGTGCTGAATTAAGCCCAAATTGGGCCTGAAGCTGTAGCACAAACAATGCCTATTGTTGGGCTTATTCAGCTTCAGGTAAATTGTCGTCTATATTTATCTGGGGCAATTTCAGAAGTTGGCCTAGTGCTGTGTACCCACCCTAGTCCGGCCCTGATTGTCCCTCTCAACTAGATTGAGCCATCCTTGTGCCCGCCTCAGGTGCATAGTCGTAATTATTTTGAGTGCATCTTGTATCCTATTGATTGGGATAAACAAATTACTACAGTTCGTTAAATGGACTCGTTTTGTAATAACCTAGCACTTTAATTAGAGTATTTTCATAAACATTCGTGAATGAAGATGTATTTTGTGTTTTTAAAGTTAGCAATAATATGTTGATGCTAACTTTAGTCGCCTCGAATCTACTGTGCACTGATTCTTCGTGTTATTGAGTTTTTGACAATAATAATAGACATGCTTAATATTGTGCCTAAAGGTGATATGTTGAGCAAAAGTTTCCTTATTTAGACCATGAATATCATTATAGTAACCCATTAACAAGAAAGATATGGGCAGATGACACTTACACAATTCATGTTTAATTTTACAGACTAGAAAAGCTCAAATAATTCATTCAATAAAAGTGTCAAGACATCATCTTGGCTCTATTAGAGCCCAGGCTCCGCCTAAACGGCGCGAACTTCAAACTCAAGTTAAGGTTATCCAAATAAAATGTACAAATATTCTTGCTCAAGGCTTGATATCTAGAACGTTGTGGTGGAAGCATTTTAGTTAGACAGAAACAATTTCTATTTAATTGTTTCTGTTTTTGCAAAAATCCAACGGGAAATTAAAATCAGTGTTCGAAGGCAGTTATCGTAGTATCAACTTTGAACGAGTTTAACAATCCCGAACGAAGTGTTTGGAATGGTAAGTTTGTTTTTCATATCCTTCGTCAACTTTGTTTCTATCTTCAGTGTTTCTTACTTTGGTTTATTTTTTTTCTAGCAACAAGATTTTCTTGTCTTAGTAAAGTATCTACTGTTTTAAGTTGTTCGATGTTTACAAATATTGTCCAGTACTGATAAGCACGGAAATTTTGGCCTAGGCATCTCAGACAAAGCATTTCTCGTCGAATCGTTCGAAAAAGGTGCTGTTATAGAAGCACAATGGGAGCCAGAGAAATACATTCGGATACAGCTTGGATAGAAGCATTTTAAACGATAATCCTGTCGCTTGTGTTATTTACAGGTAGTTGCTTGACAGTAATATTTTCATTAACGTTCAAAAACCAAGATATTTGAACTCAACATGCAGCATCACTTTTGTGTGAATTCTTTAAAAGCAAACGGAAGTCATTGTGGCCACATATTATATATCTTGTATCAATTGATTCATAAGGTATGTATATTGATTAATTTGTTTTGATTTATTTTTTCCAACTTTGAATATACTCGGATACTTTCTTAAATGTAAATTTCTTTTAGTAAAGTGCCACTTCCAGTGGTGCATCGAAGGTGCACCTTGTCCCTTCCATAGCTAAATTTAAAAATATTACGCTTTCACAAGATATAAAAACTTTGCTAACATGTAGCGTTTTTAAAATCAATGGCTGAAATTTGTGGATTGAATCAATTTAGCTAGGGAATCCCCTCAAAATTGTGTTTCAATCTTCATAAAAAAGATTTCTGCAATCAATGTACGCTGAAAATAGCAGTTGGTGTTAATTTCAGCAGCAATTTTCGAGCAAAGATGAGCTGACAAAAAAAATTCACTCACTCAATTTCAACTGTTGATTTCATTAATATTTAACAAGCTTATGTTGCAATAGGAATGAAAATGTAACTATATGTTTTATCTCGAAGGTGCTCCCGTCTTGAAATTCTTGGAAATAGGCTATGGCAACTTCTAGAGATGTTAGCGGTAGCAACTTTCCACACAGATACCTAAGGAGTTGCAACTAGGTATTGCTATTTCTCGTTGTTTATTTTTAGATTTTAGTTATTGATTTGTAGCCTATCTAGGGGAATATATTTGTTAGAGAGACTCGCGCAAGTTAGAGTGACAGGGAGCCAAAAGCAAATGAAAGACTCGTGACTTGAGATTTTACAAAAAAAATATATGCTGTTTTGCAAAGAATTGGATTGCAATGTCCTGGATCTCGTCGGAGGCCCTCGTAGACGAATCAGAATCTGTTCTGTGAAGGGTACAAGACGTTTTTATTTCTCTTTTGAAGACGTCTTTCAAAGAGAAGGGCGCATATTATATCAGTATCACTACTAAAAACCAGTTTCAATGCATAATTCCTCCGCTTCGATTTCCATTTCCGCACTCGATTGTGCCTCTAGTACCCAGGGTAACATTCTTCCCTCTTTGCCCCCTTGTTCCAGTAGCTTGTCCTGTATGCTTTTGAGTAGCCAAAATTGACGGTTTTCTAAGAACAGGTTTTCAGCTTTCGTACACAGAAGTACATAAGAAACCAAAATTTCATCAGCAAATGACCTTTTTAACACCTTTCGAAAATCACCAACAGTTTTTTTTCATTTAAGGACTGTGAGAATGTTTACAAGAGCAACAACGATAAATTGGCAATTTGACTAAGGCTTGTTTGATGACACGACCTGCTAAATATTATTATCAAGCATCTAATTTGACATAGTTGATTAAAACAGTCTTTAAACGCCCACATTTTTTTCTTCTGTGAGTTTTGATTTAATAACAACTTCTTTTGAGAACAAATTACATCCATTCACAGCCATGGTCTGTTATCAAAATACTGCCAAAATATTGTCTCAATGAATAAAAGGTTTAAGCATAACTCTGAAGTTACTCCGTCTCTTGAAATCCACGTATATGTAAATGAGGTATGCTGATGTCGCTCTTCTCGTTGGAGAGACAACCAACAACCAGGCTTACCGTGACTTGGAACGAGTTCTTGAATCGGGCTCGTGTCCCTCAATGAAATTAAAGTAAAAACAATATGTTTCTGATGAACAGTCATGTATAAATAGAGTTCTAAAGTGATGACGTCACAAAAATCTTTTTTAGAATTTTTGAATTTAGATCCCACAGCCTGAAAGAGCATCATGAAATACCTCTAAATACGCAAAATCAGTCTAATGTGTTACGAATTGGCTGAGATATGACCACATGTGTATTGGCATTTTCCCCATCAAACCTCTATATTTTGGTCTCTGTTCATAACTTTATGAACAGAGCGAAAATAACAGTGATTCGTTAGCAAATTTCAAATCTTTCATTGGCAATATCTCAACTGATTTTAGACATGTTTGACTAATTTTGCATATGTGGAAGCATTTCATAAAGATCTTTTATGTTATGTGATTAAGATTCAAAAATTCTAAGAATAGGTTTTTGGTGACGTCACACTTTAGAACTCTATTAGGTCAGAATAGAGAAAGAAAGTGAAAGTATTTCTTCGTTATGAACCATTTACGGAAGTGAAGCATACTTGATGAAATGAGGTACAATGCGAGCTTGATGCTTGTACCTCACTTATGACAAAGAGTGTCTTGTTAACATAAAATCTCAGAAAGATAAAAAGTTTTAACTTTTTTGTTACATGATTCATGTTATAGCTTTATTTTGAATAGTTACAATAAGCTAAATAATACCAAATAGCATAACAGCAACGAACTAGATGAATTATTATATTTATAAACTAACAATTAGCATAACACCAACAATCATAGTAGCAATGTATAGAAATATAGATATATCTTTATATAAGATGTTTAATGAGATACGTAATATACATCTGCGATTTATCTTACATTTGCCTAATTGGGATGCATTATTTGCAGAAACACGGGGTAGTGATTTGTCCTATTAGCCTTTGGAAGACTTCTAGACGGTCGATAAAATTCAAATCTGGCCATTATCCCTGATTAATTGTTGATAAGAATTTTTTATATTTTTCGAAAACAGTAAATTTTTTTGGTGCAAAGGACTCGCGCCATTTTTCATGTCAGTCTACGAGACTACACTCATTTTTAATATAAATTTCTCGCTGTAAGAAATTTCAGGACTCGAAGAAAAAAATATTTAGAAAAGATTGAACAACGCAAATTATAGCAAAAGTTTCTTGAATAATTCAAAGAATAACAAAGCAAGTCGCTTAACTGGAATGTTCCAAGCATTCACTGATTGCAGTTACAAAAGACATGTCAAACAAGTTTCTGTTAAAAAATTTCCTGGCAACAAAGATTAAATTTAGAAACCTGAATGTTGAGATTAATGACATAAGAAACTCTTAAGATACAACTGGTATAGAAATTTCCCAAAGCGTTAAGAAACTGTAGAACTCAACACCATGGATCTTATTTTCTTATAAAAAGTGACTGTACTGTTGGTTGATGATTCCTACAAGAAACAGCATTTTTTCTACCAAGCGCTGTTTCAATCTTACTGTCCCAGATTCATTCCGATTGAACAAGAAACACATTTGATATGAGATGTGATTTTCTAGCACGATTCCTGTTTCTAGCACGATGGGAGGAGGACATAAAACGCTCGAATTCCAGTATGTAAAGCCTTTGATCTTTGGTCTTTGGTCAAAAATAGTTCGAAAACAAAGCTGCTTTTAAAGTAGTGTCGTAAAATATCTATGAACTTCAGTTCCAACAGAATTCAACGATGAAAAAAAATTAGAAGTTTCGATGCACAGCCATTTTGGATCTACTCAACGAACAAAACTAACAGAAAACAAAAAACGTGCTCTATAGGTAAAGCGAGGCTATAACAAAAGCGTATCTTAATTACGTAACGATTAAAAGTGCTAATTCAGTACAGTAGACAGGGAATTTTGCATAACCATCTAGGAACCTGCCTAACCTAAGTTTTTAATGTTTAAATCATAAGAGTTCAGGCCACTGACCATTTTAAGCCTTAGGAACATTCTGGCTAATGACCAGAAGTTGCGTTTCCGGAAGCATGAAACAACATATTTGTGTTAAAGTCCATCCCTTTGACATCCTTATTCCTAATTTTTTTATTTTTATTATATTTTTTATATTTTTTATATTTTTTTACATTTAAAACATATAGATTTATTTTTCTTTAAAGAAATCTCATTGAAATGGAATCTATTCGAAATATTCTGTAAACGAGATTCTTCTTTCCGAGATGCAACAATTGTAAAAATTGTATGAGATATCCAAAAGGATTTACAGATACTTTTAGACGAAGCAATGGGGTTTCCCTTAAAGGTGTACTGTTTCCATGGAGTGATTTCATATTTCTGAGAGTGATTTGCCCCCTGCTTCTATATACGGTTCCACCAAACCCTCCTTTCATTTTCAAAAGAACGAAAAATTACATGAAAATATTAGAAACTAAGGAAATCTGTACGAGAATTTCATGGAGCAAAATGCCTCTTGGTACATATTCC